AGAAGTTCTCAGAAGTTCTAGATCTAAATTTATAGAGTTCTCAGGCCTCTCAATCAATAATTTGTTCCCATTTCCAGACTGAATAACTCTCAATTCTATAGAGAAATTAAAATTGTGCAATTGTCACTAAAAAGTTATTTAGTCTAAACAGTGAATAAGCTACCGTAGTCTGGTCTATTTTTTCAGCAATATAAGTTCTTTTTTTGTACTTTTTCGCCTCTTCAGACTTTTGCAATGTCTATAAAAAATTTTTTGTTTTGTTAGTTAGCTCTGTATTCTACCAAAAGCTTGATTCTTTTCTGAAAGCTTAGAAATTACACATTGAGTAGCTATGTAAGATTCAAATCACTGTTTTATAGCTGTACTATTGGCTGTACTATTTTATAGCTGTACAAAGTTAAGGCCACTATTCAAGAACTTATTTATCGCTTTATCGAAGAACCTTGCACTTTATCGGATCGATGGCCTCATTTCTTACACGTTTGATGAAGATCGAACCGATGAAAGAGTTGCCACAGCGTTTAAAGAAGCATTAAAAGTAAGTTGCGAGCTAAGATACAGTAGTAAGACTCAGATGAATTGGCTCTGAACTTTGCGCACAACAAGCCATGACTGTGCTTGAAATCAGGGATGTGCCAACCAGATCCTAGGGTCTGCCAGATCAAGCCAGGTCTTAGGTACAGCCAGGTACAGCCAAAAAAGTTAGCTCTGTATTTTACCAAAAGCTTGATTCTTTTCTGAAAGCTTCGAAATTACACATTGAGTAGCTATTTAAGATTCAAATCACTGTTTTATAGCTGTACTATTGGCTGTACTATTTTATAGCTGTACAAAGTTAAGGCCACTATTCAAGAACTTATTTATCGGATAAAGAAAGTCAAAAGTGTACAAAGACGGACTTTTCTATGCTCCGAACAGTATTTACTTTATCCAATAACTTTTATTAGTTCTAGTAAGGCTCTGAATAAGATCTTCATCTTTATTTTGGTTTTGCTATCTTGTTTTGCTAAATATTTGAATCTAATAGTTCTAGGAGAATTGATTTGGAATTAAACTTAATAGCGATTCTTGAAATTCTTTTAAAGAAAGAAATTCTTGTTTCTATGATTTCTCATATTTATACACTGCCAGCTCCTTTCTCCAAAAATGGTGTCTAAATGGTATTCAGTCTCCTCTTTACTCTTTTACAATGAACTAGGTCAACAACTAAATCAACAACATTCATTCTTTGTCTCTTTTACCATTCTCTTCTACCACTCTTTTACCTTTTATCCAAAATCCGGAAACATTTCAACTCTCACGAAATATTAACCCTCAATTTACACCAAAAACTAGTGTCTGGATGAGAATAATTTAAAAATTTAGAATCTAGATTTTTCTAGAGATCAAAAATCCTTTTAAAATTTCGATGTCTGACTTTTCTCTTGATAGCTTTGTTTGTTTTAGTTTGAATTTCAAATTAGATCCAGTTCGGCAATTTTTTTGAGCTTTTTCTTCTATTTGTAAACGAAAAAAAGCGTTCGGTAAACGAAATTTGTTCATTTTGTTCATTTCATTTCAAAAAAAAGTCATTAAATTATTTGAAACTTTCGTTTACATTAGGATTCGAAGAGCCGACATCGAAAGATCAAAAAGCAATGTCGCTATGGACGCTTGGCTGCCACAAGCCAGTTACCCCTGTGGTAACTTTTCTGACACCTCTTGCAAGAAAATTTCTTTTCAAAAGGATCGATAGGCCACGCTTTCGCGGTCTGTATTCGTGCTGAAAATCAAGATCAAGTTGGCTTTTGCCCTTTTACTCTACGAGAGGTTTCTGTCCTCTAGAGCATCTAGAGCAAACTTTATCTTATCCTCCTGGCACAATTAAATACTATTTTTTAGATAAACTTTGAGGAAATTGTTGCCACGCCAGAGAGTATGTGTTTCTGTGAGCACAAAGACGGACTTTTCTATGCCCCAAACAGTATTTACTTTATCCAATAACTTTTATTAGTTCTAGTAAGGTTCTGAATAAGATCTTCATCTTTATTTGTTTTTATTATCTTGTTTTGCTAAATATTTGAATCTAATAGTTCTAGTATTTCCCAATCTTTTCATCAAAAATATTAGATTGAGAACTTGAAAGTTGGTAAACTTATTCATTGCACTTTTTAACAATAACTAGCGCACCAATTAATCTATAGTTTTTACCAATAAAAAGGTCTATTGATTCTCTAAAGCAGGCTTTTAATAGGTTTAGAAAAGCAAGAAGTTGAGACGCTAAAAATGATGAACACTCGATGAAGTGATTTGAGCACTTTCTTCTACAGAAACCGATTTTGATGTCAATAGAAAAAAGAAAGAGCATAACAAGTTAGATAAATAGCCAAATTTTCAGCTAGATATAATCAAATTGCTTTTATTATAGTTCAATTTAAAGAATTTTCAGAAAGACTTGAATCTCTGCTCAAGTTCTTTTCAAAAGTTATCAAAATTTGCTGAAGAATCTTGCATTAGATAATATACAACTTTTATTTAGAGAAATTTCAATTCAAATAGCGTATTTCAAATATCTTTTACGGGAAATGTACAAACTTTGAAGTTGCTCATCGGAGACATAAAGTGAAATCCGAGAAAAGAAAAGAGAACAGAGAATAAGCTATTAGATGAATTCAATTCGATCATCTAATAGCTTATTCTCTGTTCTCTTTTCTTTTCCCGGATTTCACTTTATGTCTCCGATCTCGCGAAATCAGTGCCACTTAACTGTTAAGCCTTTTGGATAGAGTCTGCTGACGTTTTCTCGGCTCCGATTTTTCACGCAATTACTTTTTTTATCACTCCAGAAAGTGAGTGAGTTCACTGATAGGGAAAAATGGAAAATAAAAAGTAAAATAGAAGAAAAAGAGAAATGAATGCTGAAAGGGCAACTCCTGTGTGAAAACGGGGATGCTTTGGCTCTCAAAAAAGTGTTCTTTTTCTGATTTCATCAAAAATTCTTTTATTTTTTAAAGAAAACTTTCAAAAGTTCACTTTGATTTAGAAAATTTGATGATTTACTTCAATTTTCTTTTATAAGAAAACGTTTTGAGAATTCTTCGGCATTCATTTTCAATTTTTGACTTAACCCTTGAGAAATCTGTTTCCACTTAAGCCAATCTAAACGATTTTCCTTTCCAAGACATTTCTGAATCCAGTAATCCTTTTGGATAAACAATTCTTGGACCAGTTGTCTGAAAAGAATTCTTTTTTCTGTCTGAAAAGAATAAATACTGTACTTTTTACTTTTCAAAGTATTTTAAGCTTATAAACTTTTCTTTAAACTCTTCTTTAAACTCTTTAAACTCTTCTTTTACAACTCTAAAACATTAAAAAGTCTTTGAAGACAACTTTCTGTTGTTTTTCTTTCAACTTTCAACTTTGAACTCTCTGAAAACAAGAACAATAATGTTAAACAACTTTCTGCTTTTCTAGCTGATCATTTACAATAATAAGAGCTTAAGTTTAAGATCTAAATAAGCTTTTTTAACAAATATCTCTAACATGCAAACATTTGAATTCAATTTTCTTGTTTTCCAATCCTCTTCTCACTCTCTTTCAAGTGCCAATAAGCCACAATAAAGGCACTTGGTCAATTATGGGGTTCACCACATTCCCTTCTTGACAACCCTCTTCAACCATAAGCGCATATCACGACACCCACTAAGATTATGTCTCTTCGAAATCTTCTCAAGTATTTCTTTTCTCAATATTGTAGCTAATGGGTTTAAGATTTGAAGGGAATTGAGTTACTGATCTTTACTGATCTCTAAAAATCTCTTTAACGTAAGCCTTAAACTTTCTATTTAGCAAAAGATAACTATTTAATCAATTTCTTCAACTTTAATTTGACAAGATAGCTATTAAAAGTTTTTGTTTTGTTTAACTTGTCATTCTATTTGGAATTAAATGAATTGAACTAAAGTAGTTTATAATAAAATAGAGCTAAAGCATTGGGAGCTTTGCTTGCACTTTGATAACCTAAGAAAAAGCATAACAAGATCTCATTGAAGAAAAATAGCTAACACAAATAACTGCAGTGATTCCATTCATTACTCGATTGGAGAGATCCGGGAGCAAGTGTTTGAATCGGTGGGAGGGAACTCTCTTGTCCCCTCCCCTCCTCCATTTCTCTCATTGCACCCATCCCTTGTGGAGTCCCGTGAAAATTCATCAATCAAAGCCGTTCTCATACCTTTTCTCTCCTTTTTCGTCAATCTTTTCGTATTTGTGGAGATCTTTTGGCAACTGCGCCTCCCCCTTCCTCTTTTTGATTCACTTTTGATCAAGTGGCGACAAATTGCCCACCTTTTCCTTAGCTTGCGGCTTGATCTAGCTTTGGCTTTGATGGAACATGTGTTCTAATGAAATTATGTGCTTTGGTTTCCCTATTTCATTAAATTCATGATATAAGTAGTCTTTAAATAGTCAAATCAAAGCATAATCTGATCCTGACCTAGTTTTTCTTCTTGGATCAGATCTTGACTTACTTTAACTGTAATTTTCTCGCTTGATCTAGCTTTGGCTTTGATGGAACATGTGTTCTAATGAAATTATGTGCCTTGGTTTCTCTATTTCATTAAATTCATGATATAAGTAGTCTTTAAATAGTCAAATCAAAGCATAATCTGATCCTGACCTAGTTTTTCTTCTTGGATCAGATCTTGACTTACTTTAACTGTCATTTTCAACTGTAATTTCTTTTCTTCTTTTCTTCATAAGGCTAAGATTATAAAAATAACCATTATTTTGAATCCAGTTGCTCAAAAATCATTTTTCTTTTGTGATCTCTTCGATCAAAGTCAGTTGAGTCAGTCAAAAGTTCTCGAAAAAGAGGGGGTGGACAAACGCATCTTCAAAATGAAAAAGAAGGATCGAAAGCAAAGATTTTTTTTTATCTTTCCTTGAATCAACTCAGTTTTCTAGTTTTGTTTTCCATTTTTTAAATCAATAATTAATCGCCAATAATTAATCATTTCAGAATGGGATTGAGGCCAGTCATTGTGCTTTCGCTTCTTTCAGTGGCTTTTGGAGAGGTGAATTCTTTTTTAAAAACATGTTTAATGTTTTTCTTTCGTTACTGAATATTCTAAATGTTTAGACTTTCCTGAGACCACACATCAAATCGCAGAATTTCGCTGACAAGGTAAGTCTTAAGTAAAGAATCAAATCTAAACAATACATGAAACAAATCTGAACGAAATCTGAACGTAATCTGAACCAAATCTGAACGAAAACTGAGCCAAACCTGAGCCAAACCTGAGTCTTAAGTAAAGAAAATTGAAAATAAAACGCAATTCTAGGCAATTCTTATTCAAAACAAAACATTTTTATTAAATTTTACTTAAATAAAATCAAAATTTTAACGTTTTTAAATACTTTTTAATGTAAATAGATCTATTTAATGATCTTTTTAATAAGATTTTCGCTGAAAAATAGAAGACAATCGACAATAGAAGACTGAGATCACAATTATTTTCCTATTTTCTGCCAGGTCCATTTAAAAAAATTTCCCTAGAAGGAAAACAATGCATCAAATAGTATGCGTTTACATTTTCAAGCACAAAATCCATTCTAAGTACATCCTGAAGGAGTTTAATCGAAAAATTGTTCAGAATCTCTACTGTGCCGGCGATGTGAACAATGTTTGTCTCTCGGGACTTTGCTATGATTCGATCAATCTACTAGATGTAAGTTTTTTTAAAAAAAAAGAGTTTAAATATAAGAATCCTAATCTAAGATCAATTGTTTATCAAAAGCAAAATCAGAAAAAAACAAACTTTTCCAAGTAAAACAGGTAAGTGGAAAAATCTCGACGTAAATGACGCACTTTCTGAGTCTTTTCCCATTTTTTTTTTCATCAAATAGATCAAATAGATCAAAATTTATCGAAAATCACAAAATATCACACTTTTTTTTTTGTTTTATTAATTGAAAAAATGCGAACAAGCTTTTCCAACCAAAACAATATTAGCTATTGTCCTTAAATCAGTTATTCAATGCACTACCTGGGTTGTTACCCTTTCCACACAAATAATCGGTGATTTTGTAGATAGAACCAGATTGAATTAACAAATTTCGACGTAAATGACGCACTTTCTGAGTCTTTTCCCATTTTTTTTTTCATCAAATAGATCAAATAGATCAAAATTTATCGAAAATCACAAAATATCACATTTTTTGTTTGTTTTATTAATTGAAAAACTTAAAATCAATGGATTTTAGTCATTTACGGTTTTCAGAAAGCAGAAAACTTGAACCGAAATTGATAATAGAAAAACAAAAAGTTGTTGGTAGAAATTTTATTTAATTAAGTTAAAACGTTGGATGTAGGATATTTTTTTAATTTTTAAGCTAATCAAGGCTTAGTTAAACATGCACAGACTCCAGTTAGACAATGCTGAAAGAGAAATTTTCGCCTTTACTTTATACTCTAGCTAGATATTCTTTTAAATATCTAGGCTTCAGCTTGGCTTCAGCTTGGCTTCAGCTTGGCTTCAGCTTGGCTTCAGCTTGGCTTCAGCTTGGCTTCAGCTTGGCTTCAGCTTGGCTTCAGCTTGGCTTCAGCTTGGCTTCAGCTTGGCTTCAGCTTGGCTTCAGCTTGGCTTCAGCTTGGCTTCAGCTTGGCTTCAGCTTGGCTTTGCTAATGCATACACTTGAAACACATTTACTAATACATTTGAATATCGTTTTTCAATCAAATTAGCTTTACTTATCTAAAATTTGAATTTGCTAGATTGTTCGAAGCAAAAATACTACAGCTGTTCAATGCTAATTTGATTCACTAAATTCTTTGTTTTCAACTTAACCGTTCTCTTCTTTGAAGAGTCTTGAGAGGTTTAGTATAAGTGAAAGCTTCGGCAACAGTGAAATACTTTCACTGATTCCTTACTTACTCAGTGACACGGGAGCTTACTTTACTGAGTACTTTACTTTACTGAGTTTACTCTTCCTTCTAGTATTAAGTGTGGTCACTTGGTGACTGTGCGACTCGCGCCGAAGACAGCTTCAGCTGCATTTGTTAAATCGTAACACAGGTGTCCTAAGGCTAGCTCAGAGAGGACTCGTAGAGTAAAAGCGCAAAGCCAACTTGATTTTGCTTTGCCAACTTGATGACTTGAGCCAACTTGATCTCCAACAAACTCATTTCAACCCCATTTTCATTGACTTGTCTCAATTAGTCATTCGGTGTGCGGACAAAGGTGCGGATTGTAGCACTTAGTCCACTCAAGGGTGTCAGATTCGGTGATGTATTCAATTCTGAATGAACACATAGGAACACATAGGTAAAGGGAACAGGAAAGGAGCGATCTGTCAACACTTGGTGGGGAGGAAAGGGAAGTGGAAAGGGTACTCGGCCCTCTAATTATGTGTTGGGTTTTGAATGCGGGAGATTTGTAGGGGAATAGGTGGGCAGGCAATAACCTAAAGGAATTAACGGGCAATAATCCAAAGGAATTATCTAGTAAAGTTTTTTGGAAATTAATATTCGTAGACTTTTCAAAGTAGGAAATCTGAATCCGTTGTTAATTTTCAATTATGAACTCACCACTACCAAGCCAAGTCAAAAATTTGGGTAATTAAACGAAAATCGGAAAAAAGAACCGACTTTTATATTCTTATATCTAAAAGCTGTGTGCCAAAAGCTAGACGATTATGTAAACTTAAAAATTTCCATCGTTTTGCATAAACGCTTATGGCGAAAGAGAAATAGAGGTTTTTTTACAAGAAAATTAATAACTTTGTTAGTTTTAAACACTTTTTTTATTAGAAGAGAGTTCATGGAACCTTTTGATATCAAAAACATCAAAATTGGTCAAGTATGACAAAAGTTTCTTTAATATTAAAGTTGAGGACTTCTCAAAATGAGATGGACCACTCTAGACCATTGTCGTGAGTCTGTTAATGACTTGTCTTGTCAACCAACTTGTCTAAACATGGTTCATGAAGTTACTCCTAAGACTATCGATTACTGATTACAGTAACGAATAGCAATTACTATATTCTGATCAGTAAGAACAACAGAAATTCCAAATTTTCTCAAGTTTGTTGCAGTTAGCATTCTTTCAAGCGTACTCTTTTTAAAGTTTAAGGCAGTTTAAGGTAGTTTAAGGCAGTTTCCATGAATCACGAATTTCCAAAAGCTTAGTTAACTTTTGATCTAATGTGAGTAGTTAAAAGAGTGACTCTCAATTTCCCAGTCCTTTGTCATGTCCTTGTTGTAAAGGTGTAAAGACGGATAAGAGTACACTTGAGTGAATAGACTGAGAGAACTTATTTGGTCTGCTAATTTCTTCATGGATTATCTGATCGTTTTCAGAATTGTTGCTGAGCTTTAATTTCTAAAATAGTTATTTATTTCGATTTTTTTTAGATTTAGTTCTGTTCAGTGTACTACTTTACAGGGTTTCCCAAAAGGTACTTGTCGGTTAAACATCCACAAAGACTCAACTCGGTTGAGCATCCCCATCCGAGTCTTCTCGGTTATCGATTTTCGTTCGACTGATCGACTAATCACTTCAGGCTAGCACCCTACTTCACTCACAATTCTGCTACACTGAAAATAACCATGCCTCAAAAGTTGTCAGCTCCTTGCAACCGAGTTGAGTCTCTGTGGATGTATAGCCGACAAGTACCTCTTAAAATTACCCCAACTAACCTCCGCTTCCCGCCCTTTAAAAGAGTGACTCTCAATTTCCCAATTCTTTGTCATGTCCTTGTTTCGGTCAGGTGTAAAGACGGATATGCAAATAAGAGTACACTTGAGTGAATAGACGGAGAGAATTATTTGGTCTACTAATTTGTTCATGGATTATGTGATCCAACACAATGAACAAGAGAATCGAAAATGAGTTTTCGGCATTAATTAATGGGATTTCAGCAACGAATATCCTCTGGTTGTGCGACGGTGGAAATGTGCGCTAAAACTGAGTGCAAATTGTTTGAGACAAAGGTGAGATATTGAAAAATAGTTAAAATGAAAAAAAAATTCATCAAGAAATGCGTTTAATTGAACGTCGAGATTGCTTTAATTAAAAAAATAAGCCTAGTTTTATTAGGTACATGCATAAGAAATGCGGATTTTAGCATTTTCATAAATTTCCAACGATAGAAATCTGATATCGATTAATGTTATAAATGATTTGAAAGTTGTAAATCTCCTCTATAAAATAGGCTAAAACGTGTTTCAATTGATCGAGCCATTGAAGAAATTTCGAGGACGAAATGCGAGTGACCAAAAAAGGAATCGAGTCACTTTAGGGACAAGTTTAGTGTGGTCAAAATAGAGTTAGCTTCCCAAAATTGGAGATTTAAAAAAAAGGATAACTATATACAAATTCATTAAAAAAGTCTAACGAAAATGCATTCACAGAAATTTATATAGAGCGTAAGTTCAAAACCCTCAAAATTGTCAAAAAACCGGCTTTTCAAAAAAGAAAAATTATTGTAAAAACAAAGTTTTCCCATAAAATGATCCCAACTCTTAATTATTTTGAATGATATTTTAAGGCGCTCATTTTTCACTATATAGTCAAAACCGAACTCTTGTGCACTCTGTGAAAGTGGGGTTTCCAAAAAGTGCCCTTTTTTGATCACTCGCATTTCGCCCTCGAAATTTCTTCAATCCTTCGATCAATTGAAACATGTTTTAGCCTATTTTGTAGAGGAGATTTACAACTTTCAAATAGTTTATAACATCGATATCAGGTTTCTATCGTTGGAAATTTATCAAAAATGTTGAAATCCGAATTTCTTACCTAATAGTTTTGAATCAATTGAATTCAGTGATGATAATCTTCAATAATAATAATTCAAATCAATTGTTAGTATTGAAAAGCTATCTAATTCAATCATTTTAGTTCGTCTGTTGCTGTTCGGGAACAGTTTGTAATGGGAAATCAGCGAGTTTATTGAGATCTCGATTGCGAATCGAACAAGAGAGAATGCCACCACCAATCATTTACAAAGTAAGGTTCAAAATATAAAACAAAACCCTTCTAACAAAATTAGAAGTGATTTATTGACTTAATTTCTATTTACCAGTAATGCAACAAAGTTGAGTTTTATTAGTTGTTCGTTATTCTGCAAGAGAGCTTACTCAAAAGGGAATGTTAAAAGGGAAATCGGTGACCAAATGATAAGCCATATAACCCAATTTTGCGCTGATTCCGAATCTGCTTTCTGTTTTTGTTTCTTTTAACTTTAAATGGTTTTTCTTTAGTTCTTTAGTAATGCAACAAACTTTGCAACAACAACTAACAAAACAAAGTTTTGTTAGTTGTTCGTTATTCTGCAAGAGAGCTTACTCAAAAGGGAATGTTAAATGGGAAATCGGTAATGATAAACCATATAACCGACGTCAAATTTTGCGCTGATTCCGAATCTGCTTTCCGTTTTTGCCAGCAGCATTTGGCTTTTGTTTTCGTTTCTTTTAACTTTAAATGCTTTCTCTCTAGTTTAAATCCTAGGGTCCTTGCTTTGGATTTAAGTCCACTGCTCGACCAAAACTCGATCACCATCTTTTCCCCTCTGGTAAGTCAACTTATAAGCTCACAATCTCTTTCCTGCAATTTTGTACAAAAACTTTGAGAGCTTATAACTTTTGACAGAGTGCTGCATTGGAAAAACGGAAAGCAAATTCAGAATCAGTGCAAAATTCTACGTCGAATAGTATATGGTTTATGTCATTTGGCCACCACACCTTGTTGACATTCCCTTGTCAATTATTTTTCGTTTTTTAATGTTGTTTAACAGTTTTGATTGATACATTAACATTAATTATAACTTAATTTTAAAATATCATACTTTATATAGATAAGTTTTCTATTCTAGACTTGGCTAACTATTAAGCTGTCCAGAAAATCTTTTCATTTCTTTTCGGACTTTTGTTTTCTCCAATTTTATACAAAAACTTTGAGAGCTTATAACTTTTGACAGAGTGCTGCATTAGAAAAACGGAAAGCAAATTCAGAATCAGTGCAAAATTCTACGTCGAATAGTAATATGACTTATGTAATTTGGCCACTACACCTGGTTGAGATTCCCTTGTAAAAAAGCAAAGACAGTTAAACTGAGGACTCGAACCCAAGAGTCCTCAGTCTCAATACAAGGCCTAGTATTCTGGCCAATTGCTTCATAAAGACGTTGGGACATTCCCTTGTCAATTATTTTTCGTTATTTAATGTTGTTTAACAGTTTTGATTGATACATTAACATTAATTATAACTTAATTTTTAACTATCATTCTTATATAGATAAGTTTTCTATTCTAGACTTGGCTAAGCTATTAAGCTATTGAAAAATCAGAAAATCTTTTCATTTCTTTTCGGATTTTTGTTTAAAATCATCAATTGAGTTAGAAAAGCTAATCATTTTTCTTTAAAATCAGTTTAAAATTAGTTTAAAATGTCTTATGTTTAGATTTTTGGAAGCATAGAGTCAAGTAGTCAAAAATCAAGTATCCTGTAGTCAAAAATAGTCAAGTATCTTGATGCTAGATACTTTAGCTAAGAAAACCTAGGTAAGGATACCTTAGCTAAGGATACTTTAGCTAAGAAAACCCTAGGTAAGGATACTTTAGCTAAGGATACTTTAGCTAAGAAAACCTATCTTTATGTCAATAGTTAAAAAATAAAGCATAAAAGTTAGCTATACAACCAAATTTTCAAAGAAATTAAACAATAAACACTTTTTATTTAGAAAAAATCGATTAATTGATGAATTTGTTATTTTAAAATGAAAATATGAATAGGAAAAGAGTTTCTGAACTTTTTTTTGGACAGTTTAATCAATTGAATTGATTCATTTTTAAATGTTGTATCCCAAACTAATAGGTTTATCAATTTATAACTTTTTTTGTCACTAACAATTTGTGTAGATTGATGGCAAGGCTCGATTGATCCCGAGAGATGTCAAAGTGGAACAACAACAAGAGAAAATGATTGAATATGAAGAAAAAGAAGGATTGAGTGCGGAGAAATTTGAAGAAAAGAAGAAAGCAGAAGTGATTGCTGAAGTTGAATCGACTGAGCTGAGCAAAGAATTATCAAAAAACATGTCAACTGTAGTCAAATCAGCCGAAGAATTACCCCAATACACCCCGGGAATGGCCACAAAGGGAGTGGCAGTGAAAAAAGTGGATCCTACTCAAGTTGTGTCTCAAGAAAAAGAGAATGAAGAAGAATTGCCGAAAGTTGGAGAAATGAAAGATGAGGAGAAAGCTGTAACTGAATCGGGAATCCAGAATCCAGCTGTTCAAGAGAATCCAGTAACCACTAACCAAGAGATTAAAGAGGTAAGAACTAATAGTTTGTTTTTCTAACTTCTAATCCTTTCTATCTTCCTGAAGCTTTTGATTTTGAAAAGTTTAGGATTTTGTTGTGGAGAAAAAGGAGGTGAAATTGGAAGCAACGACTGAAGCACAAGTTGAAGAGGTAAATGTTGTATGTGATTAGACTTGGCTTATGATTAGAATTGTTAGGCTTGGCTTATGATTAGAAATCTTAGACTTGGCTTATGATTAGAATTGTTAGACTAGGTTTATGATAAGAACTGTTAGACTTGGCTTATGATTAAAAATCTTCGACTTGGCTTATAATTAGAAATCTTAGACTTGGTTTTAAAGCTTAAAGCTTTAAAGCAAACTATTAGGTTGATGCATAAGTCTTTTTGTTCCTTTTCGTCTGCCGTTTCAAGCCAACAAATGCACCAATTAAACTACGGTTGATTTCATTAGAAAAACCAATTATTTTTCTGCAAAATAACATTAAAACGGGTTTAAAAATATTTAATGCCTGGATTTTCTTGAGAGTATGAAGTCGGGTAGTCAAAAAGGGCTAACTCGATGATGCGGTTTAGACACCTTAGCTAAAGAAAACCTATCTTCGTGTCAATAGATAAAAGATAGAGAAAAAAAAGTTTGATATTTCGCCAAAATTTCAGAGAAATTCATTCAGCCAATTTTTCCGTAGAGTTTTTTATAGATTTTTACGAAAAAGGCGTTTTTCACTCTCGAATTTGCTTGAAAGTGAACCGAAATTCATTTAAAAAGATGCAAATTGAACAAAAAAAACACTTTTTTTATAGAGCAAACTATAGATTAATTCGTGAATTTGTTACTTTTTAACAGAAGTACGAAAAAAACGAAAAGACTTATGCATCAACCTATTATAACTTACTAAGAAAAGGCAAGAACTAAAGATAAGCTTTGTCTGGACAAAGCTAGTGCACTTTAGAGCTTAAAGCTTTAAAGCAAACTATTATTTAGAGTAAAATGATAATTTTATTTAGAGCAAAGTTGAATCAGTTGAAGAAAACGTTGAGCTGAAGACGATTGAGCCAATGGAAAAGGCTGTGGAAACAACAGAAGCTTTAGAGGTATGATTTTAAGAAATAGACTATTACTTAACTGTTACTTGCATGGAAAGATAAATGCAAATTTATTTCAGGAGGCGACTACTCAAGCAGCTAAACCTGCGTTGATTCCCCTTACTGAAGGTCCAATTGGCGGTGTTGGGTTGGGAGATGAGACAACAACGACTGCTCCAAAGGTAATACTAATACTATATTACTAATATTATAAACTAATACTAATACAAAGACATAAATTAATACTATAAAAGGTTACTAATTATTGAAATAAGTCAATTCTATCAGAAAACTAAACTCAAAATCTTTCTAGGAGCCATACCTTCCTCCATTTCGATTACCAATCAAGAGTGGCTCACAAGAAGAGACCGGATCTACAGAAAAAACGGTATATTGTAAAAGAAAATAGCTTGAGGTCTATTAGAAGCTTTAATTACTGTTTCTTTTCTGATAATAGTGCATCCAGATGCCTATTTTACGGTTTCCAAGCTTTTGCAGAAGCTCAACACTCTAATCCCCCACTAGATCTCATCGTCAACTACATTTTCCGACCCCACATCGATAGATTCTGATAGATTCGAGATTTCAAGCAATTTAGGCAAAGCTAAGGCTGCACTATTAGGGAAAATATGGTAACCAAGATTTTAACCTCTAAAGTTCACCTGTTTCGAGAAATATCTCGAATGAAGGAAAGGATTGCTCTCGTTCATGTATCTTGCTCGAAGCACTCGACCCAATGCGTACGGTTGTCGCATCCCGAGCTGAATTTGCGTAAAAGAGTCAAAACAAGATTCAGATTTCAATTCATCTTATATAATTATTTTACTTACCGGTCTCTCCCCATCCATTTAGCCATTTGTTTTCTTGATGGATATCGGTTGGATAGGTTTCTGTCGGCGCTAGATCGCCGTGCCTCCAGACCTACTCTCTAGTAGTAGTGCAACCTGCCGAGCCGAGTTGATGTCTATTTCACAGCTTCTAAAGTTTCCACAGAAACTCAGCACTCAAATCCCCCACTAGATCTCATCATCAGCTACATTTTCCGACCCCACATCGATAAGTTCTGATAAGCGCTTTTTGAGATTTCAAGCTATTTAGGCTCAGGGTGCACTAGGGAAAATACGATATTTGATTCTTTTGTAGACAGAAGAACCAGAAGAGTCTCACGTAGCTGATGACGTTTTCTTCAAGCCGTCAAGCTCAGAGAAAGTTGAAGTGGTATAGAAATCTACAAAACTTTCGTAGTACATCATTTACAGAACGATGCTGTTGTAGCTGGTGTAAAGATTCAAGCTGAGGAATCAAAAGTTGAGAAGGTAAATTGAATTGATATCGGTTTGATAAAACAAAATGTTTTTAGGTGGAAGAGCCAGTGGTGAAAGATATCGAATCGGTTGATGGTGAAAAGGTGGAGGAATCTGGTTTGTTTTTGATTGATAAATAGAATTAATAGTCTTTAATAGGATAACTTATTTAAAAGCCAATATCCGCAATTTCAGAAGAACGCCCAGAATTGGGAGTCGGCGCCGGTGATGACAAGAGTGAAGAGGTGAAAACCGAGGCTCGCCCATTGAACAATAAGGAGAGCTCAGAATTGGAAGGGGTAAATGCTTTAAATTAAATAAATCAATGTTTATGCTATAACTTTCCGCTTTTCTATCACTAACTATCACTAAACATTTTTTTTCCTTTCAAGGATCCGCTGCCCGCTTCAAAACCAAAGAGAACTACAGCCGATCAGCCGATCAAAAAGGTTTGACACTGTCCTATTTCTGTATTTAAAACTTTAACCTTTTAACAAACAAACAAAATTGTACTTTGTGCTTAAACTTGTCTTATAAACAAGCCTTTTCTGGTGCACTAGATTCACAATTCTTTTACTACAGGGTGGCTGAAAATTATGTGCGCCAAAGAAAGCGCCATAATTTAATTTTCTTTCAAAGAACATGTAAAAAATATTTATTTATATAATAGTTGTAACAAAAGCATTTAATAATTACAAGAAATTTTCGAAGTGGCTTTCATCCGCTTTGATACAGGCTTCCATCCGCTTTGATACAGGCTTCAATTCGCTTTGATACATGCTTCCATCCGCTTTGATACATGCTTCCATCCGCTTTGATACATGCTTCCATCCGCTTTGATACAGGCTTCAATTCGCTTTGATACAGGCTTCCATCCGCTTTGATACAGGCTTCCATCCGCTTTGATACATGCTTCCATCCGCTTTGATACATGCTTCCATCCGCTTTGATACATGCTTCCATCCGCTTTGATACATGCTTCCATCCGCTTTGATACATGCTTCCATCCGCTTTGATACATGCTTCCATCCGCTTTGATACAGGCTTCCATCTGCTTTGATACAGGCTTCAATTCGCTTTGATACAGGCTTCCATCCGCTTTGATACATGCTTCCATCCGCTTTGATACAGGCTTCCATCCGCTTTGATACATGCTTCCATCCGCTTTGATACATGCTTCCATCCGCTTTGATACATGCTTCCATCCGCTTTGATACAGGCTTCCATCTGCTTTGATACAGGCTTCAATTCGCTTTGATACAGGCTTCCATCCGCTTTGATACATGCTTCCATCCGCTTTGATACAGGCTTCCATCCGCTTTGATACATGCTTCCATCCGCTTTGATACAGGCTTCCATCCGCTTTGATACATGCTTCCATCCGCTTTGATACAGGCTTCCATCCGCTTTGATACATGCTTCCATCCGCTTTGATACAGGCTTCCATCCGCTTTGATACATGCTTCCATCCGCTTTGATATAGGCTTCAATTCGCTTCTTTACGGAATCGACGGTGCGGCGGAGATTTGCAAATAATTGTATTGTAATTTGCATCTAAGTTGTTTTAGATTTTGATCAATTCTCTACGCAAATCATACAAATTGTTGATTTTCCTATTTCTCAATTGTTCTTCCATAAAAACCCAAACCGAAAAGTCCAACGGGCTGTTGAGATCCGGGATTTTTGCAGGCCATTGATCCTTCATCAAAAACGAGCCAATTTTGGTTTCGTGAAAGCGAACTGTTGCTTTGGCTCTGTGGGCTGGCGCCCAATCTTGTTGAAAGGTCAAATTGGGATGGTTCCTCTTCCAGGGCACCACAGCTTTCTCGAGAATCTAATTTTGATAGACTTTTGCGTTCATCTTCACATTTTTATCGATAAAAACCAATGGGTCTTGCCCGAAGCGTTGATTCCACCCCAAACCATCAAACTTTTTGGAAACAGGCTTTTTGTAGCGACTCTTCGTTTGCGAGTGCTCTTGAAAGCTGGACTGAGAAGTTGACGGTGGTTTTGTGAATTTTTAGCCACTTCCAAGGTGAAAATCTTCTGATCCGACTAAAGAACATCATCAATAAGCCGCGCCTTGAAAAAAACTCGTAATTTCTTGCATTTCTCCTTTCGGTTTTGCTTGGCTTGATCGGTGAGCACTTGTCCGTTTAATAATCGATTCGAAGTTGTTCCAGATTTTGATCAATTCTCTACGCAAATCATACAAATTGTTGATTTTCTTATTTCTCAATTGTATTAACGATCAGATTTAAGCAAAGGTTCACGAGAAAGGTTCACAAGTTTAAGCACAAAGTATAGACAAAGAGAAAATGTCCTTAAAAGTCTGTCCTTAAAAATTCTTACTAACATTGTTCTTTATTTATTTATAAAACAATCAATGTTATTCTTAAGTTAATCAAATTTTGTTTCTAGACCAGCTCCAGTACTCTAATCCCAGTGCTCATCATTTTGGCGATTCTTGCTTTGATTGCCGGTGGAGGATTTGTTCTATGGAGAAAAAAGAAAATAAATCCAAAACGACGAAATCAACAACAGAAAAAGGATACAGAATTGGTTTTGGTTGATCCATTGTTAAGAGAAAATCAAGAGAAAGTTGTCAACGAGACGATCGAAGCGCCGTCACAAGCTTGATTCTCTTAAAGGAGAGTCGACTCTTAAAGAGTCGTTCAGCTACCGTCAAACCTCAGCTACATTACTAATAAAGTTAATATTAAAGCTACAGTAAGCTACAGTAAGCCTAGTCATTTTTATTGTAAGCTTTCACCTCATAAAATAAATCTGAGCTTTAAAATTTGTAGATGGGGTTTAACTGTAGCTTTTTCCTTAGAGATTTGAATTAAGATCGATTCTCAAATTTTTCATCTAGCTTACTATTGTTTTAGTTTGTTAGAATTTATAGAAAAGACAAAAACAACCAAATTTACAACGAAATTTAAGGCAAAATTTGATCCTAAAAGGTTAAGCATAGTGAAGTCAAAAGCAGCAAAATTAGCTCAGTCGCTCGCCGCTTTTTCCCCTTTTCCGATTCGAAAAGCAAGCACTTTTGTACTAGAGTCGTTTGCTAGATAAAAGGCGATTACGTAGCCGCACAAAGAACACCTTTCCAATCATTTACATAGAGATTTCTCTTTGCTTTGTAGCTGATACAAATTCAGTTGTTAATTTGTACAGTTTTCGAGGTCAGGAATCGATTAGAGACATTCATTTTTTTAATTCAATCAATTGAACTCTTTAATTGATTAAAACTACAGTCGAACTTCGATAAAACGAATTTGAAATTCTAAATTTCTAAATTTCTACATAGCTGCCCCAGCCAAATGCAATTAGTGGCCGTCCAGGGCAGCAGCAAATTTGAGGCACATTTTCGGTTAGGTTTAGGCTTATATCAAAGTTCAACTGTATTAGCTTTAGTGAGAATCGATCCTAATTTGGTCCAAAAATCAACTCCACATGTGCAACTTGTTTTCTTTTTCTATCAAAAGCAGGGAGTGGGACAAATGCGACCTTTTTTTGCGCACCCGGACATTTGCGCACCTTTTTTTCCGCACCTTACCCGTTAGCGCACCTTTTTTCGCGTTTTAAAAAAGCTCTAAAAAGCTAATATTAAACAATTTCTATTCCAAAAGTTGTTTTTCTAGGTAATTTTAGGGCGTAGAATCGAAATTTTGACATAGCAGAGCTTGTGAAAACAAACGGACGGAGTTATACAAAGAGAAAAATCGGCAATTTTCTGTAATTTGATTTTCTGTAATGTTTTATCTTTCAAATTGGTTCCACACGCTCTGTTATGTCAAAATTTGAATTCGACACCCTCAAATTACCTAGAAAAACAACATTTGGAATAGAAATTGGTTAATATTAGCTTTTTAGAGCTTTTTTAAAACGCGAAAAAAGGTGCGCTAATGGGCTAAGTGCGGAAAAAAAGGTGCGCAAATGTCCGGGTGCGCAAAAAAAAGGTCGCATTTGTCCCACTCCCGCAAAAGCATACTTTTTGATCCTGAAACATTTAGCTCTGTACTAATAATTTTGAACTTAAACCTTAAACATTTTGTGATTGAAATGAACTTTCTTTTTTTTTCTTGTTCCTTCTCGAGCTTGACCTTTCGATTTTTTTAAGACTACATTACTTTAGTTTTAACATTTCTTAATTTCATTGACATTTCCCACAAAACTGTGGTCAATCATTTTATCCGGGTCCACTCAGTGTCACTCTCTCGAGTGTGTGTGTGTTACTCGAGAGTACTGTGTTTTCTATAAGATAGGAAAGTTACCGTAACCCTTCGATTCATCAGATTTACTTTGTCTAATCTGTAGGAAAGATTACGATAGGTTTTTGAACTTTTAGAAAACACTACTTAAAAGAAACGCACTCTACTCTCGTCGCCCTTCCTCTCTCCCTTTTTTCTCTCTCACTGACATTCATTTATTGTGTTATTTCAATTGGATTTGATTAGTCTTTTGATCAGTCAGTTTTGTAAAGAATAAAATATTCAGATTGAAATCAGTGATAAAAATTGCACTTGTAAAAGAAAAGAATTCTTTATTCAACATTCAAATGCTTTATTCAACACTCAGATGCTTTATTCAACAGTCAAATGCTTTATTCAACAGTCAAATGCTTTTATTTAACTTTATTTGAGGCATTTGATCACAATCATTCTCTCAATCCATCTACAATATGGAGAAATCCAAGCGACGTACGTCTTCCTGGGATTCTCGCGATTTGACCAACAAGAGATGACCTCTCTTGTGATTAATCCTAATTGAAATCACTAAAGGATTACGGTAATATCAAAGGATTACGGTATTGAATGCTTCGAGCGCCATAATGAACTCCCTGAGTCGCCCTAAAATGTTACAATATCAAAAAAAATTTGGTTCTTCTCGAGAATCCGAGACTTTTCATTGTAAAAAGCTATGCAAAACCCAAACCCAATTCGATTCTCTTGAGACTTTTCTTAGGATAAAGAATTTAAATAAACTTTACCAATAGATTCAACGACCCTTTGGCAAAAAAGTTTCGACCGTGACAGGATTCGAACCTGCAATCTTCGGATCCGAAGTCCGACGCCTTATCCGTTAGGCCACACGGTCAGGTGTCTGTAGTTGTTTATGACCAAGTTAAAAAGGAAAAGATAATTGATAAAGCTAGATTGATCAAACTAGATGGATGAAAGTAGATTTGACGTCCTGGTTGCGCTAAATCGACAGAATGATAATCGAAATACATTTTCCTTAAGCTATACAGTCATTTCCTTCAAAATCTAAAGATTCAAATTCCATTTTTCCATCAAATTCCATATCAAAATTCCATTTTTTGTACATAAATAGTAGCTAAAAGCATTGTAAACTTCTTGAAACCAATTTTATCGTTTAAACATACCAAAGATTCTCCAAATACAAACTTCAAAATTCTAGAGCTGGACTCCAAGCTGGAGCTCCATCTCCCAAGATTAATCAGGTAAGGTAAATAACTTTTAGCTTTAGCATAAATAAATAAATAGAATTCTAACAAATAAATAAAGATCAATACCTTATAATAGCTTAATCTCAAAGGAAAGCTGAATCATAACGGAAACTTTCTGTCAGAAAGCGTCCTGGAAAGCGTCCTGGTTGCGCTAAATCGACAGAATTATAATCGAAATACATTTCCCTTAAGTTATACAGTCATTTCCTTCAAAATCTAAAGATTCAAAGCAATAATAATTCTATTTTTTGTACATAAGTAGCAGCTAAAAGCATTGTAAACTTCTTGAAACCAATTTCAACATTCCTATTCTCAAATCAAACCAAAATCAATTTCAAAACTTTTTGATAATCCTTTTGACCTTTTCCCAATCAAAAGCAATCAACACAAAGTGCATCACAATAAAATGTTTCCAAAAAAAGAAATACCAATGTTTCTATGAAAATAAATACATTTTGTTGTCATTCTTTTATTTGCCAACTATCCTTGTTCCTTTGATCAAGGACAACCCTTTCAAATCCTTTGAACAATCAAAGGTTTCTATTTAAAACAAACTTGAATAGGAAACTTATATTTTTGTTCATTTTTCTCATTTTCAATAATTAAATCAATTTCAGAGAAATAAAAGAAAATGGAGCAAGAAAGAGACGAAAAGTTGGCTGATTTGGTGATGAAAGACAAGAAGCAAGGTAGGTTTATCAAAAAAAAGCTTATACTAGCTTATAGTTAAGGTGAATATTAGTCAAAGATTGAAATGCTTATATACTTTAATCGTCATGAACGTCATGAACTCCGTTCGTAGCCTGCTTGGCAAGAGTTGATCAGTTGATCGATCTAAACACAGCGATCTTACTGGTTTGACTCGTATTGATGTAGCTTTGCCAATGGACTGTAATCTGATACAAAAGTTTACCATTTTACTGGAATTCTCAACTTAGACAATTTAGAGAAAAGGGAAAAATTGGAAATTCTAGGAAAGAAGCTTCCTCGAGCCGAAGACGCTGAACAAAAGATAAAGAATCTTCCTGATCATTTTGAGCCAGAAGTAAGCTAAATTTTTTTTGCATAAAGCTTAGCTATCTCTCTAGTTTATTTAAAAATCTACTAAAATCACTTTTCCAGCTTCCGGGTGACAAAGATCGAGAAGAGAATGTACTCGGTGGAACAAAAAAATCGTTTGGACTTGATAACGACGATCGTCAGCATTAAAAATTTGATTCATTTCTGATTCTTGTACAGTTTTAAGAATATTTTAATACAATTTCTCAATGGAATAAAAGATTTGAGCTCATTTTTGTAACAATTTCGTGGGGAAAACTATAAGAATTGCTCTAGACGATTACACATTTATTACAGCAGAAAATTTCGCGAACTTTTGGATTCAGAATCCTGGAAAGAGATCTTGTAGAGCTTGAAAAGACGAAATGAATTATGTAAAGACGAGCTGCTTATAAACATTGTGAACTGGTTTACAAGTTACAATGAATTCTAATGAACATCAAACATTTTTCGAGAAAAAACGATATTCATCAATATTTCTTGTATTTGAGTTTCAATTAATCGCCAAGCATTTCATTTTTTAACCGGTCTAAACTAAAAAGGAACCGGTTTGAGGTGGAATCTCGATCTGAGGTATAGCACATCTTGTAGAGCTTGAAAAGACGAAATGAATGATGTAAAAACGAGCTGCTTATGAGCATTGTGAAGACACTAAAACTGGTTTACAAGTTTTCGCTACATAATCACTTCAAAACCCAGGCAGCCAAGTCAAATCTCACTTTCTTTAGTTCTTTTGTGTACTTTGAAATCTGGAAAGCTATTTGCAAAAAGTCTTTTCCATTCTAATTTCAAAAATCTTGCAAATTTTGAGCACAAATGTTAAGCTTATTATTTTGAAAACCAAAAAATTCTAGAAAAACTCGAGAATGGGAAACGAGAATTCGAATTGTGGTCATTCGAGTGTGGATCACTTTGCAAGTGGTGCAGAAGCAAAATGATCACCGCCAATGTCTCCGCTGTGAATCTCATTCTTTGAGCTATTTGAGTGATCCTTTTTCCTTTTACTTTTCAATGATTTTAGACTTTTTCAAACTTTCATTTCATTTCAATTTCATTTCTTAACCGGTCTAAACTAAAAAGGAGCCGGCTTGAGGTGGAATCTCAATCTGAGGTATAGCACATCTTGTAGAGCTTGAAAAGACGAAATGAATGATGTAAAAACGAGCTGCTTATGAGCATTGTGAAGACACTAAAACTGGTTTACAAGTTACAATGAATTCTAATGAACATCAAACATTTTTCAAAAAAAACGCTATTCATCAATATTTTTTGTATGTGAGAATTTCATTTTTTAACCTTTTGGGATTAAAATTTTAAATGAAATTTCACTTTCTAATTGTGTTAAATAAAATTTCATAAACAGTTTATTTTATGTAATGCAATTGAAATGTTAAATGTTTACGCTTCTATTTTCGTTTTCTTCTTGAGCAATCGTTTATCTCATCTGGTCTTTTTGCTAAAAATTTTTGCATAAGATTTCTCAAATACTTTGAATATTGTAAAGTTTAAGAGTTTTAAAGTTTAAGAATTCAAAGTTATTCAAAGTATTCAAAGTTAAGATTTACTTGTTCAGATTTACTTTGAATATTGTAAAGTTTTCAAAGATTTACCAAAGTTGTTCAGATTTACTTACTTATTTTTATCCAAAAGTTATTCTAAAACAAAAGTACCTGATAATTCAATCATTCCAAAATCATAGTTTATCGGAGTGATCGATCCAGTGCTTACAGGGATGTTTTTTGTAAATCTTCGCTGACACTAAACGTTTAAACATCGATTTTAGTTTTAAATCCAATTGTTTATTCATAAAAACGGTATCCTTCTACAAGATTTATCACCTAACTTTAGTATAATATACTGTATTTTCTCTAATAGTAGTGCAAGATGAATGTCGGCTAAATTGTTCGAAATCTCGCAAACCGCTTATCAAAATCTATCGATGGGGGTCGGAAAATGTAGCTGACGACGAGATCTTGTGGGGGATTAGAGTCTTGAGCTTCTGTGAAAACTTTGGAAGCCGTAAAATAGTCATCAACTCGGCTCAGCTGGGTGCACTACCATTAGAGAGTATACGGTATTTAAGTCTAGATCTCGAGAACCGCTTATCAGAATCTATCGATGGGGGTCGGAAAATGTAGCTTACGACGAGATCTTGTGAGGGATTAGAGTGTTGAGCTTCTGCAAAAGCTCGGAAACCGTAAAATAGTCATCAACTCGGCTCGGCTGGGTGCACTACTGTTAGAGAGTATATGGTATTAGGTTGAAAGGTTTATTAGGTTATCAACCCCTGATTCGAATGTTTTTAACTAATCAAGATAGATACAACACATTCGGCTTATATAATTTGTATACTAACAGTATTTAAACGGAACCCAATCTTTTTGCCCATCTATGGAAGTAAAACTTGTAAGCAGCTCAGCTCAATCAAACGTTTTCGTTTGTAATTTTTACTATTTGAATTTCTCAGAAGTTCTGAGTCTTAAGAGCAAATTTTGCTATTTTCAAATCGAGATCTTGGAGTTGTTTTGGAAGTCTAAACTTAACTTATGAAAAATACGCTTTATAATCTCTATTTTTAGCTAAAAAATTTCTACATAGAAGCTTTCAAAAAATATTTTTTTGATGTCATCCTCTTGACACTTCAATGTTTGCTAAAATAGATGATTCTGAAAAGTTAAAACATTAAATCAAATTTGCCTTAATCACAAATCTTCTCTATTTTAAGTACTTCATTTTAGATTTTGAATGGAATCCATTGCCTATCCATTAACCCATTAAAAACTTGTCTAAAGGCTGATCACTTAAAAAGTGACCAAGTCACTTCAGCTGAAGAAATCTCTTATTTTTTTACCTAACACCCACATTGATTTTTTGTCAAAAACTTTTTGAAATATAGCTAATTTTATCAAAAAAAAATCTGGAAAGAATTCATGGCTTGGTTTTTGAGAAATCATCCTGCAAACTTTTTCTACAAACTTTCTTGTCAACCAAATAATAAAGTAGAATAACTTTAGTCTAAAGCACTAATTACTCACTCTTGATTTTCCATTATTGCAACTATGATAGAACATCACATTTGGAGCAGTCTAAACTTTTTGTTTATGCTAAAAAAACTGTTTACTTTGCTGGTTTTACTCGTTAGTTGAAAATATCCATTCCAGTCAGTTTTGGCTTCATCAATTTGTTCTAAACATAGATTTTTAGAAGTAAAGAGCAGTAATAGTTACAAAAAATTTGATTGCTTATTTAAGGTAGCTTGGTTAGAGCAATTGGAAAGCAAAAGAGGGTTCAGTCCTCTCTCCGGAAGTCTACTTTCTCTTACCAAATTCCTTCACTTCATTACCTTGGTCACTCAACAAAACTTGAACATTTTTGAGCGGCAATCCATTGCAGGTTACTCTAAATTGAAAGTTTGACTAATTTTCTAATTTTCTAACTTTCAAAGTCTAACTTTCCTTCACTTTTATTTTATTTAAGACTAAGATCTTTAAAAGTACAATTCTATAATCTGCCAATATTTTTCTAACCAACCGTCCTCTTACAGCAACATTCTTAACCCCAATATTTTTCTAACAAACCGTCCTCTCACAGCAACATTCTTAACCCCATTGTCAAGAAGAGCACAATAAACATTACTCGTTTTCAAGAAAAGCAAACAAAATATCAAAAGAGTAGTGAACATTTCCTGAAAATGTTTCAACCAAATAGCAAAGCGGCTTATCTAAAAAAACTGATCAATTTGAATTTCAATCAATTTCAGAATACTGATTTTCAATTGATACTCAAAATGGAAGCTATGAAAGTAATTGCAAGTCTAAATTGTAAACCTTAAGTGTAAGGAAAGTATGATTCATTTCCATCAAAAAATCCGTTTAAATACTGTTAGTTTAGTTATAGATTTTCATGTTCTTTCTTTCTAAAGAAACTTTTAAAATCTCACTTGTACTCCAGGGATTTTTGACTTCAAAGATCATCATAAAGTGGAAAAATAAACTTGTACTTTGTGTCAATTGCCTTTTCTCTTTACTTGAGTTGAGTCAGCATTGTGACTGTGACTTTTTACACTCAAAAGTAAGAAAGAATGGTGGATGAGTCGATTGAGCGTTCCCCGATCACAATTCGTACCCAGAAATAGATGATTCAAACACTGTTTTACTTCAAGAGAATGTAAAATGCACTTCCAAAAGTTGTTTGCTTTGACTAATGGATAATTTCATAACTCAAAACAACTCCAAGATCTCGATTTGAAAATAGGAAAATTTGCTCTTAAGACTCAGAACTTCTCAGAAATTCAACGAGTAAAAATTACAAACGAAAACGTTTGATTGAGCTGAGCTGCTTACAAGTTTTATTTCCATAGATGGGCAAAAAGATTGGGTTCAAAACTGGCAAAATCTTGTCAGAAAAGATTGGAGTCATTTGTTGAACTTGGGTCAGTCAATAGAGAAGAATTTGTCGGGTTTTGATCTGAAAAATCTGAAATGTTGAAGCTACACAATTGCTGAAGCTTCAACAATTGCTGAAGCTTAACACAATTGTTGAAGCTTCAACAATTGTTGAAGCTACACATCGCTTTTAAAAGCCCAAAAGGTTTGTGAAGTTGAAGGTTACATTAAATAGCAAATTTTAAAACTAATCTGCAATATTTTCAGTGCCTGCACTCGGCCTATTCTGGAATCTATTCTAAAGGTAATCAAGAATGTAACAGATTTCTGTGATTGCTCAATTGATTTGGTTGATAGCGTTAACAGCTCTTCAATCAGATATCCTGACCTTAGCCGCTAACGCTGATTACACTTGCCCAAAAGGTGTTTATCGCTATCTTAAAACAGCATTGGAGACTTGCTATTCATGTGAGCTCTTAAAGATTTCAATATTTGATATCTTGTTTTGACGAACTTGCCCATTCAGCAAGTGCTTAATCTGTTCTTTTTAAGAAAATCTCGTCTGTCCAACTTTTTCAATGGCAATCTTGGTCTTGGTCTTGGTCTTGGTCTTGGGTCTTGGGTCTTGGGTCTTGGGCCTTGGGCCTTGGGCCTTGCGACGTGAGCTCAACTTGTTGAAAGAGATGAAAGAGATGAAGATGAAAAGTAATGATAGAGATTCAACTTGTTTAGGATCTCTATCTTTATCTTTATAACAGTGATAATGATAAAGATAAATGGCTCATCTTTATAACAGTGAGAGCCAAACTGGGTAACTTTGAACTTTTGAAATATAGGCCAGAAATCTTTTTGCCCTTTTCATATAGTAGAGAAGAAAGTTTACGGTTAAGAGCATTAATTTCAGCATTCCCTCTTTTAAATCTTCAACTCTTTTTAGCTGTCGATTCTCAGCTTCCTTTTCTGAGAGCGTTGAAATATGTGGGAGGCAAGACAAATAAGAGTTTCATGGAAGCTCTCTGTGTCAACTCCACTTTCACTCCTTTGACGACAATGCCTACAATAACAACAACAATGCCAACAACAACAACAACAACAACAACAACAACAACAACAACAACAACAACAACAACAACAACAACAACAACAACAACAACAACAACAACAACAACAACAACAACAACAACAACAACAACAACAACAACAACAACAACAACAACAACAACAACAACAACAACAACAACAACAACAACAACAACAACAACAACAAAACAACAACAACAATAACAACAATAAGAATAACAACAACAAATGCTTACAATAACAACAACAATAACAACAACAACAATAACAATAGCAATAACAACAATAACAGCTTTATAGATATAGAAAACGCTTTCGCTGTTATTAAATAAAGTTTTAAAATGTTTTAGACTTAAAAATAGGGTTCAAGATATCAATATTTATTTCTTTTCTTTTCTTAACCATTCTTAACTATTTTTCTTAGCCAAGCAATCTTTCTAAGATGTTCGAACGGTCAATCACTTTTTATAGATAAAAAGTGAAAAGTTTTCTCTCTTTTTCCCTTCAATGCTTTGTGGATGTTCTCATTTTTTTTGATTGACATACTTGCAAAAAAAGAGCTAAGAAACGGTAAAGACGGCAAAGACGTGTTCTTTATCAAAGTCTTTAGCGATTTCATTTTTCAATCTATCGCTGACATGAAGCTTTTATTATTCTTTACAGCTATTCGTCTAGTATATGGTAAGCTAATTAAATGATGACTTGTTTTCATGATGATTTTTAGTGCAGATAAACATTTGTAATGAACTAATGTGCTGTTTTTTAATAGATTTACTTTAAAATGAAAATAACGAGCAAGAAAGGATACTCTTTTTTCCCTGTGTGTTTCAATTTTTCAGTTTTCAGGTGCTGGACCTCCAGGAATCGAGCAAACAGGTTCAATTCTGGAATTATCAAGCCAAAATCAAGAAAGAAATGAAATGGTCACATTCCCAAGTCAAATCAAACTATTTGCAATGTATCTTATCTGAATTTTAGCTTCGCAAAGTGATCCAACTGGAGCAATAATCGAAAGCCAAGCGCCAATCGGTGAAAATGGATTTGTCAAGCCTTTGCCAGGTTCTAGTTTTTCAAATTTTACGGAATTTTTGGTAATCATTGTATAAGCAAAATATTGTATTGGTATTTGAAAAATTTTCTTTAAAAATTTAGGTCAACCTGATTTTGGTCGACCAATTGGAGACGGTTTTTCACCACCGATAAATCCAGGTTTCTTTGAACCAATTTGATATATTGGTATTTGAAAAATGTCCTTTAAAAACTTAGCTCAACCTGATTTTGGTCGACCAATTGGAGACGGTTTTGCACCGCCGTTAAATCCAGGTCTTTTTTGATCCTGATTCAATCTGGGGGCAGCTTTGGCTTAAAATTTACGCAACCTGCCTAAACTTTAATCCGAATAGAGTAAAAGCTTACCATCAGGTCCTCAAATTCTTCTCAATTTCCCATCACCAAATCGAGAGCAAGGACCGGTGCAAGGAAATCAATTTGGTATAAAATGTTTGAGTTTTAAAAATGAATATCATTTTACTCAAAGGCCCTCAAAATCAACCAAATGGACCTATAAACAGTGGATTTCAATTCCGTGGGGATAACGGAGCTGAAAGAGCCGCGAATACCCAAGACTATGACTATCAATCATTTGATTTCACTGCTCAGGTAGCTTTCAATCTTTGATCAAAAACTCTTTCAGAATGAGACTTTTGATACGCCTGCCCCTTTTCTCATTAGCAATCCAACTTTAAACTCAAATTTCTTGATGTTGAGCTTTCCAACATAAATAGTTTTTATACCAATCGATAGAGAAAGACTTGGCGCATCTAATGATATTAAGAATATTTAAATTGAATAACCCAACACCAAGATATTTGAGCTCAAAGTTGGATGGGGAAGGGGCGCGGTGACGGACCTTCCATACGCTCCTTCGCCAATGGCAATGCGCATCTAATGACATCAAGAATATTTAAATTGAATGCCTCAACACCAAGAAATTCGTGATCAAAGTTAAATTGTCAATGTCAAAGAGGCGGGGCGTGTATAAAAGGTCCGTCGCCCCGCCCCTTTTCCATTAGCAATCCGACTTTAAACTCAAATTTCTTGATGTTGAGCTTTCCAACATAAATAGTTTTTATACCAATCGATAGAGAAAGACTTGATGCATCTAATGATATTAAGAATATTGAAATTGAATAACCTAACACCAAGAAATTTGAGCTTAAAGTTAGATTGTCAATGGGAAAAAGGACGGACGCGGATCAAATATCTGATAATCGTTTCAGAAAGACTTGAAAATCTTTACCTCACCTCTCTACAGAGTTCACAACGTGGCTTTGGTGAGTGAAGCACTTGTTTATCTAAAAAATCTTTCCAGAAAAGATTCTACTCTCACACAAATCGAAGAGATGTTGACATGAAAAGAAGACAAGGATTTGATCGACAAAGTAAGAAATTTTAGAAAGCTTTTTCCATAAAATAGAAAATTTAGAAGTAATACAAGCCAATTTTCAAAATTTCTAGCCAATCTCGGTCGAATGATCCCGATGTTGGGGTGGTTGAAGAGGAGAAAAGAGCTCTTGCAGAGATGTCCGGATCTAATCGAGCTACAGTATTTGTCGAATTCTCTTGGTAAAGAATCTAGCTGCTTGGTAATCTAGAATATATCTATTGGATCACTAATGAATTAAAAAAGCTGACTCTCACTTTTTATCCGATTCAGGTCGACAACTCTTGACCGTTTCCGCTCAGAAAGTGGAGACTTTCAAAAGGGTGAGTTTTAGATTAAATCCCGGTGAGCTTATCATTTTATAGTTTTAATGATTAACTAAGAACTTGAATAAAAGTTTCAGGGTGGTATTTGGCGGCAATTTTCATCATTAGGAGTTTGTGTAAAGAAGCCAAGTTGTGGCGCAACGGAGCCGCTCTTTGAGTTGATCGGTCAACGGGCACAAGATGGTTAGATTGTAAAATAAATACTGTACTTGTAGAAATTGTTTTAAATATTAATATCTTTAAATTGCAAATTGATTTATCTATTTAAATAAGATGCTATTGGGTTGGTGAATTGAAAACTGCGGGACTTTGAACTAAAATTTATTCAACATAAAACCATCAATTCATTCCAAATAATTTCCATTATTATTGACGACTTCTGCCCATTTTACAGGCAATTTGCGGATTTCTCTTTTGTAGTAGGATTTTGGTTTTTAATCGAAAAACTTTCAAAGCCAATTTTTGACTGCTTCTTCCGAATCGAAGTGTTCTCCAGCAAGCTCATTACTCATGATCCGGAATAAATAGTAATCAAAAGGGGCGAGGTCCGGACTGTATGAGGAATGCGCCAAAAGTTCCCAAACAAGGCTATTTATTTTAGGGCGAGTCAGTTTTGCAACGCGAGGGCGCGCGTTGTCGTGGAGGAGAACGGTCTTTGACTTGGAGGGTCTATTCTTCTTCAGGGATTCATTCACCTCTCCCAACTGTTCACTGTATTTGATTGCATTAACGGTCGTCTTGCTATCCAGCAACTCCCAGTACAAGTGTGTGAGACAAGTGTGAGACTCAAAAATGGAGGACTGGAGATGTCCCAGTTTGAGCACTTTCTTCAAAAGAAACCCATTTTGGTGTCAATAGAAAAGTTGTAGAGGATCAAAAATTAGGCTTATAGCCAAATTTCCAAAAAGGTACACTTAGTAGTTTCGCTTAAAATGCAAGTTTTGGGAAAATTCGTAAATTTGGCATTTCTTGAAAACCAGTTTTTGAATCGTTCTGAAAATTTGGATATAAGCTTGATTTTTGATTCTCTACAACTTTTCCATTGACACCAAAATGGGTTTCTTTTGAAGAAAGTGCTCAAATTGTGACCTATGACAATAGTTTTCAATTCATCAACCCAATATTTTATATTTTAGTCAAGAGTTTAAATTTAAGAGCTTCATAGCATTGCTGTAGTTTCAGATCATGAACTTCTGATCAAAAATCTAAACTTTAGAATATAACTAAGAAATTTTGACTCAAATAGGTTTAGATTTGGAAATATTTGTGAAATTCTAGGTGATGCTATCTATGTGACAACTAAAAATGAATACGAGAAGCTCATTCGAAAGGGTAACTATCGAGACGAACGAAAGGAAAAGCCTGTCTGCTATATTTGGCCTAAATAGTATATTAATATATTCATTAACAAAAGATTTACAAAAACATTTATGAAAAGGATATTTGAATTATTTGTTTATTGATAGAGTAGACATTGGTTTTCATAAAGTTCGAAGGTTCCTCGTGGTAATGATGTGAGGGAAAGAGACCGATGGAAGGTCACACAATTGTAGCCATCAAAAAACGAGGTTCTGAAAAAGTGGCAATGAATTTGATGAACGAAAAGAGTGTGTTTTTTGATGTTTAATGAGTTTAGATCAAAATTTGATCAAGCTTAAAGCTTAAAGATCAATAAAGGATTGATAAATCAATTCCTTTTTAAAAAAAACAAATTTCTGATAGATAATGGAAATGGAAAACAATAAATTGTTAGTTTAAAAATATAATTGGAATAATAGCTAGCCCCTTTACCCCAGAAATCTTCATTCATTGGTGATTGCTTTCTTTGCATTGATTCATGATTCATGATTCATTCAGTGAGAGACAGGCATGTGTGCGGTCTATAGAATCTATAGACTTCAAACTTGTCTATAGAATCTATAGACAAGTTTGAAGAAAAGGGGATCGTAAATTGGGTTAGAAGAATTCCTTCCCCCAAAACCCCGTTTGCAGACTTTTTCTGATCGCGTGACTCGGCTACTGTAACTCCTATAAAGGCTGCCGTAATTGAGTAGTTAGATTGACCGGCTACGGTAGTTGTCCACTCTTATAAAGGCCACGCTTTGAAAAGCAAAAAATGGGGATGTTTGAACATTTTCTATTATGGTGCTTTTTCTAACAATAGTGTCCCCCATAACAATGTGGGGACACAATAGAAAATGTTCAAAACAATTGTAAGAGTTTTTTCAATTAAAAAACAAAGCAATTATATGAAAATACTATAAACAAATAGGTAAAAATATAGTAAATTAAATTTCTAGAACCTTTTCTTAAAAGATTTTTATTTAAAAAAGCTTTTTAAACACTAAAATAAACTCACCATTTGAACAAGCTGCTTTTTTTTTAAATAAACAAGTTTACTAATAAATTAGAATGTAAAATCAAATAAAAAAGGAGATTCTGTTAGCTCTGTTAGCTTTAAAAGATTTAAGAATCAAAAGCTCCTCACGTTTCATCAAAAGCAAACGATGTGCATCGATCAAGTGTATCCAGTGAACACCATTGTTGACAGAATTGAATCGTTTGAGCCTAGAGTTCATTTTATACATTTTTATACAAATTATATAAGCCGAGTGTTTTATATCTATTTTGATTAGTTAAAAACATTAGAACTAGGGGTTGCTAACCTAATAAACCTTCCAACCTAATACCGTATTCTCTCTAATAGTAGTGCACCCGGACGAGCCGAGTTGATGACTATTTTACGGTTTCCGAGCCTTTGCAGAAGCTCAACACTTTAATCCCCCACAATATCTCGTCGTCAGCTACATTTTTCGACCCCACATCAATAGGTTCTGATAAGCGGTTCTCGAGATCTATACTCAAATACCATATACTCTCTAACAGTAGTGCACCCAACCGAGCCGAGTTGGTGACGATTTTACGGCTTCCAAAGTTTTCACAGAAGCTCAACACTCAAATCCCCCACAAGATCTCATCGTCAGCTACCTTTGCCAACCCCACATCAATAGGTTCTGATAAGCGGTTCTCGAGATTTCAAGCAATTTAGGCGACGCTCAGGATTAAAGAAATACTAAAAATATTGTAACTGATCGTATTAACCAGAGTTTGTTCCTCTGGATTAAATAATTAAATGAATAAACTTGCTAAACAAATTTTCAATCGATTAATGGTTACCGTATTCTCTCTAATAGTAGTGCACCCGGCGAGCCGAGTTGGTGACTATTTTACGGCTTCCAAGCTTTCGCAGAAGCTCAACACTCAAATCCCCCCACAAGATCTCATCGTCAGCTACATTTTCCGACCCCACATCGATATGTTCTGATAAGCGGTTCTCGAGATTTCGAGCAATTTAGGCGACGCTCATCTTGCACTACTATTAGAGAAAATACGGTATAGAAAATCAATTATTAATTAAATAACTAAATCAATTATTTCAGTTTTAAACAATTAATATATTTAATACCTTGTATTTCTTGAAACTGGACACATTCAAATCAACTGAGACGCGGATTCCCCGTTCAGCGAAAACGCACAGTTTCAACAAACTTGCTGAAAAGGTTTCAATCAAAAAAAAAAGTCATCTGTAAAACGTTTATATCAGATTTTCCGGAAAGTCTTTTCTTATTTTTTAAATTAAATAATTAACCAATCGATTTATGGTTTGTTTGATTAGAAATTTCTATTATTTATTTACAAATTGATCTTTAAGAAATTTTGAAAAGCTTTTTTTTAAACATTTGAAGTCAAGAAGTTAAAAATTGATGAAAAATGATGAAATTAAGTTGGAATTTAAGAATTTTTTGTCGCAGAACTCTATTTTTATGTCAAAAGAGAAGATTAGAATCAAAAGTTAAGTAAAAAAATAAAATTTGCCTACAAATACTAAGCCGTTTTCATTCTATGTTAATTGTAAAGCTTTTAGAAAAAAACAAACAAGAATGCGAGCCTGATTTACTTCAAAGTTCACTCAAAAGAGATGAACAAGCTTTTCCAATCAAAACAATATTAGCTATTGTCCTTAAATCATTTATTCAACACTACCTGGATTGCTACCCTTTTCACACAAATAATCGGTGATGTTGTAGATCGAACCAGATTGAATTGTCACCATTCCTTTGTCGATAGGACCATGGAGTACACAGTAAGTTCCAGGGCCTGAAAATTGATTAAATGCTTGATTAAATGCTTGATTAAATGGTTGATTAAATGCTTGATTAAATGCTTGATTAAATGCTTGATTAAATGGTTGATTATTAGGTTGATGCATAAGTCTTTTTGTTCCTTTTCGTCTGCCGTTTCAAGCCAACAAATGCACCAATTAAACTACGGTTGATTTCATTAGAAAAAGCAATTATTTTTCTGCAAAATAACATTAAAACGGGTTTAAAAATATTTAATGCCTGGATTTTCTTGAGAGTATGAAGTCGGGTAGTCAAAAAGGGCTAACTCGATGATGCGGTTTAGACACCTTAGCTAAAGAAAACCTATCTTCGTGTCAATAGATAAAAGATAGAGAAAAAAAAGTTTGATATTTCGCCAAAATTTCAGAGAAATTCATTCAGCCAATTTTTCCGTAGAGTTTTTTATAGATTTTTACGAAAAAGGCATTTTTCAGTCTCGAATTTGCTTGAAAGTGAACCGAAATTCATTTAAAAAGATGCAAATTGAACAAAAAAACACTTTTTTTATAGAGCAAACTATAGATTAATTGGTGAATTTGTTACTTTTTAACAGAAGTACGAAAAAAACGAAAAGACTTATGCATCAACCTATTAAATGGTTGATTAAATCCTTGATTAAATCCTTGATCAAATGCTTGCTTTCTTCAACTTTTTCTAATTTTTGTATATCTTAGCATCAGCATACCGCCCCAAGTGTAGGCTTGACATGGAAACATTGTCATATTCGCACACAATCCCTCACAATCATCCGATATTCCCATTTCCTAAAAGATTTTTGATCTAGAACGGTATTCTCTACAAGGAAAAGCACCTGTGCAGCTAATTTTGATAGCCATAAAGTAAAGCCAAACAGGTGCTTTGTCATTAAAAGTTTTTAATAATTAATTAATGATTAAAAACCTAACCTGATACGCTGATTGGCTAACTTTTGAGTGAATGTCAACACTAGGAACCATACAGCCGGCTGAAAATTTGAAAAATTGAATAAAATAAACAAGTTTACCTGGTGGAAAATCAGGTACGGCAACTAGATCACCGGGGTTTTGAGTTCGCGGTAGTGTTGTGGTTGTGGATACTAAAAATTGGCTAAATCTTCTAAACAAAGTTGTTAAGCTAGAGCTCGTACTCTTCCTCACCAGCAGGAGTTGTTGGTCCAGGCAAAAGTGTTGTTGTGGTTGTAGTAGCTGCACCAGTTGCTGGGTTAACTGTTGTGTTAACAGCAGCAACAGGACTTGCTGTAGTTGTTGCTGCATTAGTGCCTGGATTTGCAACAGTAGTTGTTGTAGCTGCTCCAGTAGAATTTGCAACAACAGTTGTTGTGACAGAATTAGCCAGAGTTGTAGTGACTGCTGGATTGGCAAGAGTTGTAGGACCGGTAGCCGGAGCAGCTACTGTAGTTGTTGTAGCTGCATTAGTGCCTAGATTTGCAACAGTAGTTGTTGTAGCTGCTCCAGTAGGATTTGCAACAACAGTTGTCGTGACAGAATTAGCCAGATTTGTAGTGACTGCTGGATTGGCAAGAGTTGTTGTAGCCGCTGTAGCTGGAACCGAAGCTGCATTCGTAGCTGGATTAACAATGGTAGTTGTCACAGGATTCCCAACGATCGGTGTAGTTGTTGGTAAAGTGTCCAAAGCTTGAAGTGTGTCTAATTGGATCTGGATTGCCGCCTTCGCATTGTCAATAATTGACTAAAATTAACTTATTAGTTTCTAAATTTCACTTAAATACCAAAAAAGCAGGATCAGTAACATTTCCGGTAAAAGCAGCTGTTTGTTGAAGAGCTGTGTCCAAATTTTGAGCTACAACGGCTTGAGCAGCATTAGAAGACAAATTGTTTAAGGTCGCTTCTGGAATTTCAAACAAATTTTAAAGAGAACATGAGCTTTTCATTAATTCTCTTAAAACTTTCACTACAGCTTTAACTCTCTTGCAAATCTTACAAATCTTACAACATTTTTACTACCTTATGCATGCTCACAGTTAGAAAAGGTGTTAGCTACAGTACTGGACAATGAAATATCTTATTTGAAAAACGATCGTCACTTTCGCGCGTCTGTAACTCCATTGTCTTTATCGTATTTCTAAATACGGTTTTGACTATATAGTGGAAAATGACCGTTTGGCATTTTTGACATTTTTCGCTATAAACGTTCAATTTTGGGAAGCTAACTCTATTTTGACCACACTAAACACCAACTTGTCCCTAAAGTGGCTCGATTCCTTTTTTGGTACTATTAAACATGATACTGTAAATGTTACAATTATAGTTTTATAATATTCTTTTATTAGATACAGTACACTGGACAATGAAATATGATATTTGAAAAACGATCGTCACTTTCGCGCGTCTGTAACTCCCTTGTCTTTGAGTTTAAACTATTAGTGTTATACATTTTCTGAAAGCTCTTTTCAAGGGCTACACAATGGTAATATTAATATTTAGAAATACGGTAAAGACAAGGGAGTTACAGACGCGCGAAAGTGACGATCGTTTTTTCAAATATGATATTTCATTGTCCAGTAGTGTAGCTTAAAAGAACATTTTAAGCCTCTAGAACTTAGAGCAAGTTTTAATGATAGTTATAAAATTTAGATTTATATCTTGTACAGAAAGAATACAAACCTAGCTGACTTGGAATTGTCACTGATGGAATGTCATGCATTACAGGAGCCATTTGAGCAACCCTAGAGTCACTTCCAGTCGAATTCTTTAGCATCTCCGTCAATTGTTGAAACGATTGCTGTGTAGCGATTAACATCTCCTTGAACTCTTGTTGTGACACATTTCCCAGTGTACCATCTTGCGCCAATTGAGCGGCAGTCTTTTGCGTGAAATTCATCAACGTTAAACTCAACGTCCTCGCCGCTTCCATCATATTGTCCATCAGTTGTGGATCAACCGCCCCAATCCCATCAACCATCACATTGACACCATTTGGATCAACCTTTGGGCCAATAGATCCAAAAACTGAGTTCCCATTTGTCTCAGAGAGTTTCTGATTAAGCTCAGCGGTCGCTTGTCCAATAGCAATTGATAAATCCGGCACTCGGATCTCTGATAATTCTGATCCAACAGTAACACTTCTTGTCTTAATCACTGTTTCAATCTTCGAGATTTGTTCTTGAGCTTTAGCAATAGTGTTATCGAATTGATTTTGGAAATCATTGTTTTGTAAATCATTGATTTCTAAATCGTTTGGTCGACTAAAAACCTCTTGAAGTCGATTTTTCACAGCTGGAATCACATTGCTTTGTTGAATAGCCATATTTTCCATTTTAGCTTTTAAAGGTTGTGTCTCATTTTGTAAGAATTCTTGAAACTTTTGAGCATCATTATTCATTGAACTCATCGAATTAACTCCAACTTTTGAGGAAATTAACTCCGATGTCAAATTCTTTACTTTACTCAAACCATTTTTTGTTAGATTCGCTAACTTCTTTAGCCCATTTTGTGTCGAATTCTTCAACTTTCCCAAAGCGTTTTGTGTCGAATTTTTCAGCTTATTTACTTCATTTTTTGTTTGATTTATTGCTCCAGAAGCCCATCCTTTCACTTTATTCCAAGCACTTTTTGTCGCATTCGTTACTTTCCCAACAACAGTCGAATTCTTAACAATATTCATCTCATTTGTAGTCCAATTCTTTGCCGAAGCTAGACCATTTAAAGTAGCATTTTTTAATTTTAAAACTTCACCTTTCGTCGCATTCTTTATCTTCCCAATTCCATTCTTTGTCGAGTTCAAAGCTTTGTCCAATTCTCCAACTGTCCAATTCTTTGCTTTAGCTAAACCAGCTTTCGAAACGTTCTTCAACTTTCCAAAATCGTTTTTTGTTTGATTCCAAGCTTGAGAGGTCATGTTTTTTGTCTTCACCCATCCATTTTTTGTAGCATTTACCAACTTTTTGACTCCATTCTTTGTCATATTCTTTACACTATTCCATCCATTTGTTGTCGCATTTATCGTTTTATTTAAAGCATTTTCAGTGAAATTTTTAGCCTTTTTCCATCCATTCTTTGTCGCATTGATTGCTTTTTTTGTTGTATTTGTTGTCCAAACTTTCGCAATTTTTGCTGCATTTGTTGTCCAATTGGCGACTTTTTGATAAGTGTTTGAGATAGCGTTTTCAGCTCTCGAAGCAGCTTGTTTCAATTTTTCCCACCAAGATAACGAGACAACAGTAGGAATAGTGCTTTGTGGGATCTCCGTTGTTAGTTGGCCAATAGCTTGAACTGCATTTTGAATCTCAATGTTTATTGCTTCAGGCATAGCTGGTGCTTGACGTTTCTGGATTGGTTTTGAAGCCTCAGCCACATTCTCGATCTGCTTTTGAAACTCTGACTTATCAAAGAGCTTTACTGCTTGCTTAACCTCAGCTTTGATTTCTTCTGGGATATCTTGTACTTCTCTCTTTACCGCTTTCAAACCTTGTACTTTTTCCATTTGTTTTTCAAGCTCAGAAGTGTCAAAAGTTTCATAAGCTATATTCTCTAACTTTTTATCGTTTTCTTTAGCTTTTCCCATCTCAGCCGAGTCATCACTAGTCGAATCGTCAAAGTTTTTCATCAATTTGTCCGTTTCATCAATGCTTGATTGTATTTTTGAGATGTGATTATCGAGATTCGTTTCGGATTTCTCCAAAATCGACTCAGTTTCCTTTTCGAATTCCGCTGATTCAATATTTGTGTCCCATTCTTCGCTTGACATCGAAAATCCGCCCAAATCACTTTCAGCTCCCAATGTCAGCCTCAAAATAATCGAAAGAAGTACCCATTTCATCTGAAAATTTGCCAAACTATTTTGAAAAATTCTTAAATATTGGGTTGGTGAATTGTAAACTGCGGGACTTTGAACTAAAATTTATTCAACATAAAACCATGAATTCATTCGAAATAATTTCCATTATTATTGACGACTTCTGCCCATTTTACAGGCAATTTGCGGATTCCTCTTTCGCAGTAGGATTTTGGTTTTGAATCGAAAAACTTTCAAAGCCAATTTTTGACTGCTTCTTCCGAATCGAAGTGTTCTCCCGCAAGCTCATTACTCATGATCCGGAATAAATAGTAATCAAAAGGGGCGAGGTCCGGGCTGTATGGGGAATGCGCCAAAAGTCCCCAAATAAGGCTATTTATTTTAAAGCGAGTCATTTTTGCAACGCGAGGGCGCGCGTTGTCGTGGAGGAGAACGATCTTTGACTTGGATTTTGGTTTGTGTGTGAGACAAGTGTGAGCCTCAAAAATAGAGGACTGGAGATGTCCCAGTTTGAGCATTTGAGCACTTTCTTCAAAAGAAACCCATTTTGGTGTCAATAGAAAAGTTGTAGAGGATCAAAAATTAGGCTTATAGCCAAATTTCCAAAAAGGTACACTTAGTAGTTTCGCTTAAAATGCAAGTTTTGGGAAAATTCGTAAATTTGGCATTTCTTGAAAACCAGTTTTTGAATCGTTCTGAAAATTTGGATATAAGCTTGATTTTTGATTCTCTACAACTTTTCCATTGACACCAAAATGGGTTTCTTTTGAAGAAAGTGCTCAAACTGTCACATATGCCGGTAGTTTTCAATTCACGAAGCCAATAGTTAAGAAAATTGAAGTCTTTCATTGCCTTTCATTGGAATATTGGAATTTTAGTATTTCTTGTGTTTAAAAGTGAAGAAAATGAAGCAGTTTGACGGTAGATGTTAAGAATCTCTAATGTAACGCATATCAATCGTCTTAAATTAATTCTAATACAAAATGAGCCTTTCATTCAATCACAAATTCTCATCTGTCCAGTTCTTTCTGTATTCTTTTTATGTATGTTCTTTTTCATTCCAGAAATTCGCAAAACTTTATGTTGTACAGTAAAAAGATTGAAACAAAGCTCTACTCGTTGGCACAATCACCGGAAGTGGAATTATTTGAGAGAGAAAAGAGGAGAAAATGGATGTGGGCCGTTCTCGAAAAATTCAATAATCACTTTCGAGCGGGGAGAGGGGACTAATTGCGAAACAGACCAGGGTTACTTTTGAAGAATTCCATCAAAAAAAAAGTTATTCCATAGACGTCAGTGAGTTTTTCTTGATTAGATTTGCCGGAGAATTGTTAAAAGTTGATAAGGAGTTCAAGATTGTCAAGCTTTGGTTTTACTTTCGAATTGGAAAAAGTAGATTGAATGTATAAAGTTGTAGATAAACAAGTAAGATGTGTTAAAGAGGTTGGTATGCCAAATGAGATACGTTTGTAAATCTATGTAGAAGGAAATTAAAGTTTAACAATGATAAAGGTATAAGATAAAAAGATCAAAAAAGATAGCATTAGGGTTTAAAAAAAGGAGGTACTTGCAACGCTAGAGATCCAAATTCACTCTAACTCTATTTTAACTAAAAATCGGCTTGTTTTTACACTTAAACATTAATTTATCACTTTCTCTGATACTCAAAGTTGTAAGTATCAGGCCAAGATCGATATGCAAAATGTAGTGTTTTCAAATCTAAGTAATGGTGGACTTAAGCTTTGTCAGGGATCTGAATATCATGCCAGATTCTAAGCATTTGCAAATCTAGAAAAAGATTAACGGTAAACGAATCATTAGGATCAGAAATCTTAGTGAAAGGAAGAAAATGAAGGAAGGAAGAAAGGGAGGGAAGAAAAGGAAGGAAGAAAAGGAAGGAAGAAAATGAAGGAAGAAAGGGATGGAAGAAAAGGAAGGAAGAAAAGGAAGGAAGAAAAGAAACCAAGAAAAGAAAAGATTCAAAAAAATATGTTTTAAAACACTAAAATCAAACAATCAATACGCATTTACTCAAAAAAAGTGACAAAATGAGTTTAAAGCTTCAACAAATTGAGTTGCCGAGTGGGGTGAAGGAGAGCGAAGAGAAAAGTTCCGATGAGGATAATCCATTGAGGGCCGATTGAACCAACCGAACCTGAAAAGAGGAAAAGTTGATCTCGAATCGGATGATTGAATAAACTTGTCCAAATTCCCTATAACGAGAATGCTCAAAATTTGATTGATCTACTAATAATTGGCTATGAATGCTGGTTGGTGAATCATTGTAAATCCAGCTACAGAAGCAGTAGGTTGGATTTTAGAACTTTGAAAATCCTATTAAAACCCAAATCATAACCTGACTCTTGTTTCAGATTTGATCCTAAATCAAAAACAAGAATGCTATCATTCAAAACTTCTCTTCAACTCACGCGGAGTTGTTGCCGCTGTTGGTGATGCTTGTGTGACATTCGTCGAATTTCCTCCAGTAATATCTCCATCATAATCATCACAATCGGTTGAATTGCCCGCTGTTCCATTCATCATCATTACACTGTATCCAATCAGTGTACAATTCCCATTTCCAGATCCATTCCCAGTCAAGTTTCCAATTGGGCTAATGGTGGGAAGCGATGGGAAGATTGTCGATCCCAACGTGGTCATTGGTGGGGCTTGTGTGGCTGCTCGCATTGGTCGATCTAAATAGCTGACTTTACCAAATCTTCAGTTAGCTATCTGTCTCTGACTTGAATTTAAAGCATTACTAGTCTGATTCTGGGTATGTTCTACTCTAGAACCGATCGAATTACGGGTTCTACGTAAGCCAAGCCAGCCAAGCCAGCCAAGCCAGCCAAGCCAGCCAAGCCAACCAAGCCAGCCAAGCCAGCCAAGCCAGCCAAGCCAGCCAAGCCCCCAAGCCAGCCAAGCTAGCCAAGCCAACCAAGCCAGGTCAAGCCAACCAAGCCAACCAACCAAGCCAACCAAGCCAGCCAAGCCACCAAGCCAACCAAGCCAACCAAGCCAACCAAGCCAGCCAAGCTAGCCAAGCCAGATCCAGGCTTGGCTTCTTGCAAGCCTGCAAACTATTGTAAAAACTCTAGTCTCTTTGGATTGTTTTGATTGTTTAGTCTGCCAAGATTCAAGCTAGTTATGTAAACTATTTGCTTCAACTTTTCGACTTCAAAACTTACAACATTGACATAAAAAGCCAGTGGTGTTCGGATAGATTGACGGGCTCGATGGGATCGTTTGTCCGACCTAAAGTTCGAAAGTTTTTCTTTTAGAAAACACTAATTTAAATTCTTTGAATAGATTTTAAGAAAAAAGATAAGAAAATAGAAAATTATGAAAGTTCAAAGGTTAAAGTTTAAAAGAGCTAATAAAAAATATGAGTCAAACCTCAATAACGTCTTTTCCATACTAAATTTTGATTAATTAGCTTAAAAAGTTACAAAAAGTACAAAAAAAAGTACAAAAAAGTACATTCTTACTGTACTAAGAAAGTTACAAGTTTTTCAACTAATACATCGGCTTGGCATGCAAAAAGAAATGATCACAAAATGTGAATTTCTGGGAAATTAAAAGCAAGCTTTTTATCTAGAACAAACCTGATAGATGGAGTTGTTTTGGGCACAATTTGTATCGTTCAATCCGGTCGGTTGTGGAATGGATGACCCGTCATACCGTAGCCACTCCCACGGGCCACAATTCGGCTCTCGGACCAATCCCAAGAAGAAGAGGTCTTGCGGCTGAAGGTTTGGGTAAACTGTGATCAAGCTAAGGGCCAGCTAGCTAGTAGTTTTGTATTAAGAGATTAAGCCTAAGATAAAACTACAGTAATCGTGAGCCACAGTAACCGTGAGCTACAGTAACCAGCCACGGTAGCCCATAGTAACCCAGCTACAGTAACCCTGCTACAGTAACCAGCTACAGTAACCCTGCTACAGTAACCAGCTACAGTCACCTTGCTACAGTAACCAGCTAAAATAATCCTGCTACAGTAACCTAGCTACAATAGCTACAATACTAAAGTAATCCAACTACAGCAACTCAGCTACAGTAACTCAGCTACAGTAACCAGCTGCAGTAACCCAGCTTAATCTACCTGGATTACTATAGCCCTATTGCTACGGCTTACGCTTGGACTTAGTGCAAAGGCTAGCGGCTAGCGCCTTGCACTAAGTCTACTTGGGTTTGGGCTCAACCCACATTTTCTGGATCTCGACCAGTTTAGCTTAGGCTTAGGCTACATCAAGCCATAGCTATAGTGCTTTAAAGTTCGTTGGTAAGTGCCACGATTTGATTAAACTTTGCAATTGATCTGCGAACATACTTTATAAAGTAAACATGAAGAGTTTATAAATTAAAACTAGAAAGCCTTATAATATTCTTAAATTTAAAGTTCAATAGGCTTAAAAGTGTTGAAGAGGTTTTGTTGTTTAGCTAAAACCTACCGCAAAGAGACTGTTATTGAGATAAAGTCCGAGCTCGTGGTTGAACGTGTTCACCACTTGACAAGTCCCGTTGATTGGGACGGCCAACTGGAATTTCGAGTTGAAATTTGAATATGTTTTTACAAAATACTTGATTGCACATGCCGACAATGTTTTGGAATTCCACTTGAGGCCAACGAACGAAGAAAGCGCAACTATCCGATCCAGCGTCATAATAATGGCTCACATAGGTGGAACTAGTGTTTTTATAGGAGTCACAAAGCTAAAAATGAGTTTGATTCTGAATTTAAATCAATTTACAAGTCAAGCTCGGTTTTTAAGCTTCTCAGAGCTTCTCCGAGCTTCTCAGAGCTTTCAGATCTTTCTTGTTAGTTAATAAGTTTCTGTGCTTCTATTCTAAGTTTCTAAAACTAGATATATCTAAGTTTTCTACTTGCTTTTAAAGCTTTATTTCTTAGAATTACCATTTTATTATTGATGACGTTATTTTGTTAAAGAAAAGATTATGAAATCGTTCTTCTTTCCCTACAGTACCCCAGCCTTTTCCCTTTCAGCTCTCCGATCTATTTTAACTCAACTTTTTAATAGGAAATTTTGAAGTTAACAGAAATAAATAGTAATCTATAAGCTTTTAAATCTAACTTAGATCTATAGCTATCTTAGATTTAAAGAAATTCTTACAGCTGATGCCCACGTCATCGCTTCTGCTTCAATATAGAAACTCGAGAAAACAAAGGCCAATAATGGCAATCCAAGAAGCCCCATTTGATTGTTGAGTTTCCTGGGAATCATCTTAATTCAATATTTGAGATGAAGTAAGTAATCTTGAAGAAGTATTGAGAGAAAATACAATCAAGGAGAACCCAACACACGGGCCACAGGTCGTTATGGAACCCGATTGCAACCCTCCATCTTTTTCCACCTTTTTCAACCATGGCAACCAATTATTGTGCGTGAGTTTTTTCTCTACACAGGTGAGAAAATGGCAGGGATTTTCGAAGATTCGCTCAATGAATCAGAAATTAGAAACAAGTTTGAGAAGGGGAAAAGTTGAGGGGTTTCAAATGGGGTGAAAGGATTGGAAGTGAGTTAGAAGAAGTAAGCTGTAGAACAAGGACAAGTTAGGACAAGAAATAAGCTATAAATAGATAAGTTAATCAGGCATCTAATCACAAACATAATCCTTTAAAAAAACTGGTAGAATTGTGGTACTTACTAGCAGATCTTCTTGGGAATGTTGTTGTTGAATCATTTGACAAAATAGTTGTTCTAGTGCAGGCTCGTAACGACAGAGTGACACACATTTGTGACACAGCACTTCAGAGAACCTAGATTGATCAAATGGAAAAAGAAAAGATGCAGAAAAGATGCAATTAAATGCTCAATTCAAGCCATTCAACTTGCTCAAACAATTCCTCATTATATAAATGAGTAGCGTGTCGAGCGATACTCGGCTCTCAACTTTGGAAAGCTATATAAAAAAGTTGAAAGATTGAATCGATTAGATGATAGGCATAGTTCCAGGAGACATACACTTAAGATTTACTTCCAGAAAAATCAGAAAGATTGACCCAATTTTGGCCATTCTAGGCCCTCTGAAGTGGGCCATCATGTAGTTACAAGCCTTCACTAGGTCAACTGTTTTGTCAAATGTTTCAATTACTATCAAATCCAAAGAAGATCTGATATAATTGTGAGCCACAGTGTAGTTTAACATATTGGCAAGGGCAAGACCTTCAACTCTTACTCGTTTTCTTTATTCTTTTGCCCATTTGATCGATTCAGAGAAGATATTTGCACATTTTGTGGCCATAACCTCTGTTTCTAAGTTTAATGACAGTTTTATTGATCTATTACAGATTAAATTCAATATTAGATTAAAGTTTAATCCAAACTAGCTTCTGAATAGCGTAAATTGATGATTAGACGAGTTATAAGACTTGATCAACTCTGAATCTCCCCCCGAATCGCTCTTTTCTCAGAGCTCGCCAGTTTTTCTTCTCATTCTTTCACTTTTTTCACAACAGCATTGAAAGAAAGAATATACAAAACAAACAAATCTCAGTCTTCTCTACAATGTCCTTGTAATCTGTGAAAGACTCTCGTTCTGTGAAAGTTCGAGTATTGAGACGATGAGTCGACCCTAAAGCTCTTCAGAAAACTAGCTAGTTTTAAAACGATCACCACTTCAAAGCTCAACCCCCAAAAACGGAGTGAAGCGAGATTTTTGCGTAGTTTTTGCATTGCTTATTGAAATGAATTTAATCTTTGAAATAATTGGAATTTTTTTGTTGTCGACAATAGAAGCACAATTCGGGTGTGGCGGAGGATGTTCGAGTGGTTGTGGAGCTCCATTGCCGATGCCTTGTGCAAGACCTTGTTCCCAGCCACAACCATGTCCAATGCAGGTTAGCAGAAGATCTAGAAACAAGCTGTTCTGCATTAGAAAGTGATACCAGTAGTTCTTGAGGCTTGAGAACTAGAAAGATTGCTCAGCAACAAGCTTCAACCTCTTGATCACTTTAAAAAAAAAAACTTTTGTCAACAGAACTGATAACTTGACAAAACTGTATAGAAACAAGTTCTTTATTGATTGATTGATTTATTTAAGTCGTTTATTGTTTCCAGGTATGTCCACCACCTCCAATCTGTCCTCCACCTCCACCACCTCCTCAATGCCCTCCACCAATGTGTGCTCCAAGATTCTGCCCTCCTCCACCAACTCCAATGTGTCCTCGACCAGCTTGTCCAATGGCTCCACCATGTCCATGCGGCAGTCAATCAATGTATCAACCTCAAATGTATGGAGGTGGCTTCGGATTCGGTTTTGGAATGGGTTTTGGTAAGAGAAAGACATAAACTCTTGATAAGAAAAGGTTTAGGTGGTGGTTGTAGTGGTGGCGGTGGTTGTGGCCAATCACGACCTTACCTTCCTCCACCAGCTCCAACTGGAGGCTGTGGAGCTTCTCCACCAGCTCCATCTGGATGTGGTGGTGCGCCTCCTCCACCAGTTCCTGCACAGGTGTCTGAATCAAGACTAGAATTCGCTGAGTAGCAGTTTAGATAAAGCTTAGTTAGCTTGTTGGTATAAAGCTTTTGAAAGAATTCTTTTAAAAAGAAATTGATCAAGTAGTTTTGTATCTTTGTATATGTTGTGTCGGATTTAGATTCAATCTAAATCTTATATAGATTGAACAATAATATAAACATGCTTAATATATGTTCTTAAGCGTTTTCTGTAGTTTTCTGCATTTTTCAAAGGTCTTTTATTGATTACAGTCTATAGTTGGGTTTTCTTTTCAGAAAAAGACAGTAACAGACCTTTGAAAAATGCAGAAAACTACAGAAAACGCTTAAAAACATATATTAAGCATGTTTATATTATTGTTCAATCTATATAAGACGTATTATTGTTCAATCTATATAAGATTTAGATTGAATCTAAATCGGACGTCCGATATAGACTGTAATCTAAATCGGACGTCCGCGATAAGTTCAATCTAAATCAGACGGCCGATTTAGATTGAATCTAAATCGGACACAACATATATAAAACTAATTAACTTATAAATTTTCCATTAAATTTCTAGAATGATTGTTGCTGTGGTTGCAAGGGAACCTGTAAATATCGTCGACGAAAAGCTTTTGGTGCAAAGACGCGAATGATTGACCCAAGCTGCAACAGTGCTGAGCTTCGAACGATCATTCAAAAGGTTGGTACAATGTTTTTTTTTTAGAAAATCTTCTTTAGTATATCACTATGGACACATCGGAGTCAAAGAGACAAATCCAAAAGGCGGCTCAGAGTGTCTTCGGATCGAGAGTGAACGTGATCTGTGGAAGGGGCGAGTACTCCTACATTGCGCACACTGATCTCTTCTGTCAAACGACAAAAGGCGAGATTACTTGTTATGCTTTTAAACCGCTATGAGTAAATAAAGTTTGAATTGGTTTTGTTGTCAAATTTTGCACAGATACTGATTCAGTAAACGTCAAATGAAGAGAAAAACTAAAAACAAAGATTTATTCAACAAGTGTTAGGCAAATCAAAAGCAAATTGTTGTTAATCAGCCGAAAACTTGGTTAACAGTGGGTTTTTCTGGCCAGGGTTCCTGGTATAGTCGGCAGCTCGCTTGTCTAGGAGCCACAAGGCCCCAGTTCAACTCCCAGGTCTTTACCGGACTTTGATTTTTAATTTTTTTTCGAAAATGACACAACTAAAATATATTCTAAGCTTTTCTAAAAACTTTTAACTTTATTGGTCAAAACACGGTCGAAAAATATAGATAGACAGACAGACACTGCTCTTTTACAGGCTTGCCAGAAAGTTCTGTTATTTTTGAAAGCGGCCCTTAAAGAAGGTTCAGAAAAGAAGTGAAAACAATAGTAAAATAAATATGTAACTTTTCTTATTAAAACTAAACTATTTTTCATAAAGATTCGTCAAAAAGATGGGTTTTATTATGCTTTCAAGCAAGCTCTGTTCTTCAGACTATCGAGCTGACAAATCCAGTCATTAGAAAGCTTTACCTCATAAAGATTCTCAAGGATAGGTTATGCCACAAGCCCGACTATCGAGCTGAAAAATCCATCATTAAAAGCTTTATCAATTTTTATATTCCATAAAGATTCATCAAAAAGATGGGTTTTATTATGCTTCCAAGCAAGCTCTGTTCTCCAAGCTATCGAGCTGACAAATCCAGTCATTAGAAAGCTTTATCCATTTTTATATTTCATAAAGATTCATCAAAAGGATAGGTTTTATTATGCTTTCAAGCAAGCTCTGTTCTCTAGGCTATCGAGCTGACAAATCCAGTCATTAGAAAAGCTGAAACACAAATAAAGCTTTATCAATTTTTATATTCAAAAAGAGGAGATATATTTTTTTAAACTAACCGCTTTACAACTAATTTAAGCTAGAAATAGCAAATCTATAGCCATTTTACGAATTTCAAAATTAGAATTGCACGCTTCTGAAAAAGATCCTTTATTGAAACCGTTAAGAGTCTAAATTTTCTCAAAACTTAATTCCATATAATAAGCCTCGCTGAAGCCTTTTAACAGCTAAAGCAGTAGCTCACCTTCTTATTCTATGCGTTTCCGCATCTCACGATTAAAGCAATCAACCATCCCTCTCCACAACGTTGGGAGCAGCACATTGACTTGGAAATTTTTCTATTTCCAAACTGAGATCAGCATGGCTTACTCTTTAACCTGAGCTAGCAGTCTGGTAGGATCAACCAGATATCTGAACTAAGATCAGCATTGCTTAGTCTTTAACCTGAGCTAGAAGTCTGGCAGGATCAACCAGATAGATATGCATGGCTTACTCTTCAACCTGAGCTAGAAGTTTGGCAGGATCAACCAGAGATCTGAACTATTAGGTTGGTGCAAAAGAAATTTCGGTCGATATAAAATGTTCTTATTTTTTAAATCTGAAGAGCTTATTTGATGTTCTTTTGTGCATTTGTACTCTTGGATATTTACTTTATTTTCGCATTTTTTCAAAGTCAGAGCTTTCACTTTTTAATTGATTTTTGCTTTAGATCATGGTGGATCAAAAGTATGTTCTGCGCACGTGTCTTCTCTATGACTTCAAAATGGGCAAAAACGCTGCTGATTCACATCGTGATCTCTGTTCCGCCTTTGGAGAACAGGTTATCACCGAAAGATCATGCCAGCTCTGGTTTGCCCAAATCCGAGATGGTAATGAATCCCTTGAAGACGAATCGCATGGACATCGTGCCACAGCCATCGACAACAATGAATTGGAACAATTAATTGAAGCTGATCCAATGCAAACAACACGAGAACTTGCCAAACATCTCCAATGTGATCATTCAACAATTGTACGCCATTTGGAAATAATTGGAAAGACAAATCGTAATGGACAATGGGTTCCACATCAATTGAGTGTTGAGAATCTGGGAGCACGCGTTTCGATCAGCCATCTCTTGCTCCATAAGTCGAAAAGAAGCCATTTTTTTGAGAATATCTTGACGATGGATGAGAAGTGAATTCACTTTGATAATACTTCTCGAAAAAGACAATGGCTGAGCAAAGGTCAAGCGCCAATTCCAACTCCAAAGCCGGATTATCATGGGCGCAAAGTGATGTTGTCTTGCTGGTGGAATATCAATGGACTTGTTCATTTTGAATTATTAGAGCCCGGAAAAACAGTCGATTCATCTTATTTTATTCAACAACTCAAGAAGGTTGACGAAATTTTGCGTGAAAAAGGCCTAAATCCCTCAACTATCAACTTTCTCCGTGATAATGCTCCAGCTCACACGGCAAAAACCTCTTATAAGGAACTAGAGAAGCTAGGATGGAAGGTCTTACCACATGCGCCGTATAGTCCAGACTTAGCACCCTCCGATTTTCACCTTTTCAGATCGATGCAACATTCCCTTGAGAATTGCCAGTTTAAGAATGCAAAAGAAGTCGAAAATTGGGTGACCAACTACTTTGCATCACAGAATCAAGCGTTCTTTGAGAAGGGGATCCGCAATCTGTAGCAACGTTGGAGGGATGTCATAGATAATAATGGTGCTTATTGTTTTAAATAAATTGTTATCTAAAAAAATTTTGGATGACTTTAATGTTTGCAAAAAAACGAAATTTCATTTGCACCAACCTAGTAAGATCAGCATGGCTTAGTCTTTAACCTGAGCTAGCACTCTGGCAGGATCAACCAGATATCTGAACTAAGATCAGCATGGCTTAGTCTTTAATCTGAGCTAGAAGTCTGGCAGGATCAACCAGATATCTGAACTAAGAAAAGCATGGCTTAGTCTTTAACCTGAGCTAGCCGTAATAGTTAACTTTTCTAAAAATTAAGTTTATTACCTTTGGTCTTTTATCAATTGTATGGTGGTTGTTTTAAAAATAACAGTACTTTCCAGCCATTTTAGTAGATGGCAAGTAGGCTTTTCTAAATTCTTTTAGGTTCATTGTTTCAATCACAGTTGATGTTTTTTAAAACTTCTTTACCTCATTCGATAGATTTCTCTCTCATTTTCATTCCCATTGGCAATTTCTCCCATCTTTTAAGGCAAAAAAAAGGGAAAAGAAATTGTCTTTGCAAAAATGCTCTCAAATCGAGTAAGTGAAAAGATTGAGGTGAGTGAAATGTCACCAATGATGTCCATTCATTGATTAGTTGTTTCCTCATTGTTACCTTATTCTTAATTTTAGTTATCTTATCGTTTAAGTTTTTCCTTTTAAAGTATTACTTCTTCTAAACTTTCTTCAAGAATTTATTGAAGTAAGAAGTCGACTTTTTGGGGATCATTGAGATCAAGGTGATCTCAGTTTTTCGGTTTTATTTCCAAATCATTTAAACTATTATTTTCTAAACTATTTCAAGTTAATTTCAATGTTTACTTGGAAAAAATAATCCTAATTCTTTAGATTCTTTGAGAATAAAGAATTTGAGTATTACAAATTAGGGAAATCTTTTCAAATTGCTTTTCAAATCATTCAAATTTATATGTTTAATATATTTTTGTATAGTTTATCTAACAATATGATAAGAAAATCTAGCTCACAAAGCATTTCATCAGTCATTTCATCCCTGACTCCATTGAGGAGTCTCGTGTAGTGTAGTTCGTCTCTTTGCTTCCATTATCAAACCATTTTTCTTTCGCTCTCTCCTTTTATAAAAGAAAAACGCTCCTTTTGCACTTTGTTCAGTTCAGTTTATAAAATTTAAAGTATATAAAATGAAGGAAAGCTTGCTGCTTGCTGATTCTCAGAATCATTTGAATCATTGTTATATCATATTTTGTATTGTTCTTTTAAAACTCTAGAATCGAATTGTTAAGTTCAATTAGTTATTTAGAATGGTGAACACTTTGATTCAACCAGGGGACAATCCGGACATCACCTTGGAAAGGAAAAAGGCGACATTCGATATTCACCAAATGGGAGCTTTCATTCATGGTGGAGAGCACAATTTACAGGTGATTATAGATTCTAGAGCTATTTTATTCATTTTCCAGAGAAGAAAGGAGATCTTGGAGTTCGTGGAGAGTCGACCTGAGTTCAAAGATCCGATTCCACCGGAGTTTATGACGAGAGAGGATCGAGTCATGAATAATGGAAGAAAGGTGAGAAGGAAATAAAGAATTATAGCTACTTTTTAAAAAACTAGCTGGCAAATGCTTAACTTATTTCAAAATTGGTAAGTGTTATAAGAGAATTATAGCCTTAATTCTTGGCTACATTTATCTACTAAAAACTTCCCAATTGGACTTATACAACTCATTTTCCAAGCGCTTGAATGAGCGCTAGTCAAATTTGTCATTTGGCTCTTTTCCCTATTAAAAATTGTTAAGAAAAGCTTTTCAATAGTTCTTTATTACAAAAATAGCGTTTAACATCACTTAGCAATATAAAAAATCAAATTTAACTGAACTAGTTGAACCAAAAAGATGATGTCAATGAGACTAGGGCAAATCAAAGAGTTCTGCGCCACCTGGACTCGAACCCGCGACCTTTCACTTACCGAACACTTGTGTTAACCATTACACCACAACGCACCTGATCTCCCTTACTCCAAAGGGAGTTAACTTCCCTCCTCTCTAGACAAGACGGTTCCACACGTCTCAATTTATAGGCCTGGGGTGCGCTCGAAACTAGGTATACCTTACCCAGTTGAAACTAGCCTAGATCAAAAACTTGTGCGCCGCTAGGACTCGAACCCGCGACCTTTCGCTTACTGGGCAATTATGCTAACCATTACACCAGAGCGCATTGATCTCCTTCGCTTCAGAGGGAGTTAACTTCCTTCCCCTCTGGACGAAATGGTTCCACACGTTTGGGTTAGAGAAACTAGGTATGAAGACCTTAGCCAGCCTTGCAGAGCCCATCCCTTCCGTGGTCGCGAGTTGGAACTAGGGCAGATCAAAAACTTGTGGGCCGCTAGGACTCGAACCCGCGACCTTTCGCTTACTGGGAACCGAGCTAACCATTACACCACAACGTAGTTGACACTCCTTACTCCAGAGAGAGTTAAGTTCAAGCTTCTTTTTGAGAAAGAATTCATTCATTGAATTTGACTTTTTCGATATTCATTAAGTATTTTCATTGAGTATTTTATCAACTATTCTAGCGCTATAAATTTGTTGAAAACATTTTTTAAACAAAACTACCAAAAGTTAGACTGGAAAAAAAGCTTTTCTGAATGTAATTTTTGTAGAAAATTGTGAAAAATGGCAGATTTGTCGGAGAGATTTTAAGCGCTCATTCAAGCGCTTGGAAAATGAGTTGTATAAGTCCAATCGGGAAATTTTTAGTAGATAAATGTAGCCAAGAATTAACGCTACAATTCTATCTAACGCTTACCAATTTTGAAATAAGTTAAGCATTTGTCAGCTAGTTTTTTAAAAGGTTGACGCTATCACCTAGATATTTTTTGTTTCAGTAAGTGAAAGGTCCAGGGTTCGAGTCCGGGTGACGCAGAAATTTTTGATTTGCCCTAGTTTCATTGACATCATCTTAAATTTTGGTTCACGAGTTTTTGATCTACCCCAGTTCCAACCGTCTCTGCAATGGTGGCTAAGGTCTTCATACCTAGTTTCGAGCGCACCCCAGGCCTATAAACTAACCGAGACGCGTGGAACCGTCTTGTCCAGAGAGAAGGGAATTTAACTCCCTCTGGAGTCAGGGAGTTTGAGTGTGTCCTGGTGTAATGGTTAACACAGTTGTTCGGTAAGTGAAAGGTCCCGGGTTCGAGTGGCGCAGAAAAGCGCTCATTCAAGCGCTTGAAAAATTAGTTTTATAAGTCCAATTGGGAAGTTTTTAATAGAGGCTACAATTCTATCTAACACTTGACACTTTTGGATTTAAATTAGACATTTTGTAGCTAGTTTCTTAAAAAGTTGACGCTGTCACTTAGATATTTTTATCAATGAATGCTTTTAGGCGGTAGCAATGACTGATCTAGCTGACGCCATCGATGGCTCAGATTTCTTTGGAGAAGGAATTTATTATCAAGGGTTTGTTTTAAGAAATATTCCATAATAAAATAATTGCAACAAACTCGAATTAAAGCTTTCTACATCGTTAGCAAGGATGATTTAAGTATTGCAGACTAATTATGGGTCGTGATTTGCATGGGATGTCACTTCACTACGCAATGTTCTTTCCAACGATTCAGAATCAATCCGATGACGAGCAGCTCGATAAGTAAAGTGAAAAAAAACAATGTTAGGTCTAAATTCGACTTCAAATTCCCTAATTCTTGATCAATATTTCATTGATAAGAGCTTATTACGATTAGTTGGCGTTTTTCGCTTCTCAACGAGTCTTATCTATAAACCAGGCCGCTCAAAAAGGAGTCAGAAAGATTTGCAACACACAATTTTTTCGAAAATTAGCTTATTATAAGAAAAAAGTTGTTATTTAGATAATTTAATGTTATTTTTTAATATAAAATTTAGAATTTATCGGTTAAGATAACATTAAAATGCTTTTTTTTGTTTTAAAATTTAACAATTACGGTTACGATAGCTAGTCAGTTTGTAAAATGAATATGAAATCTAAAATAAAGCTATTCATTTTACAAATTGAATAGCTATTCAATGAATAAATGAATCCCTATTTTCCTAAATATCAATATTTTCAGCTGGTTACCTTTGGTCGTCTCTCGGGCAATCATTGGAACTTATGCGCAAACTGAATTAGGACACGGTAGCCACTTTTTCTATCACTTCTATTCAAAAATGAGCAATGAGCTTTTTCAGGCACAAATCTACAAAAGCTTGAAACAAGAGCTACTTATGATTCGAAAACAAAAGAATTCATTTTGCACAGCCCACAAATAACAGCGGCAAAGTGGTGGCCGGGAGGTGAGACTCAACTAGTTTTAAAAAGCATCTATTTTTATCTAGACAAGCAAATTTTGGACAATTATCTTAAAGAAAAGAAAATGCTGAGCTTCTGCTATTTGCCAAAGTACCGTATTTTCTCTAATAGTAGTGCACCCCTGAGTGTCGCCTAAATTGCTTGAAATCTCGAAAAGCGCTTATCAGAACCGATCGATGTGGGGTCGGAAAATGTAGTTGACAATGAGATCTTGTGGGGGATTTGAGTGTTGAGCTTCTGTGAAGACTTTGAAAACCATAAAATAGCCACCAACTCGGCTTGCCGGGGTACACTACTATTAGAGAGAATACGGTAACCATTAATCGATTGAAAATTTGTTTAGCAAGTTTATTCATTTAATTATTTAATCCATAGGAACAAACTCTGGTTATTACGATCAGTTACAATATTTGTAGTATTTCTCTAATCCTGAGCGTCGCCTGATGTAGCTGACGATGAGATCTAGTGGGGGAATAGAGTGTTGAGTTTCTGTGAAGACTTTGAAAACCATAAAATAGTCACCAACTCGGCTTGCCGGGGTGCACTACAATTAGAGAGTATACGGTATTTGAGTATAGATCTCGAGAACCGCTTATCAGAACCGATCGATGTGAGGTCGGAAAATGTAGCTGACGATGAGATCTAGTGAGGGATTAGAGAGTTGAGCTTCTGCAAAAGCTTGAAAACCGTAAAATCGTCACCAACTCAGCTCGGCCGGGGTGCACTACTATTAGAGCAAATAGCGTAATACAAATAAAGAAATCCAGCTGAAAGTCTGAACCAGTTGCAAAAGTAGAGTTTCTTGAGCATTTCTACTTTTAAATCCTTCAACTCCGTCAATTATTTAAAAGAAATTATTTTCCAGGAGACAGAACTTGACTTATTTCCTCTTTCTTTTCTAACAAATAGATACTGAAAAGCTCAGTGGTTGGCATTTGATTCTCCTTTAACTTTTGAAGCTCTTAATCCTCAAAACGCACCCAGTTACCGAATGGCATCTGTCTGAAAAGGAAAAAGTAAAGCAGGTTAAGGGTTCAATCCCATCTCCGGAAAACTTTGTCATTCCTTTATCGTAAAAAATCAAACTCAAAGTCTAAAACAATTGCAGTATAGAATACTAAAGTTATACTAGATTTACCGTAATCAAACCGTTCACTAAATCTCTATTTCAGGCTTGGGAAAGACGGCGAATCATGCAATTGTGATGGCTCAACTGTACACTCAAGGGAAATGTTTTGGCCCACATCCATTCTTTGTTCAACTCCGGGATCTTGATACTCATATGCCAATGAAGGGTTAGTAAAAAGTGAAAATTGTTATTATTCTTTTTCCAAATTTCCAATCCTTTTCAAATGCGAATGCTAAAAGTTTTATGATTTAAAACTTCCTTTTTCTCCGCTTGAATCGAATTTCACGGCTATAAAGTTGTTTAATTTTCTGACGTCATCCATTTTCAGGAGTGAAACTCGGAGATATTGGTCCAAAGCTGGGAATCAATGGAAGTGACAATGGTTTTCTTCTTTTTGATCAATATCGAATTCCAAGAAAGAATATGTTCATGAGATATGCAAAGGTTGAAAAAATAAAGCGAAATTCCCTCAAATTAAGTGGGTTTTTTTAGGTAAATGAAGATGGGACTTATATCGCTCCAAAGCACTCAAAACTTGGATTTGGAGCAATGGTTTTTGTGAGATCGATTATGATAAAAGATCAAGCTATGCAACTAGCAGCTGCTGCAACAATTGCTGTCAGATATTCAGCGGTGAGGCGACAAGGAGAGCCGGTAACTGGGTGGGTTTTTGAGGATTAACAGCTTTGAAGCTTTGAAAGTTAATGGAGAATCAAATTATGCTAATTTGGTTTAGTAATAGATTTTTGAACAAGTTTTTTTGTAGAAATGAATAAAGTGAATCAATCTATCGATAATTTATTAGAAATCTATGGTTTTAACAATATTTTAGAGCCGGTGAGGTTCAAATCATCGACTATTTAACTCAACGGCATCGTCTGTTGCCACAAGTCGCTCGAGCTTATGCCTTTCACTTTGCCGCTTGTCAAACAAGAGATATGTACTTGAAGGTAAAAACAATTTGAGATTTTATTCAATTATTTCAGTTGACCGAAGACTTGAACACTGGGAGCACCGAGCTTCTTCCTGAGATTCACATCATCTCTTCTGGTCTTAAGTCGATAGTCTCCTGGGAAACCGCTCAGGTATAACAAGGCTACTTTAATCATCGTTTAACTATAAGAGTTTAAAAAAACTTGCTTACTAAAGAACTTACTAAAGTTGTTCTCTTAAACATGTTTAAGAATAAGAATCTAAATGAACAAAAGTACGATAATTCTTTTAAAACATTGACGACGAAACTCTTTTACAATCGCGTGGGACAAGAACGAAAGTAGTACTGTAATAGGCTTATGATTACTTCTCATCCCATTTGACCACTGGGAGTACCGAGCTTCTTCCTGAGATTCACAGTACGGAAGTAGTACTGTAACAGGCCTTTGATTAGTTCTCATCCCACTCTGCTAGAGATTTTTTCGAAAATTTACAAATAAGTGATTCCAATAATTGAGAACCCGAATTAACATATTATTTTCAGTGGTTCGTCAAAAGTCGTACTGTATTAGGCAGCTGTTGGACACATTTAACCATCATATTTTTCTATAACAAAGTAAAGAAAAACCAATCGAAAACAATCTTAACAAATTTGTAAAAGACTTTAAAAACATTTAATAATAATCCAATAACTCAACAACCATTAACGGCATTTTTTTGTGTAAACGAGTAAAGCAGTCATTCCCATAATAATGCTTTTGGCACGTCGAGCATCTAGTGTTGGGATAGGACAAGTTTAGGACAGATTGGTCTGAGTTTTGACCTGTAAAACCAATGTTAGATTCAAAATTATCTCAAAATTTGAATTCTCCATCATTGAAAACCCTAAACAGCGTTCGACTTTATCAGTTTTTGGATCACTGTGGGTGGCCGGTGGTCCACGTCATCCCAGACGTCATCCACAGTGATCCACTCGAAGGCTACCGGTGCCCCACTCCCTCACCAATGTGTTTAATGCTTAAAGCTTAAAGTTGTCCCACTCCCCGACTCCCTCACCAATGTATTAAATCCTTAAAGCTTCAGTTTCTTGATTTTTTAAATCAAATAACATTTAGGGAATTGAACAATGCCGTCTTGGTTGTGGTGGTCACGGGTATTCACAAGCATCCGCTTTCCCTGAGATTTATGCATACGCTGTGGGCGGTTGCACTTATGAAGGCGAGAATTTGGTGATGCTGCTGCAAGTGGCCAGGTTTTATACTTACAATTAGTCTAAATGCTAGAACGAGAACGAGAACTGGAACTAGAGCGCACTATCACTCATCAGCAACTCTTGAAAAAAGCAAAAGAAAGATCTAAAGCAGGGATCGAATTTGTAAGGTCTCGCTCTAGAAAACAGCGCTTTACCACCGGCCAGGACGGAGACGAATCGAGTCCGCAAGGAGGCCGTTAGCACCGTTAAGACCGTTGCAGTTGAGATCGTTAAGACCCATTTCCAGAGTCCTAACAGAGTCCTAGCAAACTTTAGACACTTATAACTCCTGACAGATTGTCATTTAGTAAAAACGGAAGACAAATTCGGAATCAGCATAAAATTCTGCGTCGGATGGTATAGGTCGCATAGCATTTGACTCAGCCAGTTAGTCTAAATACAGTAATCTCTTCTTATCTATAGGAATACAGTAATGTAGTAAACTCTTCATGTAGTAAGCTCTTAATCATAAAATTTTAGAGCATTGAACAAAGCGGCTGAGGGAGTGATTTCTGGAAGCGCGAAACTGGCGGATCTCTGCGAGTACTTGGGCAGAAAAGGGAACGGGAAGAGCAGGTAAATCCCATGAATAGACAGCTTTATCTATAGCTTTATCCATAGCTTTATCTATAGCTTTATCTATAGCTTTATCTATAGCTTTATCTATAACTTTATCTATAACTTTATCTATAGCTCTATCTATAGCTTTATCTATAGCTTTATCTCATGACAGCTTTATCTCTAGCTGTATTCGATTAAACAAAACTATAAATCTAATATAATAAAAACAAATCCAGCTCAAACCCACTCATTTCAGCTTCACTGTCATTTCGTCAGCCACCCCACAAAACATCATTCACGACTTTGAACATGTCGCTCGCACACAAGTAAGTCTAAATGTAATTATTGAAAGTTTTAGCTTTATAAATCATATCTAAAATCTTATAGCTAAATAGAATTATATTATTTATTGACTTCTTTACCTTCATTGCATCACTTTCAAGCGAAAAATTCAATTATGAGTGACTCAAAACCCGTAAAATTGAATTTGAATTGAAGAAAGAAATGACATGTTCAATTGCGAATTGTTCAATGAATTTATAGGTATTCCGTGCGCATGAGCTATTGAAAAAGAATCAAAGCAAGATGTCGAATGAAGAAGCTTGGAATAGAACATCGGTTGAATGGGCTAAAGCAGCTAGGGTATTGAAAAATGGTGAAATTGTCAGTTCGAAATGTTTAGATGCATGTGAAACTCTACTTGATCAAGAATTTTTTCAACAAAGTTGCTGAGGCTGTAGATTCATCGATTCGTCATCCACTTCATGAACTCGCGATGCTTTATGCGCTTGATTTGATCGCTGCCGCTGGACATGAGTTTTTGAGGGTGAGATTTTGATGAAAGCAATGGTTATTAAGAGTTACAAGAGTTCGGAACATTTAGTATTTAGTATTTAGTATCAAATCTGAAATATAAATCTAATAGTTTTCTAGAATCTCTTTTAGAATTTATTGTTAATTAATTGATTGATTGATTTGATTGATTGATTTCATTTTTTTTTTGATTGAATTCATTGAATAATCAATTAGTTTTAGTTGAACTAAATGATTTTACAGCCATTTACAGCCATTACAGCCAACTAAATGATTTTACAACCATTTCTAGAATGGTTTCATGATCGATTCGCAATTGGACTCGGTGAGAGATGGAATCTATGTGCTTCTGGAGAAATTACGACCGAACTGTGTGGCGCTCGTTGATGCTTTCGATTTATCCGACAGGTTTGTAAAGTTATTAAAAGAAAGAAAGACGTTTGATTAAATCTAATGCTAATAAAAATGCAATTTCAGAGAGCTTCACTCGGTGCTCGGGCGTCGCGACGGAAATGTCTATGAGCATTTGATCAAATGGGCTCAACAAAGCCAACTCAATCAGAAGGAGGTAAATCGGGCAACAATGTTAGAACTTGTACTTTGTATTCAAAAATGGAAACGTATATTTCCTGGCACAATCAATACTTCTATTATTTTTGATGTTCCACAAAAAAATTCAAATAAAACAAAACTATTTGATGCAGCAGCAGCGACAAAGCGCCAGAAAACGTTCGTTTCCATTCTCAGAGCATAAAGTACATTAAAAAGATGTTCCATAATAGTAGTGCACCCCGGTGAGTCGAGTTGGTGACTATTTTACGGTTTCCAAGCTTTTGCAGAAGCTCAACACTCAAATCCCCCACAAGATCTCATCGTCAGCTACCAACCTCACAATAGGTTCTGATAAGCGCTTTTCGAGATTTTGAGCAATTTAGGCGACGCTCAGGGTGCACTACTATTAGAGAAAATACGGTAGTTTAGTTTATCTAGTTTCCAAGAGGAGATTCAGGGCTATTGAATGATTAGGATACCGCATTTTCTCTGATAGTTGATCCCGAGGAGTTGGTGACTATTTTACGGTTTCTAAGTTTTCTCAGAAGCTCAACACTCAAATCTTCCACTAGATCCTATCATCAGCTACATTTTCCGACCCCACATCAATAGATTCTGATAAGCGGTTCTCGAGATTTCGAGCAATTTAGGCGACGCTCAGGATTAGAGAAATACTATTACTATTAAATAAAATACGGTAATTCTTTTTCGTTAAGCTATTGCTTAGCTATTATATATTCACATAAACTCACGAATTCCATTGACAAGCACTCGGTAACGATCCACAAATTGCAGATAACGGTGTCTAGGGTGCACGCTCAGGATGCACTACTATTAGATAGAATACGGTATATTGAAAGCTCCACAATATCTACAAAGTCTACAAAACTCAAATCTATCTTTACTTTAAGTAAATTCTTTTTCAGGTTCTTCCCACCTTCGACAAATACTTTAAACCAATGATGTTAAACGCTAGAGCCAATCTCTAAACACTTTTCTCTATAAAAAAAAACAATTAAATCTCTATTTTTTGTGCAATATTAATATAGTGCCATAATTTTCGTATCCCTAAATATTTTTTGTTGTGATTGGGAACAATGGTTGTGACAAATTTCCTACAAGATTTCGTCTATAAAATTTGCATAGTAAATTGAATAGGGATTATTTTAAGGCAAACGTCATCTAGTGTATTGATAGTAAAGCTTTTAGTGCACCAGCTGCGTTTGCTTTTTTTCATAATAGGTAAAGCTTTTGTATTTTAAAAGCTACCGTAATCTAAAGTAGATTTGCTGATAGTCAAGTGGTGTCAAATAGAAAGTACGGTAGTCTTGGAGTACTGTAACTCTATTAGTAATTCTTAGTGCTCAATCTAGAAGGCTTTGTAAAACTAGCGTAATCTAGCTGAAAGTTGATTGATCAACCGCTCGAGAGATTGAGTTGATCGAGAGATCGAGAGATCGAGCTCATCGAGCTCATCATCACATCATCTTAAAGATTGAGTTGATCAAGATCGATCGAGAGATCAAGCTCATCTCACTCATCATCACATCATCTCAAAGATTGAGTTGATCGAGAGATCGAGAGATCGAGCTCATCTCACTCGCCATCACATCATCTCAAAGATTGAGTTGATCGAGATTGATCGAGAGTTGATCGAGATCGATCGAGAGATCAAGCTCATCTCACTCATCATCAAATCATCTCAAAGATTGAGTTGATCGAGATTTATCGAGAGATCGAGCTCATCTCACTCATCATCACATCATCTCAAAGATTGAGTTGATCAAGATCGATCGAGAGTTGATCGAGCTCATCTCACTAAATCTTCTCAATCAGCAAATCTACTGTAACCTTTTCTCACTACAGCAATTGTTAGTTATTCAATTTCTCTATGATTTCCAAGCCCTTTTCCCTGTAGGACTTTTTGCCAGAACCCTGACGTGGAATAATACTTTTGTGGACATTTATCAAATTTTTCCCTTTTTAAGCTTTATTAGTCAATTGTGATACAATGTTTATAAAGAGATTTAAAGAAATAAATCTTTAATACAATCGTTTTTTTGTCATGGTGAATAATAAGATTTTGGCGGAGTTAAATAAAATTGGGCGTGGCTGTTAGTCGTGGATAACTTTGAGTCTATTTTGGCTTTATTTCACTCTCCAAACCAGCGAGTACCAAGAAATGAGGCCATTTCTATTCATCGGTGAGATTTTCTTTTATTTCTTTAAGAGTACTGTAGAGATTTAGGCTTTTCCTATATTATGCGAAAACCTTTTTCTTTTTACAGTTTAGTTTTACAGTAGTTTACAAACGGAATCTTGTTTCCATTGAGCTAAGTAAGCAAAATTTGAAGGATTTCTGATCACTAAGAGGTTTAGTTACCTTTTAACACTTATTAAATAGTTCTATGATAGTTCTACTCCTTACCATTTAAGCCATTTTGTTGTTGGCCTTGGTGAACGATTGTATGAGTCTGCGAGGTGCGTTGATTCGATCCGGACGATCGTTCAGACCCTCAGCCGAGACAATACGCGGATTGGCGCAAAGAAGGGTAAGCTTAGAAGTGAAGAAGTAAACGAAAATCATTGAGTAGATTAAAACTTCGTTAGTGAGCTTGACTCAGTTTTGTTGGCTCTTTGTAGTTTGATAAAGACATTGTTGAGGCAGAAATTTTATCTTAAAAGACTAGAATCAGTGTTTGTTAGAGCCTAAAGTACATCTATTAGAGCCAGAGAATCAGTGTTTGTTAGAGCACAAAGTACATCTATTAGAGCCAGAGCCTAAGCGTTTATTAGAGCTAAAGTATAAGCGTTTGTTAGACCACAAAGTACATCTATTAGAGCCAAAGAATAAGCGTTTATTAGAGCACAAAGTACCTTCATCAGAGCCCCAAAGTCCACTGTCTGCTTTAACACTAAAGTACAGTAAGACAAAGTCGATAATGTATAGATTTTATCTTTATTTTAGACAGTTAAGTAAGACTTAGTTAACACTAAACTCTTTAAAAAGACTATAGGAATTGCTATTTACTAAGAATTTACCAAGAATTCTGCCCTCTTTCTATCAATCTTTTGCTATATTACGTGCTTTTGCTTAACGTGAACCCTTTGAATCAGAGTGTTATTTCACTCGAACGATTCAGCAATCAATCCGTCCCTCTCAACTGCTCAGTCTGTTGTTTCAGTACGCGCAAATGGAGCGCTTCGGTGAGACGCCAATCGCTGGCCATCTCCTCCCAATCGACGCCAACGATCAGCAACCGCTCGTCATTTTTGAGTCCGTTAACTAATTCATCAAAAAAAACATTTGATAGTTTCCTTTTTCAATCCAATAAATGATTTGTTATTTATTTAAAAGCTATAGTTACAATCGCAACTTTGCAACTTTGCAACGCAACTTTGTTCATCTTTGGATGAGCAAGATCTCAAAAAAAAGCCAACATATATAATCAATAAAGTTTAAAACTAAAACAAGACATTAACAGCTAAAATTTGAAGGTAAATCAGAAAGTTTTCAAAAAAACAACAAATAAAGCCTAGCAATTTGAAAAGTAGACACATAAAATGATAAAAATATCACTTTTTGTTGCTTAAACTTGGAAAAATCTTTCTCGGATGGGCTGAAGATTTACAAAGTTAAAATGTATAGATGTACGTCCGAATCTGAGGAGACGTCTGTCTCCGATCCGGACGTCCGAATCTGAGGACATTCATTCTTCTCGGAATCGGACGTCCGACTCAGAGATGGACGTCTGGCTCAGATCCGGACGTCCGAATCTGAGGAGATTCATTCTTCTCGGAATCGGACGTCCGACTCAGAGATGGACGTCTGCCTCAGATCCGGACGTCCGAATCTGAGGAGATTCATTCTTCTCGGAATCGGACGTCCGATCTTGAGAACAAATAGTTTAAATGCAAATCCAATGTTTTGGACAAAACAAATGAAAAAGGAAGTTAAAATGGAAATTCTCTCAATTTACTTTTTTTTCTTCACAAATAATTTGGTAGTATGTACGGTTTGGTAATATGTACGGTTTTCAGGATCAAAGAATTCCAATCCGTACTTCATTTTTCAAGAAAGCTACTCTATTTTTGGATTTCATTCGTTTTAATTCACCGTTTTCTGACCCCACATCCAATCCAATGCTAAAAGGCGTGCAATTATAAATTGTGTAAATTTTTATATTTTCATAATCGTACGGCTTTTGGCACACGACTTTTAAGGACATAAGAAAAAAACCCAAAATCTCCTGTGTTCTTTTTTCTGCAATCTCGTTTAATTACCTAAGTTTTTTTTAAGTTTTGTGGTGACTGTATTGGCTTGGAAATTAAAGTTGCTCAAAAACTAATGACGGATTCAGATTCTCAATCGCAAAATGCTCACGGTTACAAACTTTCAGGCTAACATAGATAGCTTGAAACAGCAGCCAAATCATTGTGCAAACTTTTTCTACAAACTTTCTTGCCAACCTAATATTTAGTGTATATATGTCAGACGTTCGGACGTCAGACGTTCGGATCGGACGTCCATCTCGAAGTCGGACGTCCATCTCTGAGTCGGACGTGCGTTTCAGAGGAGAATGAATCTCCTCAGATTCGGACGTCCGGATCGGAGATGGACGTCTCCTCAGATTCGGACGTAACATATATATTGGCAAAAGAAAAATTACCGTGTCGTGAATGTTGAAATAGAAAATTTGAGTTCATCTTTGAGTTGAATTTAGATGCATTTCCGATTTGTTAGCGTTTTTTTGACTTTTATTTGAACTTTGGATTGATTTGACTCCTGCTTTCGAAGAATATCTTTCAAGGAATCTTGTATACAAAATTTGATAACTGTATTTAGAATTAAGGATGTTGTATACAGATTTTGATAATTGTATTTAGCAAATTGTTTCTTTTTTATCATCATCATAGCATGTCGTTCCTTTAAAACACGAATTTATTTGACCGGTCTCGAAAAAATCGAAAAGAAATTGAAAAAGACAAAGGAAATAAGTGGAAATAAAACTGAAAAACGGAGAAGCAGAAATACTGAAAATCATTGGGAAAACATGGCAATGAAATCAGGAAAGAAAGGAAAGAAATTAGAGGAAATTTAGAGGAATTGATTAGTAAAGACTTTACTTGACGAATAATTGTACCTCTTCTACTAGAGCTAAAGATATTTCTATGCAAAACCTATTCGAAAAAGAGTTTTATCCCTTGTCCCAAGTTTGTTATTCTCAACTGTACTTTTTGTACTTTTTTGTCCATCACTGCTCCTGTTACCGTAGTTTTCAAAACATAGACATTAGCAAGACATTGTTTGAAAAGATATTATGATTAAGTAACTAACTGAAAAGTAGATCTAAAGAGTTACTGCATTTTCTCTGGCAGTTTCTTTTGAAGCTTTTGGAAAGATTAACTACTAGACAACTCTAGACTTTTAGTTCCGAATTGTTAAAAGATTTCAAAAGATTTCAAAAGCTTTCAAAAGATATCCTTAATCAAATCCCTTTCAATATTCTTTTAGCTCTAAACTCATCTGCCAGAAGTGCAGTCTTGACTTTTTCTTAGCTTTCAAATTCTCGAAGTCAATTAAAAGAACAAGCTTGGTTGGATTGTTCGTTCATGAGTGGTTTGAATTGTTCTGAATCTAAAAAGGATCATGTTTTCAGAGGTGGTGAAAAGACGAAGAAAAGACGAAGAAAAGACGAAGAAAAGACGGAGAAAAGAAAGAAAGAAAGAAAGCAAAGAAAGCAAAGACAAAACCTGTCTTTTAGAGTTCACAACCATTTCCACACCCTCGTAATGGGCGAAATAAAACGAAATTGAAGTAAGAAAAATAAATGAGAATACCTGTATCAAGAAAGGCACAAAATTGAATAGAATCTTCTGGGTTTTTTTTAATTTCCAAATAATATAGAAGATCAATAAAATAACACAAAAACTGACTAGCATAAAAAATTGGCTTAGAGAATAAGTTTTCAATTAAAAACTATTGTTTGTTTAGCCTAGAGCATAGTTTTGAGTTTGAAAGTTTTGTGAAAATTGTGGGAAATTTGGATGAGTGAAAGGTAAAGGCTGTTGAGATTGTTGATTGTTGACATTCGTGTACTGAGCACTAGAAGTGAGACTTGGCGAGACAAACTAAAATTGAGAGAATCGGATTGACAAACTTGGCGATACAAACTAAAATTGAGGTAATTGGTAATTGGATTGCTTTGCTAGAGTTGTTAGAAATGTCAGATTAGTCAAATTTTGTTAGTAAAGCTTAAGAAAGATAAAATCTATTTAATATCAAGGTTAAATTAAATGTTTTTTTGTCAAAGAGATATTAGAAAACCTATTTACTAAAGAGTTTTTTTACTAGTGAGGTTTTAATGTAATTTTTAAAGCCACTGAATCTTGTCTGGTGCTTTCTGAATCCTTTTTCTTTTGTATTCAAGATAATAATGTTAAAATTACCTCTGTAGCTTCTCCTAGATTCACTCGAAATCGATTTTCGTTGTTGTTTATTGGCTGAGAAGTTTTCAATGGCTGTGGCTGTGGCTGGCTTATCGTTTGAGCTCCCTAATAAATTTCTTTAAGAAAACAAGTAAATTCTTAGTAAATAGCAATTCCTATAGTCTTTTTAAAGAGTTTGGTGTTAACTAAGTCTTACTTAACTGTCTAAAATAAAGATTAAATCTATACTTTATCAACTTTGTCTTACTGTACTTTAGTGTTAAAGCAGACAGTGGACTTTGGGGCTCTGATGAAGGTACTTTGTGGTCTAATAAACGCTTATTCTCTGGCTCTAATAAACGCTTATTGTCTGGCTCTAGTAGATGTACTTTGTGGTCTAACAAACACTGATTCTCTGGCTCTAATAAAGGTACTTTGTGCTCTAATAAACGCTTATTCTCTGGCTCTGATAGTAGCTATACATTATCGACTTTGTCTTACTGTACTTTAGTGTTAAAGCAGACAGTGGACTTTGGGGCTCTATTGACTAAAAGTAAAGTAAACAAGATATTTCTTTAATATAAAATCAATTAACTAAAGAATAGAGTTCTTTTATTTAAACAAACCATCATTGAAAATGCTTGTGTCTGTCCAAAAGGCCAAAGTTGATGACTAGCAAACGGGTTAAACGATTGCCATGATGAGAGAGGAGAAATTGATGGTGATCCATAGCTCACAACTTGGCTTTGTTGAGCCAAAGGTGATAATTGAGTGTGACCAAAACCATTTGCATTTAAGGTACCAAATTGGGCTGCGCTCAGTCCAGGGATCTAGATCTTGAGTTAATTTTATTTGTTTTTCTTATCATACCTGTTGAGGGAAGAGTGAGTGTTGTGGGAAAATGAAAGGATTTGGCGCTGGGGTGATAATTCTGGAATGATACAGATTTATTATCTGGAATTATGCATAGCTTTGACTCACCCAAATTGTTGTTGTGCAGGTAAAGCAAACGGATTAAAGAATGGTGGTATTGTGGGTAAAGTTTGAGGTTGAAAGCCAAGTCCGATTTGACTGACTGGCGCTGGTGTCACTGCTTGAGGACCAAAGTTCTAGAGATTGATTTTAGAATTGCTTTGTTATTGCTTTCACCACGAATTGTCCGATCGTTACTGGAGTAAAGATAGATGTCGTTGTCGGGATTGGTGTTGTTGTCGTTGGATGTGGATTCACAGTAGTGGACGCCTTTTGCATTGGTCGATTCGGCGCTTGAGTTCTGAAGTTTTAAATTTGATAATCAAGAGATCGAATTGCTTATTGTCATTGATAAAGAAGTTTAAAGTCCAAAGATCTTACAACTGCAAACAAATATTGGGTTGGTGAATTGAAAACTGCGGGACTTTGAACTAAAATCTATTCAACATAAAACCATCAATTCATTCCAAATAATTTCCATTATTATTGACGACTTCTGCCCATTTTACAGGCAATTTGCGGATTCCTCTTTCGTAGTAGGATTTTGGTTTTGAATCGAAAAACTTTCAAAGCAAATTTTTGACTACTTCTTCCGAATCGAAGTGTTCTCCCGCAAGCTCATTACACATGGTCCGGAATAAATATTAATCAAAAGGAGAGAGGTCCGGGCTGTATGGAGAATGCGCCAAAAGTTCCCAAACAAGGCGATTTATCTTAGAGCGATTCAGTTTTGCAACGTGAGGGCGCGAGTTGTCGTGGAGGAGAACGATCTTTGACTTGGAGGGCCTATTCTTCTTTAGGGATTCATTCACCTTTCCCAACTGTTCACTGTATGTGATTGCATTAACGGTCGTCTTGCTATCCAGCAACAAGTGTGAGACTCAAAAATGGAGGACTGGAGATGTCCCAGTTTGAGCACTTTCTTCAAAAGAAACCCATTTTGGTGTCAATAGAAAAGTTGTAGAGAATCAAAAATTAGGCTTATAGCCAAATTTCCAAAAAGATACACTTAGTAGTTTCGCTTAAAATGCAAGTTTTGTGAAAATTCGTAAATTTGGCATTTCTTGGAAACCAGTTTTTGAATCGTTCTGAAAATTTGGATATAAGCTTGATTTTTGATTCTCTACAACTTTTCCATTGACACCAAAATGGGTTTCTTTTGAAGAAAGTGCTCAAACTGTCACATATGACAATAGCCGGCAGTTTTCAATTCACCAACCCAATGCATAAGGTTTTAAATCTTTCACAAGAGCAAACTAGATCTTATTTATTGGATAAAGAAAGTCAAAAGTGCACATTAGTATAGAGAATTGTTTTGGAATTAAACTTAATAGAGATTCTTGATATTCTTTTGAAGAAAGAAACTCTTGTTTCTATGATTTCTCATATTTATAGACTGCTAGCTGTTAGATCTGTTAAAGATTTAGAGATTTGAAAAGCTTATATTATTCAAAAATGATAGAACTGAGACCTTGGATGGGGTTGAACAGTCATTGGTTGATACTGTTCATTCATAACTTTTTGTGGACGTTGTTTTGGCATTGGCGATTCAAGAGGATTGAAGTTTGGAGCGCCAAAGGCAAAGTCGCTGCTTGGTTTCTTTCTAAAAATAGAAACTAGTTAGAAAGCTTACTTAAAAATAGATATTTCTGTTTAAATTATCTTAAAGAATTCTTTTTACCTTGGCTTTTTAACCGGCTTGAAAACGGTTCTTTTCTCGATCATTTGCTCGGCAGAAACGATGAAATTCTCTTGTGATTTTTCTTGTGATTGCGAATTTGTGTACTCTTTCGAATGATCTTTTTTCAAAGTCATGTTTCCAGCTGTTCCCAAAACTCGAAAAACCTCATCCTCGAGATCTTGCTCATCTAAAATCTTCTCATTAAAAAATAAGGTAGGCAATGTACTTGTTAAAGTCCCAGAACTGACGAATTTTGAATAGAATCTTATTGCTAAATCTATTAGTTCCTATTAGCGAAAATCTCTGATTCTCTTCGATCTCTTTGCTCAATTATTGGCTTTTTCACAAAAGGAACTTTTCAAATCAAGCAGGCTGATCCATTGTTAATTCTTGTTACTTCTTGGTAACCTACTATCTACCGTAAATACTAAAATAGTACCCCATCCCCCTCGTAAAGTCGCGTAGTCGCAAAAGTTTTTTGGTATTTCATTTTTTTCAAAGCGCTCGTACTTTCAAAAAATGTGTTTTTAGTATCAAAAAATAGCCCTGATAGCTTGTTATTATTATTGATTACCTCTTGCCATCTTTTGCGCAAAGAATTGATGTGATCTAATGGTATTCGAATTCGATCTAATGGTAGAAATTCCGGGAATTTATCGGGCCAAAAGCGCGAGAATTTTCCCTTTTTTCGCGCTTTTGGACGAAAAAAATCACTTTTTTATACTAACGCGCTTACCACCGGAGGTTGCGCCACTTTTCAAATTTCAAATGTGTCTTTAGTATCAAAAAATAGCCCTATTTCATTTAGACATTCTCTGACGGCTTCTCTTTGCCTTTTCTTAGATCAGTTTCGATCCAGCAAGCCCTAGATTGATAATCTAAACAGAAACCAATTGACTATCTAGGTTGCGAGTTTCCTTTTGTAAAAAATGAGAAAGATAAAGCGAGAAATGAAAGAAGACTAGAAATTTAGATTTATGAAATTAGAATTTATTCAATTTTATGGTTCAGACTGATTACTGGTGGGCTCGAACCCTCTAGACATTGGAAAATTCCAACGTGAACCTAATTCCACCATCGTTTTCTTAGTCAATTGCCCTGAAATTTTGTCTACAGATAGAAATCAGCTTGTAGACAAAATTTTAGAAGAATCGGTCAAGAAACGGCAAAAGAATGAAGGTGGAATTAAGTTTAAATTGGAGTTTTCCCATGTCTAGTGCAAGATCAATATCCACTGCGCTACGAGGGTTCTGTTTTACGCTTCAAAACAAGTCAACTTAAACCTAGCATGCTTTCAAGAACATTTTTGCAATTGCTCTTAAGAATGCTTTGTTGTAATAGTGCTGTAATAGTTTTTAGTGGCAATCTTTGCATTCAACTTATCCAGTTTTACATCAAAAACCATCTAGACAGATGATATTATGTGCGCTTAATGAAAGTCACAAGTGACAAAGCTTTTACACACTTTTTCACTACTTACACTGTACTTCGACTTCAGGTGGATCGGGTAAACAATTCATTCTTCTCACTGTCACTTCATACGAGACTCTAAATGCTTTCATTTTTTTTGTAATCCTTTTCGATATTGTTCATTTTCTCAAGAAAGCTAGATCTTTAGAAGAGATTGGGTGGCAAGTTCTTTTGGCACAGCATTCAGTGTAGTTTAAGAATGTGCGGAAGATGACTAGCTACTTTGTGAGCTCTGGTTTTAACTTACCGTAAATACTGTAATTGGACCCCACCCCCATAATGGCGGTACGGAGTGTTGTGTAGTCTAGCTTTGGACGAGTTTTTCTCGACACTGGTTTATGATACAATGCGCGCTTAGGTATCAAAAAATAGCCCTGAATTTCAGCTATTTTTTGATCCCAAAGACGCTTTTTTGATACCAAAGATAATGACGGTGCGGAGTGTTGCGTAGGCTAGCTTTGAACTAGTTTTTCTCGACACTGGTTTATGCTACAATGCGCGCTTAGGTATCAAAAAATAGCTGAAATTCAGGGCTATTTTTTGATATCTAAGCGCGCATTGTAGCCTAAACCAGTGTCAAGAAAAACCCGTTCAAAACTCGTTCATTTTTTGAAAGTACAGGCGCTTTGAAAAAATGAAATATTAAAAAACTCTTGCGACTACGCGACTGTACGAGGGCGGTGGGGTACTATTACAGTATTTACGGTATGTTTATTATCAGGCTTTAGTCACAGCCAATGTAGAGCTTTTACTGCTGAAATGATTCACAAAGTCAAATCTCGTTTAAAAAAGTTGTGTTAGATTCCTAGCATTTAAAATCCTTTAAAAATCATTATGAATAAGATCTTTCTGTTAACAAATTCCTTAAAAGATATGGAAAAGGGGATTTTAGCATCGCTTCAATGCACTTTTATTGAGATTGAATTGAGAAAAGACACAAAAAAAAGTTTCAAAGAAAAGGAAATCCACCATTATGTGTGGTCATAAAAATTCGGGAAATTTGATGATAGGAAATGGAAAAGAATGAGATTTTGATCTAGTGAAAAAGCTTGTGAAAAGAAGTTAAGCATTGTCTAGTATTGATCTTTAAATTAGCTCACGTATCATCCTGTGAATCGATCACTTTTCTCACATTAGCAATGACATCAAACGAGATTTGGCGACCGTCTCGAACCACCTGAGATACAGATAAATGTTTTTGCAAATATATTTACAATTAGGTATTTCTTTTTTAAATTTGAGACAATAAAGGAGACTCAAATTCAGAGATTGAACATTTGATTGGCAATCCAACTTTAAACTAAAATTTCTTGGTGTTGAGCTGTCCATTATAAATCGTTTTTGTACCAATCGATAGAGAAAGACTTGGCGCATCTAATGACATCAAGAATATTTAAATTGAATAACCCAACACCAAGAAATTTGAGCTCAAAGTTGGATGGGGAAGGGGCGGGGTGGCGGACCTTCCATACGCTCCTTCGCCAATGGCAATATATTTAAATTGAATACCCCAACACCAAGAAATTTCAGCTTAAAGTTAGATTTTCAATGGCAGAGGGGTGGGGCGCGTATAAAAGGTCCATCGCCCCGCCCACTTTGCCATTAGCAATCCAACTTTAAACTCAAATTTCTTGATGTTGAGCTGTCCATTATAAATCGTTTTTGTAGCAAACGATAGAGAAAGACTTGGCGCATCTAATGATATCAAAAATATTTAAATTGAATAACCCAACACTAAGAAATTTGAGCTTAAAGTTAGATTACTAATGACAAAAGAGCTCGCATCAAATGTTCTTATTGTAACTTGTTGTATGGAGCTACTTCAGGTTGTACTTGAATTTTGGGACATTTAATACGCGCCCCGCCCCTTTTCCCATTGACAATCTAATTTTAAGCTGAAATTTCTTGGTGTTGGGTTATCCAATTTAAATATTCTTGATATCACTAGATGCGCGAAGCCTTTCTCTATCGACTGGTATAAAAACTATTTAAATTGAAAACCCCAACACCAAGAAATTCGAGATCAAAATTAGATTGTCAATGTCAAAGAGGCGGGGCGCGTATAAAAGGTCCATCGCCCCGCCCACTTTGCCATCAGCAATCCGACTTTAAACTCAAATTTCTTGATGTTGAGCTTTCCAATATAAATAGTTTTTATACCAATCGATAGAGAAAGACTTGGCGCATCTAATGATATCGAGAATATTTAAATTGAAAACCCCAACACCAAGAAATTTGAGCTTAAAGTTAGATTGCTAGTAATCTTCAAAGTTTCACATTTTTATCTTACTTCTCCGCCTGTCACCGCTTCTCCAGTCGAAATTGTTGTCACTCCAACGTCTTGCGAGAACTTTAACCCATCAAATGTGCAACATTGAAGGACAAGTCTAAATTTGGCTATGAGAATTGGTCAATTAGCAGATTATGAAAAACAAACGGTTGTCTTGGATGATCGATGAACTCGATTCCGCCAACCCATTGATTTTTTCGCAAACAAGCCAATTGATTAGCTCGAGAGCAATTCTAAACATTCAAATGGATATGAAATTCAATTTTAAACAATTTTCAACTTTTTCTCAAATTGCTTAGAGGTCTTTTCACTAACAAACGGCTAAATGAAAAGATTAAAAAAAGGCAGAAATCAGGTTTGCGCAGAAATCTGTTCAGACTTTTATCAAAAAGGGAAAAAGGCAAGAGAACTTGCTCAAAATATCTAAATTTATGGCATGGGATGGTGATTTGGCTTTGAAATCTTTAATGAGAATTGATTGAGTTTGGAAAAGTTTGGAAAAGTTGATCATCAAATTCGAATGAGCTCAATGAGAACTTGAGATTTTCAGAAGTTCAGCTTTCACTTTCACATCTCTCCAACGTCAATAACATTTACAAAATATTAACATTTTGTTGAAGGAGATAAAGTCAAGGCTTGTTTAGACAAGATTAGTTAGATTTGGCTTAGTCAAAGCCAGAGTTCTAAAGCAAATGATGCAAAGAATCAAATGCAGGAGCATTCAAATAAATGTACAAGTCTATTCTGAAGCTACAATCTTTGGATTTACTTTTCTTTTGGTTCAAGCTATTGAACCAAAAGAAAGCTGAAACTATTGAGCTCTAGGCTCGATAGTTTAAAGTAACAGGATTCTGCTCTAAAAATGAATCCATCTCTACCATCTCTACCTAGTGGTTCTTTTTTTGCTTTAGTATAAATACAAAAATCCTTTTTCTAATGTTTCCTTTATAGTGTCAGAAAGTGTGAATGCCAGCGGGTGGCGATAAACTATTGAGCTCTAGGCTCAATAGTTTAAAGTAACAGCATTGTGCTCTAAAAATGAACCCATCTCTACCTAGTGGTTCTTTTTCTACTTTAGTATAAATACAAAAATTCTTCTTCTAATGTTTCCTTTATAGTGTCAGAAAGTGTGAATGCCAGCGGGTGGCGACAATCTGAGTGAGATCTGAGTGAGATCTGCCTTCATTCAATCTCTTTTCCTTTTCCTAAATCTACCTTCCGATTTCTAAACCCATAAATCAAAAGCAGAAAAAGAAAAGAAAAGAAAAATAGAAAAGCTTTTGGAAAAGGAGAATTATGAAGAATGAAAGAGAAAGCTATGTGGAATTTATGTGAAAGAAGGGAAAGTCTGAACGAGACATTTTTTCGGTGACATTTTTGTGGAGAAACTTTTGCCATCAATGGATAAGAGGAAAGAAGTGCTATCAAGTGATCAAATTCCTCATTATCATTGATATTCATTAAGTTCATTAATTTTAAAAGCCAAGAAAGCTTGCAATGTCAATCAAATTTCTTCAATTTGTTAAAGATTTAGAGATTTGAAAAGGTCGCAATATTCAAAAAATTTCCTTGAAAAGGATTTTCTTTAATTCAAGATTCAAGAAAATTCTGTTAAGATAAGGATTTTCTATTTCATTGATAGTTTTGACTTTTTGTTTTCTCATCCTCTTATTCATTTTTTTTCTACTTACCGCTTTGAATTTGTTAGCTGTAAGGCGGGTATTTTGTTCACGATCTCCATCGCGGAAAAAGCCATCCACCTGAAAAAAGGGAATGAAAATTGAGAATCTCAACTAGTTAGTGAAAGGATTTGAAGGAGAATGGAATGGAAAAAAGAATTAAAACACTTTTACCATTCAGAGATTCACCTCTTTGAAACAAATTGAATTATTTGAGATTTTTAAAGCTACAGATTAATAGCTACAGATTAATAGCTACAGATTAATAGCTAGAGATTAATAGCTACAAATTAATAGCTACAAATTAATAGCTACAGATTAATAACAAAATTCAGACTTTATCCGATTTTCTCTTTGACATTTGACATTTGACATAAAACTTTCCAAGACTTTAAAACTAGAAAAACCCTCTCTTAAAAAACCTCTCTTAAAACCCTCTCTTAAAAATCTCTCTTAAAAACCTCCAACTCTCAAGAAGTTCTCATTTTCGTATCCAAACATTGCCTAACAACGTGTTCCATTCGATTATCTTATCATCAAAAGGGAAAGCCTTTAAATCCACGAAAACCTGTCCGGTGCCATCGGTCTCAAAAATCGAATCATCAACGCCGTCTTCAGGTTGAGCGATGCAAGATGGCTGTGCACAGCCTAACACCGGAAGTCCTGGAAAGGAAACGTTTACAAATTGAGAGGATTTTAAAGTATTTGTTTGAAGTATTAGATTTCAAATTGCTTCTGCAAAAGCTGTTAAATATTTTTGTTTTTCTTCGCTCTTATAACTCTTAATGATTTAAATTTTCATAATGAATGGATTGGGATTTATCAAGTAAAGATTTATCAATTAAAGTATACTAATATCAAAATATTAGTATCGTATTTCCTTTAATAGAAGACTATTTTGTATTTCTATTTTCAACTTTTTTACAAAACGAATTGAAAAGAAAAAAAAGAACAATTAGATGCTTCTATTAGAGTAAAAACGATAATAATACTTTGTTATTGACTTCTTTCTGAAACTAGAAATAGATGCTTCTATTAGAGTAAATACGATTTAAAATTGTACTCGTTTTGGAGCTAGAACTAGTACTAGTTCAAAAGAAACGATCCTCTACCAATATTTTCAAGTTTATACAAGCTAAAATGCAGGAGTAAATTCCTAAAACTCTAACTTTAACGATAACTATTTCACTTACCATTTGGCAAGACTTCTAAACTGAATGGGACTCCATATTGTCCACAAAAAGAAGCCAGAGAGACTGGCAGAAAGAGGAATATGGTCCAAATGGACCTCATCTTAGAATTATACAAGAAAAGTTGAAGTTGCTGAAACTATTTTGGTACAAAACCGATTGAAAAGAAAAAGAACAAAAGGTTCTAGCTAAAGGGGAAAGCTTGTTGCTACACATTGAGAAAGGAAGACGATGAGAAAAGGCGGAGCTTGTTCTTGCTCTCAGCTTGAGACTTTATGAGATCGCCTTATTGAGAAAAGAAAAGAAAAGAGCTTGATGAGAAAGAAGATTGAACACAATGAACTCCCAAGAAATAGAGGGAATTGAGATGTTTGAGAAATCGGGGAGAGTGACGAAAATCGACAGTGCATACTTGTCAATTTGTGTACAATTTGTGTACTATCTTGTAATCGAACTCATTAAAATTGCTTACGAGCTCTTGCACTGATCCAGTGCAAGAGCTCGTAAGCAGACTCGATTCCAAAGCAAGCCTTCTTTTCGAATCTGAATTGTATGAGAAGTTTAAATTTTCCCATTTAGAAACTTACAATCAACATTTGGATATTTTTATTCATATATTCATATAAAATTTTCCAATCTAATCCTTTTGGATTGGATCTTCAATCTTTTGCTACTAATCTAATCCTTTTGCTACTACCGTATTTCTTCGAATAGAAGACCGGGTAAAGAGTATCATCGCGTACTCCTGTGTAGCAGCCCTTTTTAAAATTTCTTTTCTGCATAAAAGCTTTCAATCAAGTGCTATAGGGCTGAAAAATGGCTCAAAAATCTGTTAGCTCATGTGGTATTTTTGAGTCATTTTCCAGCTCTATAGCACTTCATTGAAAGCTTTTATGCAGAAAAGAAATTTTAAAAGGGCTGCTACGCAGGAGTACGCGATGATACTCTTTACCTGGTCTTCTATTCGAAGAAATACGGTAATCGTGAGATCAGTTTGCCAGTGAATGAATGAATCAAATAGAAATCGTTCTTATTGTTCGTCATTTTGTTTCTCTGGCATCAAAAATCACATTCGTGTAGCTTCGTTCATTTAGAAGTCTTGTACTTGAATTGAAATGATTCACCCAAGGCATTGAAAGATGATTTCTCTTTTGCTTACAATTCGGAAGGAGATCATAAAAAGCCTTATCAGTTTGACCATTTCAAGTGAAAAGAAGCCAATTTATAGTTTAGAATGATGTGTTTTTAGAAAAATGATGCTCTTTAGAAGATAAAGAATAGATAAAAGACGAATTTTTTTTGATCAATCGTATCAGAATCAGTCTTATTCTCTTCAAGAAATGAAACTTTTAATCGCTTTGGCGGCCACGCTAGTCTGTGTTTTTGGAGTAAGTAAATTTTCCAAATTTCATAGAGCTTTAAATTTTTAAATGTTTTAGATCTACAGTTTAGCAAATTCCTCATAAGTCAACCTCTTTAAAACCTCTTTAAAACCTCTTTAACAGTACATACAGTCGACCCTCGATATAACGATGGCCATGCTCAGTCCCGGCTGAGCCTCAGATAAAATGACTTAAAACAACTCTCAATATTGAACGATGTTCAATATAACGATATGTTTGATATAACGATTTCAAGCGACGGTCCCGAGTGAATCGTTATATCGAGAGTCGACTGTATAAGGCGCTCACAGCAATCGATGGCAATCTCTAATAAGGGAAAGACACCGGATCAAGCTAGCCTTTTATATAAAATCAAGTCCATCTTATAGAGTCAGCCATGAGGATCTCAAATCCGTTTTTAGTTTTTGCAGAACGTTTCTCAAACCCGAGATATTTAGCATAGAAAACCTTGAATTTTGAGCTTCTTATGAGGCCGTTACACACTTTCCAACAACTACTTTGATGGCCTAGTGGATAGTCTGCTAGACTACGGAACCTATTACATTTCTTGACCCCGAGTTCGAGGCACAGTCTCGTCAAACTTTTTTGTGTAAACTTGTAAAGTGATCAAAATCAATTAAGGGTCACTATGTAGGATAGAATTCAGATATTTTGGGAATTATGGGAATTGTTAGAAGTTGAGATTATTAGATCTTGATCTTAAATCTTTGATCTTAAAAAAGCAAACAAGGTTTCTAGCGCCAAATAAGAAGGCTTTTGCTGTATTTTGAGGCATGTCAAGTTATCTGAATATAAACTATCCATTTCCTTTTCAGCAAAACACCTATCCGCCCGTCGATGGCTGTTCAATGTGCCAATATTTGCTGAATCAGGCGCTCGGTCATCTCAAGAATGGGTACAGCAAAGACGATCTGCTTCAAGAGCTCTACAGTGTTGGTCAAAAAATGATCCTTAGTATCCGATTAAAATAATGCATAGTGATATTTAGGACTGTCAAACACTTCAAAAAGTGTACGGGCCAGACAATGTGGCGCAATGTATGGCAGGAGCCAAACAGTACCTCGACATGATCTACACTGATCTTCAAGGAGGTTTGTTTCTATGGAATAAAAATGCATTTACTCACACGAATAATGTGGTACAAGCACAGCCCTAAATGTCGAGAAGAAAAAAAAGAACGAATAGTTCAGCAAGCGGGATTGAACCCTTGACCTCCTGTCTAGGATACAGGAGCCTAAGCCTAAGCCTAAGCCTAAGCCATTCGGCCATGGTGAAACATTAAAGCCCACCGAAATTAGGCTATTTCTCGGTCTTTTGCTTTTACTAAATGCAAAAATTAACAAATTAAAATGTTAAATCTCGAGCTCTCGTCATCCTCGCAAATTCTGCATGTAAATTTGATGTGAAGTGTCAAGTGGACTAGTTTTGCGCATGATATTGTTCTAATAAACCAAATTTAGCCTTTCACTAATTAGCTAAACTTTAGGAAAGTCCGTTATGCAAACTTGTATCGATGTGGGAGATTGCGACGGTAGCAAAGCAAAGGGAGTCTTCAAATATTAGCAACAATTTTTCCTTTGTGAATATTTTATGAATAAATAGATGCATTTTGAAACTTTCTTAAGCCCAATAAAATTCAACATTTTGTTTACAAATGCTTGCTGAAATGAACTCTTACAAAGAAGCCAGTTCGGAGCTCAATTGGGGCTTCGTTCGGAATTCAATTCACCCGAAATTGAATGATCAAGAATGTCAAAAATTTCTACCACAACTCCATCCAAATTCGATTGGATTTCAATCCAAATCGGACATCTGATTTGGATTGAAACATTATTTCACAGTAGGGTGTCATGTTTTTAAAAGCTTTTTAATCATTTTCGAGAAATTTTATAGAGGTTTAACTCTGGCAACCTAGAACAGTCCGTTAGCACCACCTTTGCCCAAAAAAGGCTTTCCTGGATTTTAATGTGAATTCAATTCAAAACCCTTTATTTAATTAGCGGCAACTGTATCGTAAATGAAAATAATCATAAACAATAAAATAACTGGTTAAGTAAGCAAATTGATGAAACTACACCTTAAACTTTAAAAACAATGTAACTAAACAAAATGTAATGGTGACAATGTAAAGAAAAACATGGAAAAAAGCAACTATTTGTTCTTGCAACTAAGACTGTGATGGCATCTGGAATTGCAGAGGAGACCACTTTTTTTGCAGGCACATCGGTTTGGCGAACATCCACCAGTGCATAAGCAGTGTCTGTGACCTATACGTACCCATCAGTTAACCAAATAAAATTTAAAACTACCTTGCTTCCCGTGGACCGAAGATTCACCAACAGCGGCACGAAAAGAAGTCGTTCGATCGGGAACATCAGCGACGGAAATGAATTCCGTTTCACAAGGATGGAGCTGATTTCGTAAAAACATTTGCGGCAGGACTCCATTTGTAGTTCCGATTGAGTAAAGGTCATCGACCACTAAAAACAGTTTAAAGAACTATTTAGCTAAGCTAACCTTTCGTGAAGATACCCATGAAATTGCAATGTCCAATTTTCGGACGATCGACCGGATCAATGGCAATTCGCACATTATCTCCCACATTTACAGGATGAAATCTAAAATCGTAGATTTAAGCACAAAAAAACTAGGTTTAGAACAGATAAAAAATGCAAAAAAAACAAAACAAGTAACAAGTAGTTGTTTGGAAGCAAGTAACATCTTTTCACCTTGTTTTTCTTGACCGGCTCTGGCGCCTTCCCGCTCAAAAGCTATTGTTCTATCATGGTTAGCGAAATCAAATTCTTGTGTAACTAAATCAAAATGTAGAAGACAAAAAAAATTAAAATAAACTTGATCCGTTACTGTTCTCGTCCAATACATTGTCTTCATTCGGAGAAATAATTTCTTCAGCATTTGTTTAAGTCACCTCAAGGCTGTCTGGATTCTCAAAAGCAACACTAAAGAAAACATTTTAAATCAATTATTTATTTAAATAATAGTTTAAAAATCTACCTGCCTTCATTCGCATCGTCGTAATTCTTTCCAAACATAGCGGCGAATGGCGACCTTTTGATTCCATGATGATAACGTCGATTTTTTATTAATTGAATCATCGGAAGAAATTCTGCCCATTTTGAAGTATTCCGGTCCCGCTGGTATGTGCACAAGATGTTCTTAAAATTTAAGATTAAAAAAACATTTAAGAAAGTGGCTACCTCGATGTCGGCGTTAGCTCGTTCCACACTTCCTTGTGATTGAGAATGACGAGGTTGTCCACGAACAACTTTGCAGTGGCCCCACACATTGACCAACTCATCGATCCATTTGTTGACAAATTCTCTACCATTATCTAAACTTCTCAAAAATTATAAAAATCTTGCAAAATAAACCGGAATGCAAAATTTTTGGCGGTCCAAAAATTCCAAAGATCATCGCGAGTTGATCGCATACTTCTTTTGTCGTTTTTGTTTTCAACGGCCTCAACGTCACAGATTTTGTCAAATGATCCTAAAGCACAGTTACAAAATGTTACATTTAAATAATACTTGGTATACTAAGATGAACTTAAATTCGCCATCCGGAGTTGATTGAAGGTCAATGAGATCGATTTGACACCTTTCATTCTGTCTTTGTGTCCGTATTGGTTTCACCACGACTGTTCTCTTTGGATTTTGACGCTTCATTTCGCATGCTTCGCAGAGATTGACGAATAGAGCAATTAGTTCTCTAAAAGAAGGTAAAGCAAAAGCACAGTCAATTACATACTTTGAAACACCATGAAATTCTCTGAGTCCTTTCCACATCACGCATATCCCTGCATGTCCAAGTTTAACATGCGTTTTGTAAAGAATATTGAAGAGTTCTTCTTGTTGAATTACTCGTTGCCTTTCCGGTTTGCTACCGGCTTTCCGTCGTTCGTCTTCGTGCTAAAGCGTGACTTCCGTGTTTTCGATTGAAAGAGCGTATCGCTTCAGCAAGTTGGCTTCATGATAGTTAATTTTGAGGTCTCCAGTGTTGAGTCGTTAAAATTTTTAATTTTATCAACCATCAGCTTGTAGATTTCGGCTGTCGGAATTTGGCTCGTCTTTTTTCGCTCCAAGAAGCTGTTGAATTTCTCGTAGAAGCGTGACTCCATCTGTAAAACAACAATGTAAAATAAGGTAAACAGCATAAAGACATAAAAAAATACAGAAGCATGTCAAAACGCGTAAATGAACTACTTTTTTGGGCAAAGGTGGTGCTAACGGACTGTTCTAGGTTGCCAGAGTTAAACCTCTATAAAATTTCTAGAAAATGATTAAAAATCTTTTAAAAACATGACACCCTACTGTGAAATAATGTTTCAATCCAAATCAGATGTCCGATTTGGATTGAAATCCAAATCGGATATCCGCGGTGAGTTCAATCCATCGGATATCCGATTTGGATTCAATCCAAATCGAATACAACATATACATTTTCTTGCTTTCTGTGCTTTTCTCAAACTTTTTACACTTGTCAAAAAAGTTTGGATTTCTTTTAAAATCACAAAGTAGCACACCGCTCATTTTCAACAAAAACCACCAAAATTTAGTGAACTTCCGTCAATTATTGCCTCACCTTGTGTGGTTTAAAGTAATTTGGCAACTCCAATAATGGCGCTCAAATTTCTAAATACTTCCTCGTTGAAAAAGCTGATTCTTGGTCTTAAAAACAACTTTTGAGATTTAAAGCTAGTTTCTAGGTTGCTAGCCTTTACTCCTTACATTTTTTCGACTTAGCTTCAACTTTTTGACCTTCGCGTCATCACCCATTTTAGTAGGTCCTCGAGAATTCAATTTGATCGTTCAAAATCGAGTTCATCTTCTCGAGGAAGTGATGATGTCAACTTGCTTGCAGTTTTTGACATTTTTGCAAAACAGATTTGCGATTGAAGAGAAAAGGGTGAAAATTTTAGCGGGCAAAGAAGGAAAGCAAAAGAAGCAAGGCCAAAAGGCCCGAAAGGAAATTGGGCCCTCCACTTCCTCACCCAAAACGTATTTCTGATTGTGTGTGGCTAAATAGCAGTTTAAATTTACGTCTAGCCAAAGATACAGTAACTTTCAAGTGTAGAAAACCACTTCTATTACAAGACCAAATGTACCAAATATTCGACACCAAATTTCAATTTGGGGATCTAAACAATCAATTACCTTTTATATTGACAATTTTCATGTAGGGCATTTAGTCCGTCTTTAACGTTGTTTGCTTGTTTGTTTGTTTGTTGCCAGAATTTTGTATCTCTTTTTCATTCAAGGAGATACACTTCTTGTAAATCGAATAAAACTATTGTTTTCAAGTTGATTGATCGGATTGCACGTCAGTTGATTGATCGGATTGCACGATCGAATTGCACGTCACTTTTTCCCAACGTCGATTGGGAAAAAGTTTGTCGATTGTCTGTGATATCACAATCAATTAAGGAGAAAGCATCTCCGCTTGGATAAAAGATTGGAGAGGAAACAGTCCTCGAAAAACCAACAAACCAATTTTATTCATTATACCAAACTTGATGCTTTCTACTTTTTTTCTCAATCTCAAAAGAAAAGAACTCTTTGTCATTTTTCTGAGCGCAGACTTACGCCCGGCTGCTTCACAATTAGCCATTCTTCTAAGGGTCTTTCTTTTTAGTTAGTCAGTTTTTTTTGGTGGGAATTTTCGGCGAGCCTCTTATCCTCAATCTTATTGTTAGTTCCACTCTTCGGGTCCTTATGACGTCGGAATTCCGAGAGTTCCAAAAATCTCCAGCTCAATTCTAGTAAGAGTTTGATTTCATTTGTCAATTTCCTCAAATCATCTAAGCTTTTTATCTCACAAAGTCTTTAAACCTTTTTGCTAGAAAAAAAACGACTAGCTATGCATACTTGAGCTTTTATAAGCTTGTTTAATCTCAGAAAGCTCTTCCTGAGCTCCTATAAGACTTAGATCAATCCAGTTTCCAGTTTTGTAAAGATTTTATGAACAAATTCATTCATTGACTATTTCTCTAGCACACCAATTTTCTGTTTCTTTTTCTTTACCGGTTTTCCAAGTTTCTTCTCGATAATCTTTGATCAAAATTATCAAAAAACAAAATTTTCCCATGGCCTATGATCTCAAAGAAGATGACGTTTCGTTTTTCTTTTTCGTATGTTGAGGAATGCATCTTAAATTTCACCGCGTGGAAAATCTGAGAAGAGAGCTCAATAGGACCCGAGAATTGCCATGATTTGAGGTGTCCGATTTTCATTCTTTGAAATTTCAAATCCTTCTCCTCTTTTGAAACGGATATGGGATTTCGAAGAAGCGATTTTCAACGAATTCTTGAAGAGGATGAGATCTCGAAATCTCTTGTTGACACTTCCGATTTCTGATTTCACACAAGCCGTGAAGCTGTGGACTTTGAAATCAAATTTGCATGGGATTTCTTTAACGAGTTCCTAGCTTCAATTCCGGCCTGAATCTTTTTTGAAAAATTTAAGCATTGACCTTTAAAAGACGACCTTTAAACTTATTATTAGTCACCTCAATCACCTCTTAATTCTAAACTTTCATCTGCTAAATGCGTCTGTTAATCTGCTATCAGAGCTATTTTCGGAGAGTCATTGAAACTTTTTGAAAAGTTTTCCGAGTGTTGTGAGGTCTTTTGCCTGCTCAGTTCCCACTAATTACCAATCCCCACACTTCCTCTTTACGCTTTTCTCACTTTCCCCAAAAAAAAAATGTCAATATCAGCAAACAGCTTCCGCAACAAGTTGAAGGGATAAGTAACTAGTTATAGAATTTAGTTTAAATTAAGTTTACCGATTAAAGCTATAGCTTAAAAGCTTTAAAACATTACTGACAATAGTTGAAAGTTCAAGATTTACTTGTGAAGTTTAAAATTTCGTTCACAATTCAACAATTTTCTTATAAAGTTGTTCCTAAACCCTTATAAACAACAAAATTCTTCTAAAGTTATTCCTAGATCTATATATTATAGTTAACTAGATTTTAGCTTTCATCTTGAGAATTATCAACTTTCCTTTAGACTTAGACTAGTTTAACCTTGAACTAACACTGTTTAACCGTGAACTAACACTTGAACTAACACTAACACTGAACTAACACTAACTAACTCTTTCCAAACTGAGTAACTTATCAACTTTCCAAAAAGTCATCATGAAATAATTACAATCTAATGAAAAGAGACGAAATGATGAAAAAGAGAAAAAGCACAAGAGTAATCCCTTTTCGTTTTCTTCATATATTGCCTGGCTTAGTGTGGGCAGAAGGGGAAAGCCTTGATGCTTCTTGGGAAGGAGGAGGGGAGGAGGAGAGGAGTAGAGGAGGGGAGGAGGGGACACGGATTCCCCCGTCTCTCTCCCTACCCGCCCCTTCTCCCCATTCCACACTCCCATCACTTTTCAGCCTCGTTATCTCTTTTTCAATGTGTTTTTCTTTACTCTCACTTACTTGCCTTATTTGTAGTCTCATTTGTAGCCGAAAAAAAGCCTCATCACTCTCTAATTGCCATTTTTTTAAGTTCTCGGTATGATTTATGACTTTCTCAGCTACAAAAATGCTAATTATTGTTGTAAATTACTCTTGAAACTTTTTTGTTTGAAGAATAATTTGGCATTTGAAATTCTTTTCTGTATAACTTTACATTTGAAATTCTTTTATCTACTCAAAATTTAGCTAATGCCCGGCATTGACACTTTAATCGGACTTCGAAAGCTTTCTTTATCAGACTACGGTATTGCAAAGAAAAGACACAATTTTTCGGACAATATTATTTACAAGTGAGTGATATTTAAGAACTTTGAATATCTTGAAAACCCTGAAATTTCAGTGATCTTTCTCTTGGAAGAGAGCGCTTCTCGTTGATAGTTGTTAACAATGAGGATGACGCTGTTTTAAATCCAAATCATTTTCTGTACACGACTAGGGTAATCGATTCGGCCGGGATTCTCAAAGAAAGAGATGAAGAATATTATGAGGTGAGAAGTGAAAAATATAAAAACGAATAGCTGTCAAACAGCCTAATAAACTTTAAGAGTTTAATTTTAGGGTTGTTCTTGTGAGGCTTCGTGTTCAGCATCTAATTGCTCATGCCATAATGTCGGCTATTCAAAAGATGGTCTTCTTCAAATGGATGAACTCATGGTAGGTTTAAAATTCAAGATATAAGTTGAAATTGGATAATTCTAAGAATGATCTAACAGTCTAACAATGTTCTAACAGTCTAACAATGTTCTAACAGTCTAACAATGTTCTAACAGTCTAACAATGTTCTAACAGTCTACAATATCTAACAGTCTAACAATGATCTAACAGCCTAACAATGTTTAATCTTCTAAACTTGGAGTATTTAACAAGTTAAAAGCTACACAAGATGTTTAGAAATTATCTTTCAAGTTTTCTTATTCAAATTTTCAAAGATTTCCGAATATTGGGTCGTTTAGGGTTCTATTTTTGAGTGTATGCGCAAAAAAAAAATGGGCTATTTAGTAAGAGTGAAAAGAGAAAAGAGAAGAACGCTTATGGGAATAACGGCCATTTAAAGAGAAAGGGAAAAGCAAAGAAAATGGGAAGAATGATGGAGTCAGCTTTCTTTGTTTATTTTTTAAGCTCAATCTTTCTTTTTCCCTTTTTTCAGGAAGTGATCTACGAGTGCAATGCGGCGTGTGAGTGTACATTACATTGCGGGAATCGAGTGGCGCAAAAAGGAGCCACAAAACCTGTGCAAGTTCGTGATTTTAACTCCAGAATACCATTTTTGACTTAAACGATAAAAAACGGGATGTAAATTTGATTTCTTTACCTTTAAAGATTGTAGTTTTCATTTGTTTAAGCTTTTTCTTTTAGTTTAAATGAATGTTTTTCAAATTTTAGAATCTATTGGGTTGGTGGAAAAGTCCTTTCGGATTTTTTGGGAGAGTACCTTAAATTTGTCGAATTTAGACGTTTTATAGCTCATCCTAAAGCTGAATTCAAGACGGATCGATTGGTAAAAACCGTTTTGAGATATCTCTTTTCTAAAAGTTTTTACAGCTATTTTAGTAAAGGGCGGCAGAGCCGGCAGAGATATCTCTTTTCTAAACATTGTCACCGGTGGAAGTCGAACGCTGGTTCGACCCTCAGATCAATAGCCTTTCCGCCGCTTTTCGCGATTTTCCTCCGTTTTTCTCGTTTTTTTTGTTTTTAAAAAAAAGTGGTTCAGCCTAAGTTCGCACAAACAAAACAAAAAAAACGAGAAAAACGAAGGAAAATCGCGAAAAGCGGCGGAAAGGCTATTGATCTGAGGGTCGCTGGTTCGACTTCCACCGGTGACAATATTTTTCAAAAATTTTTTGCTAAGACTCTGAAAATGCGTGTCTAGGGGTTATTTTTGACGCTGATCACGAAACACATGTTTTTAGCCTAGGTTTCTGCACGGAAAACTAACGAAACGTGAAAAAAGCCACTTTTTGGCTCTGCCGCCCTTTACTAAAATAGCTGTAAAAACTTTTAGAAAAGAGATATCTCAAAACGGTTTTTACCAATCGATCCGTCTTGAATTCGGCTTTAGGATGAGCTATCAAACGTCAAAATTGGACAAATTTAAGGTACTCTCCCAAAAAATCCGAAAGGACTTTTCCACCAACCCAATATTTGAAGTTAAAGGGATACTCCGGAGTAAGGAAAGTTAGTGTTAAATTGAGCACCGTTTTTTCACATCTTCTTAAGTCTGATTTACTTTTTTCAAACCTTTTTTAAATTATTCTTTTAAAATGTAATGTTTTCTCTTAAAAAAAAACAAAAAAATATTTAGAATTGCTGTTAAATTTGAGAAAATACATGCAAAAGAAAAGAACGAAAGTGCTAAAATGCAATTGAACGATATTTATATACTTTTTGCCCAAACATCTATGTTTTAGGGTGAGGCGGAAAGCTAAAATTGCGTTTATTTTTCATTTCTCGATTGAAAACCTTGTTTTTCATATAGGAAATAGTTGTAGCGGAGACTAAAACGCATTCAATAATATATAAATGACTGTGATACTTGAAATAAGTCAACTTAAAAGAAGTCAACTTAAAAGAAGTCAACTTGAAAGCGTACCCCTTTAAATCTCACCGTTTATCCATTTCGAAACACGAAACAATAGGGCATACTGAACATCGACGAATTCGGTGTGACCTTCTTTTGCTTCCACAATCACTGCTCGCTTTTGTTCGAGTCTCATTGAACACGAGTAGAGTTGTTTGATCAAATCGGATGTATAGGGCCTATGATCAAAAAAATAATTTGAAATCTTCATCATTTTTACAAAGGAAAAGAACGAAAGTGCTAAAATGCAATTGAACGAAATCTTTATATACTTTTTGCCCAAACATCTATGTTTTAGGGTGAGGCGGAAAGCAAAAATTGCGTTTATTTTTCATTTCTCGATTGAAAACCTTGTTTTTTATATAGGAAATAGTTGTAGAGGAGGCTAAAACGCATTGAATCATATATAAATGACTGTGATTCTTTTTATATTATTGAATGCGTTAAAAGTTGATGAGTCAAAATTTTTAAGTCAGAGTGCCCCTTTAAAAGTTCACTGAAAATGTTATCTATCTATCTATCTATATCTATGTTATCTATCTATCTATCTAGATAACAATCTATCTTGTAAAAGTGTTGAAATTTAAATTCCAGAATTCTTTATAACAATTTTAGAAAGTTTTTTTCTTAAGATAAGCTTCAAAGTGTTTTTTTAAATTCTTTTCAAAAACTAGCAATCAAGACCTCAAAAGAGGCTTCTTCACTCAAAAGAGCTCAAAATTAAATTCCCGAATCAGGCTTTTTAAGATTCGAAAGAAAACAAAGAAAACTACAATCTCGTGGGAAATTTCTGACGAAATCAACAAAAGTTCTTATCTTAATCTTAAAGTTTCAGATTTTTCGAACAAAAAGCAAAGGATGGGGTGTAAAGACGATGAGCTGGTTGCCTAAAGGTGAATGATTTAAACAAACTTGTATCTTGTATTAGATTTTACTAATTTTCAAATTATCGGCTTAAGGATAATGTAAAGTGTTTTGTAAAGTATCTCGTAAAGTATCTTATAAAATATCTTGTAAAGTATCTTGTAAAGTATCTTGTAAAGTATTTTCTAAAGTTTCTCGTAAAGTATCTTGTAAAGTATCTTGTAAAGTATCTTCTAAAACAATTTGAAAACTTTCAGGTACTTTTATTGGGGAGTACACTGGCGAGTTGCATCGAGAGGGTGACGGGGCTGGAGAGTACCTCTTTGAGACGAAACTGGTGAGTTTACATGCAAAATTCGATAAATACTATTGCTTTTTGAACTAAACAACACGAAATTACGTAGCCACTTAAAAGCTCAATTTCCCCAGGGCGAGAGCTCGTGCACGATTGACGCGAAAAAATGTGGAAACTTCACGCGATTCGTCAATCATTCTTGTGAACCAAATTTGCATGTAAGTCTTGCAAAATGACAGGAAAATATGTTCTAAAAAGAGTTTTGATTAATCGAAATTGATTAACTAGTTCAAAAACCGGGCTAATTAGAATAGTACCCCGGCCTCATAATGACGGTGCGAAGTGTTGCATAGTCTAGCTTTGAACGCGTTTTTCTCGACACTGGTTTAAGCTACAATGAGCGTTAAGGTATCAAAAAATATCTGAGATTCAGGGCTATTTTTTGATCTGAAAGACGGATCCTTGAAAGTAAAAGGGCATTTAAAAAATGAAATACTAATTGCGCTAGTATTAATAGTAGGATAGATCAGAGTTATTTTGATTTTCTTATTTTAAAAGAGATCTGTTTATGATTGAGCGTAAAATGTCTTTAGGCAGCATCAGTTATTTGGGAAAACTGCGTAAATCCCTATGTTCATATATGTTTTTTCACTGTGAGAGACATTGATGCTGGAGAGGAGTTGACTGTGGACTATGGGCCGGAGTGGTGGAGTGAGAATGTGAGTTTATAAAGAATGGCAAGTGATCTCTTTACAAAACTATACTTTATAAAGCTAAAACTATTTGAAGAAATTCAATTTTTAGATTATTTCTTTCCCTTGTCGTTGCCGCTCATCAAATTGTTCCTTTAATGCGGCTGTTCGCTCGGAAATTTTGGCCGAACGAGAGAATACGGGTGAAATATAAACATTTATTTCTGCATTTAATCTATAACAAATAAATATTACATTAAATTGTACTTTCCAAAAAACAAAAATTCAATTGAAGTTAGCTTGATTTGTACAAAAAAAAGCAAAAAAAACTGAAATTATAACAGAAATTTTGAAATATTTATAAAGATAGAGCTTTAAAATTTTAATTAATCACAGATTTTAAACTTTTCTTTTATTTTTATTTTACCTAATTGATCTACCCGGATAGCTTGTGTTGGGGGGAAAATTGCTAATGATTTACATTCTTTTAATGACTATTTTTATTTTTGCTAGGATCAGTACACCGGTTTTGAGTCGATTATGAAAATAAAATGCGATAAAATGTTAAATGAAAGCTAATCTACTAACGGTTTTAGCAAAGAAAAGCAAAGAAAAGAAAGCAGTAAGGCAGGGGTAAAAGGCAGAGAAGTTGAAAAGCACAATCAACTATATAATCTTTTAAACATTTAAGAAGGCAGGCCAGCATTTCGGGGACTGCTGGGAGTTGATGAGAAAACGGAGTAACGACGATTCGCCAAAGAGTCCACAATCGGATCGTTGATCCAAAGACCCTAGAAAATAAAAGAATATGATTTTCTTTATAAAAACACAAGCTGAGCGGATGCTTTTCAAAAAATTTGGCTCAGCATTGAGACAAGCCGTGGCTCAGCATTGAGTCACGTGGTCCGAGCGGGTAGCCAAGCGTGACTCACAAAGGAAAGGCACGAACTTCCCGTGAGCTTTCCTTTCCGAATCACATACTAAATCACATATTATAATACTAAATCGATTGTAGAGATTCAGAATTTGAAATCAAAACTTGGCAAATAAACTTGCAGACGCGTAAAAATACAATTCAATTCGAAGATAAGATTTAAAAGGCGCTTTTCAATCGCTAGAATCGGGACCGAACCCCCGTTCTTACGATCGAGAGCCTGTCCTACTATCCATTAGGCCAATATTCCAGCGATTGAAAAGCGTGCTTTAAAGCTTTAATTCAATTTTCTTCAATTCTTTGAAGTTCTTTAAAGCTTCGAAATTTCAATTCAAGTTTATTTGACAGATTTTGATTTCAAGTTATGAATCTCCATACTCGATTTAATAATATGTATGTAATTTGGAAGCGAAAGCTCACGGGAAGTTCGTGCTTTTCCTTAATGAGCACAAAGAGTGAAACGTCAACGTTAGAGACTCATTCTCTCAATTCAACCAAGCAATCGTTATCAAATTTTCGCTATTGGTTAGCAAATATTTCACAGATTCAGAAATTTCAAATGAGACTGTTATCTAGTTTTTAAGAACCGCAAAAACTTATGAACCTAATAGTTAAGCTTACTGTAGTGCTAAAAATCGCTCTATTACAGTATCTCCATTATATCAATCGATTTAAACACATCTGACTTAACATTTCAGACAATTAAGCCCCTAGAAAGGTTTTGCTTCTATTCTTGAACGCAAAATGAAGAATTGACTCAAAGAATTGACTAGCTTTTGTAAAAGTCAGGCAAATTTTTGAAGTTATACTCTAAAAACCTACACTCTCTTGTTCCTTGTACCATTTGAGTAATGCTTCTTCATCTCCATAATTTCCCGAACAAGTGATCATCGCCTCTCGACCCAAATATCTAAATTTAATCTCGAAATCGTTTCCCTTTTTCTCCAAAATTACCTTGTTGGGATCATTTTTCTCACCGGTCGATCAGAGATCTTCAATTTCATCGTTAAAGTCAGACTCACACATGAAACCCTAAAAAAGAATTTGATATTATTCTAATAATAGTTCTTCTTGGAACCGATTCATCGGTTTCCAGAAAAGATTCAGAAATGAGATGAATCTTTTGCAGAAAGATGAATCTTTTGCATCTAATGATGAAATTAGAGACTTACACAGGATCCACATTCGTCTCACTTTCCGATTTTGGACTAGCTGAAGTGGATGGAGCTGATTCATCAGTTTCTAGAAAACATTCAGAAATGAGATGAATAAATAATAGATTAATGCTAAAATTCGAATAATTGAAGGGTTTTATTAACCTTGAATAGCCACCACAAGTGGATCATCAAAAGTGAGATCTTTTCTTCGAAGTTTTGGAAGTCGAGAAGTCGAGTTGTCATTTGTCGAGTTTCGGTCTAAAAAAAAGCAATTTTTATATCAAAATACTATATAATAATGGACAGTACGTCATAAATCAATCCTTTACTAACTTACTTATATCCAAAACTTCCTTGTGAAGCGATCTGCTTGATGGGACAGAGAGCCGGCGAATGCGCTTTCCTAAATTTGTTTCATTGGATTTTGAATTGCAATTCAAATGAGGAAAAGCTCATCTACAGTCTGTTTCCAAAAAGCTTACCAAATCCGTCCTCCGAATAGAGCTCAACTTGGTCATCATAGTCCATGGAGATCGAGCTGGATCCGGTAGAGGCGCGGAGGACTCGAAGGATCTTCTCTCTGAAATTGCTATACAAGATGCGGCAGATTTTGATTTGACGCTAACTCCACACCAAATTATTCAATTCCCCTAATTTCATATTTATACACAAATTTCACGTTTATTTCTCGTCTCAATTTCAATTTTTAGCTTAGAAACACAGCTTTCTAAGCCCTTTTTATATTGCTTTGAAGTCCAGAATCGATAGAATCATTGTTTTGCCTGATTTCCACAGATTTTAAAGGATTTCCCGCTTTATATTTACTCATTTGTTGCTTTTTATTAAGAAATAGTATTATTTAGAGGATTTCCACATCAGGACATTTTCAATAATTTCAAAATTGAGAGTCAATAGTTAAATTTTCTGAAAGCTGAGCTGAGTAGCGATCTGTAACTCTCCAAATCATTCCTGATTTGTTGTCTTGCTAAGTTAATGCATTTATTTTATGATATTTCTCTAAATTTAACTAAGAAGTGAAAAAAAACTGAAAGAATTGGTTGATTGTGGGTAGTTCTTGAGTTTAAAACTATTGAAAACAATGATTCTGCGGAGAGGTTGATATCTCTGAACTTCTAAGCACTATAAAAAACGTAACACTTTATTTCTAAACTAAAAATTGAAATAGATCGAAGAAATTAATTTCAAATTTCATATAAATATGAAATTAGGGGAATTGAATGATTGGGTGTTGAGTTATAGTCAAAAAAAAATCGAGTTTCCATAAGCTTTCCGTAGTTTAATTTTAAAGACGTTAAAGTTAAAGATAAATTTGTCAAAGACATTTGTAAAGTTAACTTTAAAACTTAAAAAATAACGCTACAATATTAAAATTAACTTTACAACTTTAAAAACAACTCTACAATACTAAAAATAACTTTAAAACTTCGAAAATAACTCTACAATATTAAAACTAACATTCCAACTTTAAAAATAACTTTAAAACTTTAAAAACAACTCTACAATACTAAAGCTACCTTTATAACTTTAAAAACAACCCTACAAAATCATAGAAAGCTATTCGATGAGCTTACCTTTCAACCTTTCGTTGCTCAATTTCGGCTCGTTTTTGAGTCTCAATGTCACAGTCTGGAAACAATATTTAGAAATTTTATATGCAAATTTTAAAAAGCAGTTCAACTAACTCTTTTTACAAAACCAAACCTCCATTTGAGAACACTGAAACGGCCGAATCATGACTAATCTCTTTCGTTAAAAGTTGAGGTTTCGAGCTCGAGTTCAAGCGTGGTTTCCTATCATTTTTAAACTTTCAAAATATCAATCAAATTACAAACCTTTGCGGCAACGTGCTCTTTTGATTGAAAGATTTGGATCTCATCTTTGCAACGAGGACTGAAAATTTATGTTGAGCGAAGGAGAAGCTAATTAGTCAAACCACTATATTTCTGCGTGTCCTTGTCAATCATTACGGAGACTCGTCGAGGGATTCGATTTGGGCTTTCCAATCTTTCCGTCGCTTCATCCATTCGTGTTTCTTCTCGTGTCGGGATGTAACAAAGAGCTCCCCGTCCTCCTTCTTTGTCACCACCTGGGGAATTCCGCGGATGGATACGACGTCCGGCTGGGTATCTAAAATAAAAGTCTTAAAAACTTGATAGAGTGAAGTTTTGAAGGGATTTCTCAAAAGTCTGAGATATCTTGGTTAAAAAGTTCTTAAAATAAGTCAATTTTTAGAGGGTGGGCCAAAATTACCGTTACAATGCTCACTCACGCGCAAATGCGAAAGCGAAATGGAAGAAAGCGAACGGTAACAACTTCAGCAAATGTCAAAAGAAAAGTGAGGAATCGCCTGTTGAAAACGCCAAACTATTCGGTGCGGAAAATGTCACAAAAAATGGGGATTAAGCGAAAATCCCTTAGAAGAATCATCAAAAACAAGCTCAAGTTAAAGGCCTATAAGAAAAACAAATCACAAATGCTATCAGTTGACGCTATCAACCACACAAAACTGTTGATAGTTTGAAAAAAGCGCTCGAAAAGGCTTGGGAAGAGCTGGATCTCCTATACAGTACTGGACAATGAAATATCATATTTGAAAAACGATCGTCACTTTCGCGCGTCTGTAACTCCCTTGTCCTTGAATTTAAACTATTAGTGTTATACATTTTCTGAAAGCTCTTTTCAAGGGCTGCACAATGGTAATATTAATATTTAGAAATACGGTAAAGACAAGGGAGTTACAGACGCGCGAAAGTGACGATCTTTTTTCAAATATGATATTTCATTGTCCAGTAGTGTACCTTCTCGCCACGATCGACGCTTTTCTACGATGTTTGGACGCCTGTGTAAAAGCTATTGAAGGTCTGTTTGAAAAGGAATAGTTTTTATGAATTGCTATGAGACAATAAAAGTTATTTTTAAGAAAAATCTTTGACCTTTTGAGTTGCTTTTTACACAGAGACTTTTTTATATGTAACTTTTATATGCAATTTTGGCCCACCCTGTAGTAACTGCACTTTGATTGAACAGGAAAAGAAACGAGAAAAGGAATGGGAAAAGTTTTGAATCGTTGTTTATCGTTCAACTCACCGATGAACTCGATATTTCGTCTCGCAGCTAGCCTGTTCCATTTGATACATGATCACATATCCATCACTTGTCCCAACCCACAGCAATCCATCCAAATGCGCTAGCGCCGAGATGTGAATCGATTGCTCTTCATCACCAAAATTGTCCAAAGATGGTTTTCTGAATCAGAAAAGTAAGGTAGTAAAGTAAATTGACTAGTAAAAACCTGTTGCTGTGATCAAATGCGACATCAAATAGTAGACCGCATTGCGCTGATTCGGTCCAGAGTTGGACAAGGGTGGAGTTGGCTGTGACGACAAATGCTCCATACGGGGATGGGCAAAGGCAAACAATCTGGAAATCAAAGTTACAATTAGAACATTTGATACGAGCCCTTTTGCCATTGGAAATCTAACTTTGAGTTCGAATATCTTGGTGTTGGGTTGTTCAATTTGAATATTATTGGTATCATTAGATTCGCCAAGACTTTCTCTGTCGATTGGCACAAAAGCTATTTAAATTGGACGGCTCAACACCAAGAGATTTGAGCTGAAAGTTGGATTGCTAATAGGAAAGGGGCGGAGCGCGTATAAAAGGTCCGTTGCCCCGCCCCTTTTCCCATTGGCAATCTAACTTTGAGTTCGAATATCTTGGTGTTGGGTTATTCAATTTGAATATTATTGGTATCATTAGATTCGCCAAGACTTTCTCTATCGATTGGTATAAAAACTATTTATATTGGACAGCTCAACATCAAGAAATTTGAGTTTAAAGTTGGATTGCTAATGGGAAAGGGGGCGGGGCTTAATCAAAACTCCTTTGTTCAATTTGTATTGTACAATCAGATACAATTAGATATGCAAAATTGAAGAAAGAAGTTTTGAGTAAGATCTCAAGTAAGATTTACATAGAACCTTGCTTACCTTTTCAAAGAATGGTGTTCCACTTCCACTTGCCGAACAAGCCACATAGATTGATGACAAATGGGAAAGTGATCTGAATTTTTGATCTGATCTATGAATCTTTAGATTTAACCTACTCTCTGTTCAGCACGACAATGCGACAAGCAACTGCTAGAAACAAGAGATCCCCAACAATCGCCGCTTCTCCAATCGGAGCCGATCCAACAGGAACGTGCAGAAGTTCCAAACTAGTTGGAGCCTTTTCGATTACATTCTGAAAATCGACTCAACTTGAATAATATAACTGATTTACCTCGAGAATTGTGATTGTCCCATTCGCGAGCACTGCGATGATCCTTGTGTCATCGTGCAAGAGCTTTAAAGCAACATCTGACAACTTGAGCTCCCAGAGGATTGAGCTGAATAGATTTCTCTCAATAATCCATTAATATTTTAGCTTAAAACAATAGTATTATATAGTTTTAGATACAGATAAATTTTACCATTCAGTTCCCTCTATATGCAAAGCCACGATATAGCCAGAAATGAGACTTGCAAAGGCCATCTCTTGTCGAACAATTACAAGGGAAACAACTCGACAATCGAACTGAAATATGTGAGCTTTAGAAATTTTAGTTTCTATTGCTAATAGTCTAATTCTAAAATCAACTGAATCACTTCATTACCTCAATGTCCAAGCGGTGAACCCGATTGAGGATTGGATCCAGCACCAACTTGCCGATGAAGCCAATATGCTGGTTTCCCGCGACAACAAAGCCAAATCCTGAATGGTAGTAGATAAATATAAGTTTTGTTCTACTTATTTAAACTTAGGAACTTATGTCTATAGTATTGTTTTATTTAGAAAAGGGGTTCGAAACTAAAATCAAATTATCAGCAGGTATAGTAATATAATTTTTGATTGATGAAGTTTCATTTGGAAATGATTAAAATAAATTGGTTCATCAATGATATCAGATTAAATGATGAAATCAGCTTTTCAAGTCATTTCAACCTTCAATCTAAGCTATTTTTGGTTTAACAGGCTGTAGAATTTGTAGAGAAATGCCTCCAGGCAAAAGTTGATCGCAAAAATTTGGGCATACTGACGGGCTATTTGGGCTATTCATTTTATTAAGTCTACCAATTGAAACTCGGATTATGGTTCCAATATGGTGCCTATTTTGCTTCAATATAGTTCCAATATGGTTCCAATACGGTTCCAATATGGTGCCATTTTGATCCAATACGGTTCCAATACGGTTCCAATACGGTTCCAATATGGTTCCAATACAGTTCCAATATGGTGCCTATTCTGATCCAATACGGTTCCAATACGGTTCCCATTTTGATCCAATACGGTTCCAATACGGTTCCAAAACGGTTCCAATATGGCTCCGATTTTGATCCAATACGGTTCTAATACGGTTTGTAGAATTTCTAGAGAAATGCTTCTAGGCAAAAGTTGATCGCAAAAATTTGGGCATACTGACGGGCTATTTGGGCTATTCATTTTATTAAGTCTACCAATTGAAACTTGGATTTAAATCGTGTAAGCATTCCATGAGAATTTCGAACCTAATTCGGACTTCTTTAAAACATATAGAACTTATGTTATAAATTGATGAATAGTTCAAAAGTTTACCATCATTGAATGGAGACATGGCTAAGTCGGAGATCGGAGTGTCATTGGGTTCAGTTGTTGACGAAGCATAAGCGGAATCACACTAAAGAAATCACAATTATTCTTTAACTTTATTTAGTATAAGTTTAATATATTCTCTTGCCATACTAGTCAACATTTTCTGTTTAATATTTGCTATTAAATATTGCTATTATTGTTATTGCTATTTGTTTAATATATTCTCTTACCGTACTAGTCAAGACATCTCTTCTTTGTTGTCTTCTTGAGAGTTTCTCTTGTAAAAGCGCAAGGAAAGTTCGTTGTTTTGTATTCAATTGAGCTCTTGCTGGGAACGGGTTTAGGTCACAGAAAGCCAACTGAATATTTTCTAATGAAAGATCATTTAGTTTCCCATACAGTAAAGAGTCCATCGATATCGTAAGTTAATCTAACTGCTGCTTTCACAATCTTCATAATGCCAATTGTGTCATTTTTCTGTAAAATCTCAGCTTCATTCATTCCCAGCAAAGCAACACTGAATCGGAAGAGAACCTAGAAAAATGGCAATGTAGTATTTTAAAAACTATAGCATTATTAATAACAAAACAAATTTCTTTTCAAGTTTATAAACATACCTTTGGTCCTTCTAACAGAAAACAATCCCAAATTCGAAGTAAAGTCTAAAAATCAATTTGAAATTTGAAAACTTCTATAAAACAATAAAGTTATTGGGTTGGTAAAATTGAAAACTGCCGGCTATTGTCATATGTGACAGTTTGAGCACTTTCTTCAAAAGAAACCCATTTTGGTGTCAATGGAAAAGTTGTAGAGAATCAAAAATCAAGCTTATATCCAAATTTTCAGAACGATTCAAAAACTGGTTTTCAAGAAATGCCAAATTCACGAATTTTCACAAAACTTGCATTTTAAGCGAAACTACTAAGTGTATCTTTTTGGAAATTTGGCTATAGCCTAATTTTTGATTCTCTAAAACTTTTCTATTAACACCAAAATGGGTTTCTTTTCAAGAAAGTGCTCAAACTGGGACATCCATTTTCTCCAGTCCTCCATTTTTGAGTCTCACACTTGTCTCACATATAAACCAAAATCCAAGTCAAAGATCGTTCTCCTCCACGACAACACGCGCCCTCACGTTGCAAAACTGACTCTAGTAATAGCTCAGCTCTAAAATAAATAGCCTTGTTTGGGGACTTTTGGCGCATTCCCCATGCAGCCCGGACCTCGCCCCTTTTGATTACTATTTATTCCGGAACATGAGTAATGAGCTTGCGGGAGAACACTTCGATTCGGAAGAAGCATTCAAAAATTGGCTTTGAAAGTTTTTCGATTCAAAACCAAAATCCTACTACGAAAGAGGAATTCGCAAATTGGCTGTAAAATGGGCAGAAGTCGTCAATAATAATGAAAACTATTTGGAATGAATTGATGGTTTTATGTTGAATAAATTTTAGTTCAAAGTCCCGCAGTTTTCAATTCACCAACCCAATAATATCTAGAATTTTACCTGAAAAGGAACAGCATCAAAGAAAAGAGCGATAAACCAATTAAGCGTAACAGTAGCTAACTCGATCTCGCATTGATCCAAGTGTTGCTGGATTCGTGGGAATTTTACTTCAAGTAGTTCTTTGAGTACTTCCTAGAAGAATTTTTTGAAAAGTCAAAGCTTTTTTGTACTTGATCAGCTTGTGCTCCGGCTAAACTCTCATCAAAATATGATTTGTCAAAAAATTTCTCAGTGAGAGCGATCAAGAACCAGAAAGCGTCCTCAGGTCCGACAAAGAGCAAAGCTGTAGCTGCCAAGAAGTTCATTCCCTAAAGTTTTGATGATTATTTAAGATTTGTTATTAGATAAGCTACAGGAATTAAGTTGCAATAAGCTTTAGGAAAGCTTTATAGCTTTAGGAAAGCTTTATAGCTTTAGGAAAGCTTGATAGCTTTAGGATAATCAGATTTCATAGTAAAGCAACATCAGTGTTTCACAGTTTCAAGACTGTGCAAGTCAAAACTGTTTGAGCTTTGAGCTAGATTCCAATAAAATCCCCAATCCAGTTATTAATAAAGTTAACGCCTTGTCTACAAATGTTACTTGACAATATCCAAGTGATCCATTGTGAAGACAGAAAGCTCGAAGCACTTGTTGCAATTGAGAGACTCCCTTGCAATTGGCTGACATGAAATGCACATTGTTTGGCATCGTTCTCAGCAAATCGAGATTAATTTGTTTTTGGTGGTGATTGCAGAACTGAAATCCTTATTTTTAAATAGTCACGATCATTTACAAACCATTCTCTCAGCTTCTCCACCTTGTAGACTGCAAAGGTTACGATAATAATACTTGCCGTATTGAACTTTCATGTCCAGCACCTGAAATTGTTGTTAGAATTTTAGAATTGTTGTTAGATTGTTAGCATTGTTGTTAGAATGTTAGAATTGTCGTTAGATTGTTAGAATGTTAGCATTGTTGTTAGAATGTTAGAATTGTTGTTAGAATTTTAGCCTTGTCGTTAGCTTGTTAGAATTGTTATTAGAATGTTAGAATTGTAGTTAGATTGTTAGAATCGTTGTTAGATTGTTAGAATTGTTGTAAGAATTTCAGAATTGTTGTTAGAATCTAAGATAATCTTGTAACTTCTTAAACTCACTTGTTGATTGATGAGAATTTTCCATACAGAACTTCTCATTCCATTCGGGATTCCGGCTCGAACGAGTTGCTTGGATTCTTTCTAAAGATTATTGAAATACAATGAAATCCTTGCTGTAAGTGATCTAGAAAATAATCACTTACACAAATCGGAATCGTTGGATGACTTTCCAAGAAAGCTTTCCACCGTCTTCGGTGTTCTTTCGATGATTCAAGGCGTTCACTGTAGTGAAGATGAAGTTGAGTGGCTACGTAGTGAACAGTCAGTGATGGATCGGGATAGTGATGACGGAAACCGTAACAATCCACATATGTCCCAGTTTGGACACTGAAATGAAGCAATAGTTAAATGTTGACTGTTTTTTGGTACTGTATTGAGCTATAAGTTCGATAAAGTGATTTGATTTGGCTTAACTTCTTGCTGTCTTTCTTTCTTTCTTCTTCTCCTTCTTTCTTTCTTCTTCTCCTCCTTTCTTTCTTCTTTCCCTTCTTTCTTTCTTCTTCTTCCCTTCTTTCTTTCTTCCTTTCCTTCTTTCTTTCTTCCTTTCCTTCTTTCTTTCTTCATTTCCTCCTTCTTTTCTTCCCTTTCTCCTTTCTTCCTTCTTCCCCTAGTCTTTCCCTCTTTCTCTTGGCAAGTTAAGGTACTAGATAACTCAATGGTTAAAGCAATTGGTAGGAAAAGGTCGAGGAAATAGGGTTGAAGGTCAAAGAGCGAAAATCGAGGATTCAATCCCCTCTCCAGAAATCTAGTTTTTGTCAATTCCTTCACTTCTTTTTTTTTTTTCTTTAAATTTAAAAAATGAAATCGAATCCTTTCGATTTCCTAAAGCTGATCAAAGTTTACCTCTGGAATGTTGGCAAACTGGGTTCCTCTTCGCGAGCGGCGGCCAACAATTCCGAGACTCTTTTGCGGTGCTAAAACAAATTCGAAAATCAAAGCAAATGACTCACTAAAGTAGAAATTAATATCAATATTACAAACCACATCTCCTCCATAAAGTTTCACTTGAACAATGTCAAGAGAATTGTTATCATGTAGAGGGATACGGATGCACGATTGAAGACAGAAAACATATTCTCTCTTATATCTTTCCAATTCTTCTTTTACTTGAGCCAAAGAGCTGAATATTTAAAAATAATTGAATTTTCTGGTTCAATTACCCAGCAGTGTTTCTCAATCTTGTCTCCAATTCGTTATTTCGTTTGTTCAACCGCAAAACCTCACCATTCAGAAACTTGTTCTGATTCTGGAGGAGTTGCCGGCCTTCAGCTGTTGCCTCCAGGGTTTTCTTTCTAAAAACAATTGTAGGAAAACTATTTAGGATTTCAAACATACTTTAGTTCATCGATTTGCTCGCTGAGCAACTTTTTCTCGCAATTTAATTGGTAGATTCTCTCTTTTTGGCGATTGTCGATTACTCGAAGCTTGTTTAATTCGTCGTTTTCAACCCTGAAATTGTTTATTTAAGTGAAGCAGATAAATTCAATGAAATAAGCTTAACAGAAACATAAAGTTGATATGAAATTGATTGAATATTATTCAGTTAGATATATTGCTAAATAATTTCTAAAATAAGTTTAGATTCAAGTTTATTTTAAGCTTAAAAGTTGTATTCTTAAACTTCATGTCAGAGAATTCAAGAACAAGGCTAATCTTCTAGCTTTAGCTCAAGAACAAAGCCAATCTTCTAGCTTTAGCTCAATAGATTAGCTTAGGATTAGCTTAGGATTAGCTCAGGATTAGATCTTTTCTTATTTTTCCATAAAGTCTAGTATCAAAATGTAGCCCTTTAATTTGGCTACACGATGGTATAAAAAACTTTTAGAAAAACAGTTGTTTAGTACAAGAAAAATGATTGCAAAGTGAGAGGACTGATTGTACATCGCAATACTAACAACGGCATACCGTCTTTTCTTGTACTAAGCATCAGTTTTTCTAAAAGTTTTTTCTACCATCGTTTGGCCAAATTGAAGGGCTACATTTTGATACTAGACTTGCATAAAGTGAAGGCCTGGGTAAATAGCAATTCCATTCAGCGCAATCTTCATGATTCCAGAGTTTGTAACTTTTTATGGAAAAATAAGAAAAGATCTAATCCTGAGCTAATCCTAAGCTAATCTCTTGAGCTACTTGCATAAAGTGAAGGCATTGGTAAATAGCAATTCCATTCAGCGCAATTTTCATTCTCCCAATTTTCCTTTTAAGCATTGGAATAAGGCATTGGAATCAGCATTAGATGAAACAAAAAGAAAAGATAAAAGAAAAGAAAATCAATAAAATATTGAAGACTTACAATTCACTTGTCGCTGATGATCCATCATGACTATTATATAAAGAAGTTTCGTTAGATGATGCGAGCGAGTTCCTGGAAAAATCTCTTTAAAAAAAAAAACGATATTTAGAAAAATTGGGGAATTTTTTTTTAATCTCCACCCCTATAGAATTTGAATGTTCGAAATTTCAAACTGCTTTTTTCAGCTTTCAAGGGATTGACCATCGGAGGATAAATTGGCAAATAGAATTCATGGGGATCATTGTGAAAATGGGGAAAAATGCGTGGCTGCTCCAATTGGTCACGAGTCAAATCCCTCAAAAGCCGAACAAAAAACATAAAACTCTGAACCAGTGAACTTTTTGACCATTTATAGCTCTCTAAAACAAACGGTGGAGAGATATGTTGGCGTGTGTTTTCATCGAGAAATGGCTGCTGTTGTTGAAGCCATTTGTGAACCCATTCATCCAACCAAACAGGAGCTGTTGTCATTGTTGGCTGAAAGGTGAAAGTCTAGGGAACTACAGAGATCATGTTTTAGTTTGGGTACAGTAGTTTGATTGGTTGATTGATTGCTTTGTTTTAATTGAAAGCAAAACCCATTCATTCAACTAAACTGGAGCTGTTGTCATTGTTGGCTGAAAGGTGAAAGTCTAGGGAAGTACAGAGATCATATTTTGGTTTGGGTACAGTAATTTGATTGGTTGATTGAATTGCTTTGATTGCTTTGATTGTTTTGTTTTAATTGAAAGCAAAACCCATTCATCCAAACCAAACTGGAGCTGTTGTCATTGTTGGCTGAAAGGTGAAAGTCTAGGGAACTACAGAGATTATGATTATAAAACGTCATAGTTGAAAATAACCCTATAATTAGTTATTTTTTTTTGGTTGTTTACTTGTGTACTTGTTTTTCAAGTACTTGTACTTGTACTGTGTACTTGTACTTGTGTTTAGCTGTACTTTGTGCCTTAAAATTAGACATTTTCTCCGAACACTTTCCTCAGAGCAATAGAAAATTGTAAAAGAAAATGCATTCATTTTTAAGTAGGATAGATTTGGAAATTTTAGTTTTAACACTTATAGAAGTTTTGTATTGAAATAGATCGATTATTATACTAAAATAGGCAACGTTTTCTTAGAATTAACTTAACATTGTTTAGGTTTAAACTATGCTTTATCTATTTCTTTATTAACTACAAATAATCTGTTGCCAGTGGAAGTATACAAGTTTAAAGCATAACAATCAGCAGCATAACAATCAGCTGCTAAATCTACTTTCCCTCTCTTTCTTCTTTTCCTTCTTTCTTCCTCCTTGTCTTTCCTATTTTTTCTTGGGTAAAGAAGACGCTGATGGCTCGAAAGAAGCTACCCGATAACCAGAAGATCGAAGGTTCAATTCCCATTGGTTCCAAACCTTTTGCCATTCATTTCCTTACCGGTGTCTCTTCTGTTGTCGTGCATTCACTCTCTCCAGTTCCCGTACTTCCCGTATCTGTCCATCGGTGTTGCGGGCTAAAAGCCCCGATTCTTCTCAATTTCTCCTCCAGGACTGAAAGCGCAAAGGTGGATCGTTCCGATTGATCGTCCTTTTGATCGTTGCACGAATCTGAAAGAAAGTAGTTGAAATGGGAAAGTTTGAAAAAAGAAAGCAAAGCGTAAGCTGTATCATTCGTATTTAAAACTTTAAAAATTAGTTCATTAGATTTTAAAATACAAAGAACATTAGTTAAAGATAAAAGCAGGATCACAAGGCAAGAGAACCTTTTTGGTGTTGATTTTGGAATGAGATTTTGAATCCTTTGCCTGCATTGAAGAATAATGTAAATAAAAAAGAACAAAAATTTGTTGAAATTTTGAAAAGTTACAAGAGCTTTTTGTTTCAAAGCATGCAAAAACGTACATTTTCTCGGTGATCGCGTTGCTTTTATGTGCAAATTGCCGTCACGTTTATTCACGAAATCAGTCTCGCTCTGAAAAATTTCAAAATAAAATCAAGAACTTCAAAATCTTATTGAAATAAGAATTATAGAAATCAAAGAATCAGTAATCTTTTTTTTTCCGGTCACTTACCGCAAAAGAAACCCTTTTTCGTTTGAGAACCATTTAAATCAAAAAAATATCAGATGATTTCATGCAATGACTGAATGATTTGGCTATTATTTGGCAAAAATTTTCTATTTTCAAACCTTTTCACAGAATTTTATTTGAAAAGAACGCCTCCATTGTGTATTTTTTCTCGAATATTCGGAAAAATTTTAATTGAAAACAGGATCGGGAATATATTCGTCGTTTATGTGCGATTTTAAAGTGTTAGATTGAAAATGCTGGGATCAATCAATCAATCAGGGAAATCGGACTTAACTTCCTCTGGATCAAGGGGAATCTAGAGCGTCGTGATTCATCCAACCAAACAGGAGCTGTTGTCATTGTTGGCTGAAAGGTGAAAGTCTAGGGAACTACAGAGATCATGTTTTAGTTTGGGTACAGTAGTTTGATTGGTTGATTGATTGCTTTGTTTTAATTGAAAGCAAAACCCATTCATTAATTAATGGTTAGTACATTTGCCCGGTAAGCTAAAGGTCGCGGGTTCGAGTCCGGGTGGCGCAGAAGTTTTTGATCTACTCTACCTCCAACTGGCGACCACGGATGGATGGGCTCTGCAATGTTGGCTTAAGGTATACCTAGTTTCGAGCGTACCCCTAGGGCGGATAAATCGAGACATGTGGAACCGTCTCGTCCAGAGAGGAGGGAAGTTAACTCCCTCTGAAGTAAAGTATTAGGTTGATGCAAAAGTCTTTTTCATTTTTTTCGTACTTCTTTTGAAAAATAGCAAAGTCATCAATTAACCTATGGTTTGCTCTAAATGAAAAGTGTTTATTGTTCAATTTCCCATCTTTTTAAGTCAATTTGGGTTCACTTTCAAGCAAATTCGAGAGTGAAAACGGGTTTTTCATAAAAATCTATAAAAACCTCTATAAAGAAATTGGCTGAATCAATTTCTCTGAAAATCTGAAAAAATATCTAACTTTTTGTGCTCTATCTTTTATTTATTAACATCAAGATTGGTTTCCTTAGCTAAAGCGTCTAAAATGCATCATCGAGCCGTCGCCTTTTTTGACTACCCGACTTCAGGCTCTCAAAAAAATCTAGACATAAGACATTTTAAACTCGTTTTAATGTCATTTTGCAGAAAAATAATTGGCCTTTCGAATGCAATAAACCGTTGTTCAATTGGTGCATTTGTTACTTTTTAACGGAAGTACGAAGAAAATGAAAAAGACTTTTGCATCAACCTAATAGATCAAGTGCGTTCTGATGTAATGGTTAGCATAATTGCCCGGTAAGCTAAAGGTCGCGGGTTCGAGTCTGGGTTTTTGATCTACCCTAGTTCGGGCCAGGAATAAAAACTAAGGAAGTTTTTTTGAACATCGTTGGAGTTTAAGAATTGCAAGGATTTGAGAAAAAACTGAATCAAAAGAGTAGCTTCGTATTTTTGGTTAGATTGACTAGATTTTATCTATCAATTCATCAGACAATGTTATTTCTGATCTTGCAAAAGCTATTTACTAAATTATCTTGGAATCTTTGAACAAACATTTTGAATTCTTATTGAAATTCTCATTAGATTATGCAATTCTTATTAAATCCTTATTAAATCCTTATTAAATCCCTATTAAATCTTTATTAAATCCTTATTAAATCTTTATTAAATCCCTATTAAATCCCTATTAAATCTTTATTAAATCTTTATTAAATCTTTATTAAATCGTATTAAATCGTATCGTTTTATCGTATCCTTATTCTTATTAAAAGCAATATTTCTGTTCAAGAGTTATTCAATTCACCAACAATTTAATACGATTTAATAAAGATTTAATAAGGATTTAATAAGGATTTAATAGGGATTTAATAAGAATTCCATAATCTAATAAGAATTTCAATAAGAATTAGTTTTATTAAAACTAATTTAATAAAACTAGTTTTAAATTTTTAGAAATGAGAAGAAGTAACTTATAAAGAAAAGAAAATTCAATTTAAACTTAATCGATCAAGTTTTAAGCGTCATATTTCCATGGGGAAATAGGCTGATCGATTATAAACAGCCATAACATAAATGATCAAGAAGAAAAGACAATTCAAGTCAATGAAATCCTTCAAATTTTATGAAAGAATCATCAAATTCTAGCTCATTTAAACAAAAGCTTTTCCGAAAAAAAGAGAAGCTTATTTGCTCAAACATAAAGTCTCACAAAATAAACGATTTAAAACAATAGGCTTTGAGAAACGATTTGTTCCTGGTAAATAAAAAGATTTTTAAAAAAGTGACGAATGGAAATGAGAAATTAAATAAAAGAACAATCCGACAAACCGGCAGAGAATGACTTCAGAGTTTTTTTTACGTTAAAAGAACGATAGTGGTTTGACTAAATCAAAACCAATAGTTACTACTTGTTTCAACAACTCTTTGAAAGTATAGAAATTTCACTTTTCTTTTTCTTGCAAAAGTGCATCTAAATAGAAAACGGGATATGACTTTTTATCCAGAATTTCCGACCCAATCTTTGTTTTTTGTCGGGGAAGTTCATCTGTTTGAATACAAGACTATAGATGTTCAAAACTTTAAAAAAGCAAGGATATATCAGGTCCAAAGCTTTTCCGAAAAAGCTTTTACTCAAACAGCTTATTTGCTCAAACATAAAGTCTCTATCAAATACATATTAAAATAAACGATTTAAAACAATAGGCTTTGAGAAACGATTTGTTCCTGGTAAATAAAAAGATTTTTAAAAAAGTGACGAATGGAAATGAGAAATTAAATAAAAGAACAAACCGGCAGAGAATGACTTCGGAGTTTTCTGCGTCGAAAGAACGATGGTGGTGAAATAAGTGGAATCTGGAAGAGAGGTTATAAGGTTTAAATCTTTTATAATCTTTTAGCCAAACATCGACAAATTTCCATTAAATACTTCATTTCCTGGGTCTCCTTTCCTCCTCGAGAGAGCTTCCAGCCAGCACTGACAGCTCTTCTCGTTGTCCGCTTCCAGCTCGAAACGTTTATCCGGGGTACTAAAGATTTTGATAGAATTTTGTTAACATCAAGTTTTTTTTGTTAATATTTTAAACTTAGTTAGCACTAATACTTGAGTAAGTTTACTGAAAAGGGTTTTTAGCTGGGCTTTCTTTACTTTGCCAGAGATCAAGTCATTTTGAGAGGAAGTAAGGCATAAGGCCCTATTCTGGCGGCAACCGATCACCTCTCAGTCTAGCTCATTGGTAAAGCGTTCGGTAAGCGAGAGCTAGATAACCGAGCGGGGTCGAATCCCAGCGGCGACCGTTTTTTGTATTTGCAGCGCTTGCCCAGAAAACGTTTATCCGGGGTCGTAAAGATTTTGATAGAATCTTATTAACATCAAGTTTAGCACAATATTCTAAACTTAGTTAGCACTAATACTTGAGTAAGTTTACTGAAAAAGGTTTTTAGCTGGGCTTTCTCTACTTTACCGAAGATCCGGTCATTTGGAGAGGATGTAAGGCATAAGGCCCTATTCTGGCGGCAGCTGATTACTGGTCGGTCATTGGTAAAGCGTTCGGTAATCGAGAGCTAGATAAGCGAGTGGGGTCGCTGGGTTCGAATCCTAGCGGCGACCATTTTTTGTATTTGCAGTTCTAACCCACAAAAAGAACAGGCTACAACAATCTGATAGTTTGGATCAGTCTGAGTCATGAATCAGTCTGATTTTTAGTAGATAACCATTAATAAAGTCGTTTAAACTTGTGATCAAATAAGAATTTATATTTTTCTTTAACTCACTGAATAAAAAACGTCTTTGAATTGGTATCGGAAGTGGTAAAAACGACTTGATGAAGATTGATTTCACCAATTGGATCTTTTTCTAAAAAGAATTAACTCTGAGATCTAAAGAAACAAAACAAAATCTAGTCAGTTAGAAGTTAAAAGAAGAAATCTTTACCTTTATAAAATCGATCTCATTTTTAAAGTATAAAACTTTGTGATGAACCTCATCGAGGGCAAAATAGAAACGCTTTTTCGCTCGCAAATAGGTCAAAGCTGAAAAAAAAAGTGAATCGATTACTTTATTTTTGTTTTGTTTTGTCAATTTTCAATTATTATTTTTCATTTTCAAGAAAGTGATTGGTTTGTGAGGTTTTTTTGAGTCATTTTTTCAAAACGAATCCAAATAACTCAATCAAAACCGGATCAGGATTGTTGTTTATGGTGGTTTTTGATTGGAAAAAAGTTTAAAAGTAAGAAAAAAGTTTAAAACGAAACCCTTAATAATAAAGTTTTCAAATTTTGAGGTAAATAAAGGGATTTTAGAAATGTAAAATGGGAAAATAGGGTTTGATTACATTACATTTACATTTAGGGTTTGATTACAAAGTGTACAAAATTTTTATAGGGTTTGATTTGAGTTCGAAATGTTAAAGGAAAAGGTGGGAGCCAAATTTGAAGCTTAAAAATAGTAAAAGACGTTAAAAAGTTGTGAAGTTACTGCTTATTTTAAATTCTTTTTAGTTTTATTTGATTAAACGATTAAAATAGTACTGTTTAAATATCAAAATGGACTAAAAAACGATAGGATTTGCTAAAATTGGAAACTAGATCTATTCAGGAATCGAAAATGAAATGTTTTTGGTTTTGAATCAAATGAAAAAGTGTACAAAATGCATGAAAAATCAAGAATTTTAGCTTTTTAACGGGAAATTCTAGGTTTTTGGAGGATTTGAAATCATTTTTTTTACTTTATTCATCGTTTTTGAGTTTCGAATATGCTTAAGAATTGAAAGCAATCACTTTTTTCATTTATTATTCTTCTAAAAGACACAAAGTCTAGAATCTGGTGCGCCAGATGGGATGCGTTTAGGATTTTCCGACAAAAGCACAGTTAGGCTTTATGGTTTCAAAATCAATCCACATCAATGAACTTTGATACAAGTTTATCGTACAATGGCACAAGATTGAAGTTCAGAATCGTCGCGTGACCAAGTGCATCTTATAGAATCGGCTATGCTGATTCTGAATTCTGCAAAAATTTAACGCCAAACACCCACGCAATCGCAAGAAATATGACATAGAAAATTCCCTTAAAGACAAGCACACTGAGGAGGTTGGGACTCTTCATAAGACCGTCACAAAGACCCGACGAAGCGTCTTCGGTGGTCTAGGGGATAGCTTGCTTGGCTGCAGAACTGATGAGGGTCTCTGGCTTGGGTTCGAATCCTCTCAACTTTAACTTTTTTGCTTAATTCTATTTCGACATTGAATTTCTATGTTTTAAGCACCGTATTACAAATTGCAATCGATCACGAAACGATTCTGAACTTCGTTTCGATTCCATTGTTAGAAACTATTGAAAGGTATAAGGTATATGTCTATTTCCATATGGAAATCACTCACCTCCACCCTGTTGTTTCATTTGCAAATGGCCAGCTAAAGAGATGCCTCTCTCAAGAGCGCCCATTTCATCTAGAAAAATACAAAACATAAAATCGTGGAATGGATTTGAAAAAGGAATAAAATCAAAGAAAATTCAATCAATAAACAAAAAGAATCAAAAAGAAAGGGAAAAAATTGATCAAAACACATTTTTTAGTACATAAATCGTTTTTATTTTGTCTTCCTTCGACAAAATTGAGTCATTCTTTACTTTTGATTGATCGTTTTTCTATTATTAGAAAAGTTTGTTACAAAAAAACAAAAGGATTTTACGAGTTTTAAAAGTTTGACAAGTATTCAGCGCTTAAAAATTTTATTCTTCTGTTATCTGCTCAAATTTTTTTTGCTTGTTTCAAGTACAATTTCTTAATGCTTTTCTAATGTTTTAATGTTCTTAAAAAATACCGACTGGGGCTACCAGTGGTGAATTTATCGCATACACGAAATATATCAATCACAATACAACGACACACACAATACTAGGCTATATCTTAACTTAACCCACGTCATGACAGACGGCTCCCTAACCCTAAGCTCAATGGGGAACTAAATAGCTTTTTTGGTGGTGAAGGGAAGATGACGATGAAGGAGTGGCTTGTCACTTTAAAGAACTGGGGCCACAACCACCAGACTGCCCTCCAGAAAACCTCTCAACCCGAAGGGAAAGGAAATCCGAAGGGGGTGACCATGTCGCATGTGGGGTTCGAACCCTCGACCTTCCGATTAAGATAAGAGACACTTAACCAGTCAGCCACACGTGCTAATATCTTAATGCTTTTCTAATGTTTTAATGTTCTTAAAATCTAAAGAATTGAATCTGGTTTGTTATTTTTCAAAATCATTTAATTTTAACAGACTTTAGAAACTCTTTTGTATTAAATATGCTAATTTTTGAAAGAAAGGACACTTTGGTATGCGAAAATTTTAGCCCGACCTGGTAATACATAATAATTCTACTCGAACTAAGAGAGAATCTTTTCGAAACGTGGCTAGCGGCAAATTTGCGCAACTCTCAACTCTCAACTGCCATAACTTTCTTCTAAGTTAGCCAATCTTTGTGACTTTGGTGTCATTTTATTACAATTGTTGAGGTCTACAAAATGAGACAAATTTTTTTATGTTCTTAATGCTTTTCTAATGTTTTAATGTTCTTAAAACTAAAGAATTGAATCTGGTTTGTCGAAATGAATCGATTGAATCGATGTTCAAAATCATATTCTAAAATCATTTCATTTTAACAGACTTTAGAAACTCTTTTGTATCAAATATGCTAATCTTTGAAAGAAAGGACACTTTGGTATGCGAAAATTTTAGCCCCACCTGGTACTACAGAATAATTTTACTCGAACTAAGAGAGAATCTTTTCGAAACGTGGCTAGCGGCAAATTTGCGCAACTCTCAACTCTCAGCTACCATAACTTTCTTCTAAGTTAGCCAATCTTTATGATTTTGGTGTCATTTTGTTACAATTGTTGAGATCTACAAAATGACACAAAAATCATAAAGATTAACTGACTTAAAAGAAAGTTATGGCAATTTGCGCAAAAAATTTGGCGCCAAGTAGCCATCGCCATCTTTTCGGGAATGATTTAGGAATAATCCTAGATATTCCTTTTCTAGAATGTTTTCAAGGCCTGTAGAACTTGCTTGATTGAAGGCTTAAAGACTTTCTCAGGCTTAAACCAGTATAAAACGAATTTTACTCAGATTTTGCTCGTTTTGAGATATTAAAATTAAAATTCAATTTGTTATATATTGTTGATCATTTTTTTTTGCTTGGACTCGAGAATTGGAATCGATTAGAAAAGTCGAGAGCCAAAATCGAAAGTTCAAGCAAAATTCCATCAGAAAAATCTATTTCTTGGCAATAAATAGAAAAAAAATTAGATAAATCTCTTAAAATTTCCACTTTTTTCATCAAAATTCAAATTCCCCACGATTTCTGATGAAATCTTTATGCTTTAAAGACTTTAATCAATGAAAAAGGCTAAAGAAAAGTGTTTATAATGTAAAATTTCTAGAAAAAAAGAGATGTTCCTAAAAATTTCGGAAGTTTGACAGAGAAAATTGGGATATTGGAGAGCATAAAGAAAAAGGTGGAGAACAGCTATGTAAATTCCTTTATTCATTGTGCCATTTGTTGGTTAAAAAAAGCTTTTCAGAGAAAATGAAACAATGGCTTTTGAAAAAGAAAAGCAGAAACAAAACAATGAAGGAAATGTTTTTGAAAACCAGTCAATCAATGAACAAAGAAAGGAATCAGGATTGGGAAATTTGGAAGGAAAACTTGGACTCGAGAATTGGAATCGATTAGAAAAGTCGAGAGCCAAAACCGGAAGTTCAAGCAAAATTCGACAATTAGAAATTCTCATTATCGGCAGCTAGTTGTAGTAAATCTAATGTTTTGATGAAAGCTTTATGTGGAAATGACTAAACTAGATCGATTTCTCAATAATTTCTCGTCTATTCGCTTTTCTCAGGTTTGTGACTCAAGATGAAAGCCTTTCAGGTCAAATTTAAACCGTGAGTTCGCCTCGTTTTAGTCTAATAGGCTATGGAATTTGTAGAAAAAAATAGAGGGAAATTTGGGGCAGAAATTGGTTGAAATATTTGCGAAGCCATTGCCCCGAGTTTTTTTTGAAATGTGATGGCTCCCGGCTCAGTCGATCAAAGCTCCTTCGACTTTACGGAGATCAAAAGCAAGACCTATCCAATAGCAATGTCCAATGGGGAACGCCTATCTAATAGGAACGTGTGCCAGATCGAGAGCGATTAGCGATCGTAGAAAGAACATTTCGCCGGTCATTTCCAGAGATTTTTCTTTGCTTTATAGATGGTTTAAAAAGAAGATATTGAGCTGTAAATTTGTACTCGGGAGTTTTCGTGAACGGGAAATAACAGAAGAAAATTATATCGATAATTGAATTAAAACTATTCTATTTTAAAAACGTTGCAAAAACTATTCAAAAACTGTGGAGGTTTTTTTGAACAAACTTGGCCATCAATCAATTTCAAAAAATGGAACGAACGATTTCCAAAAAAGGTAGTTCGATCCCGTTCCTCGTTTCACTAATGAGTCATAGAATTCCTCGGGCTCAGGTAAACGTCTAGTCAGCCAGGAGCTAGGCTGATCTGACCTCTGGTTCTGGCTGATCCAATTTCTGGAAGAAAATTACGTTTGGCGGGAAAACGGGATTACCGAAAAGACCAAAGGTGCCGCCGCAAAGATCAGAGATTCCGCGGGAAATTGAATTGAAACTATTCTATTTTAAAAACGTTGCAAAAACTATTAAAAAACTGTAGAGGTTTTTTTGAAAAAACTTGGCCATCGATCAATTTCAAAAAATGGAACGAACGATTTCCAAAAAAAGGTAGTTCGATCCCGTTCCTCGTTTCACTAATGAGCCATAGAATTCCTCTATAAAGCTTTGCTCTAACATTGAAACATGGAAACTTTTATATTCAAAGAACTTTTATGATAATCTGATTCATAAAGTTTTTTCATGAATTAAAAAGTTATTGGATATAGGAAAGCTGTAGCTAGACGTGGGATTTTAAAAAAATGAACTGGTCAGTTATGCAAAAGAAGAGAAAAGGGGGAGTTTTTTTGAATTTATGAAAGGGTTATTGAAAGCTTTTTGAATTTTGATGAATGAATTCTTTTTCTCTTTGATGGCTTGATGGACGATTGGGAATCGATGAGGAGATGAGGATTGGGAAATGGAGAAGATTGATTGAAAAGGTGAGAGTTGAGAATAAATAGAAGGCGATAGGGTTAATGTGAAGATTCAAAGGAAAACAGAATGATCAATATGAAAAGGTTGATGCGCAGATCAAAGCAAACCAATGTACAGATTCATTTCTCAGTAAACGGTAAGCCATAAGAATGGTTTACAATGTTAGTATCAAGATTGATTGAAAAGAAGAGAGATTTAGAATAAATAGAAGGCGATAGGGTTAATGTGAAGATTCAAAGGAAAACAGAATGATCGATATGAAAAGGTTGATGCACAGATCAAAGCAAACCAATGTACAGATTCATTTCTCAGTAAATGGTAAGCCTTAAGAATGTTTTACAATGTTAGTATCAAGATATACCAAAATAAAGCAAGAAGAAGACTATAGAATGTAGAGAAACTTTATTTATACAGTAAACTAGGTTAATAACTCTAAATTCGTTCAGTCGGCTCAAAAGTCAAATTCCCATTTGATTCACAAGCATTTCGAAATCGAATTTCCAACAAAATAGACATTAAAATAAATGAATCATTCTTTAAATAAACCGGAAATTAAACGATTTCATTAGCTGTTTTAAAGAAAAATTCCAAGAAAAGCCTTTTCACAAATGGAATTCAAGCAATCTTTTTGAAAAAATTCGATTTTTTCTGAATATTTTCATTTTTTAATCGCGAATTTTTTGAAATATTGAAAAATCAATGTTTCGGCTGATAATAATTCTAAAAGAAGACGATGATCTTCTATTTTTTTTAAAAGATTCTAAAAACGATTCCTGGAGCGTAGCATACTGGCTCTAGTTCGATATCCGCATAGAATTTCGACCGGACTCTAAGGCTTGTAAGTAAACTGGGTTAATTCTAAAAGACGATGATCTTCTATTTTTCGAATCAGCCGGTTAAAAAAAGAAATAAAGGCTTCAAATTCAAAAATTTTTTATTGAAAGAGAGAAATTTTAAGGAAAAAGTTGCAGGAAAAGAAGAAAAGATGATTCTAGTCAGCCAGATTAACACAAAGTATATACAGAGCTAGACAATAACCATTTTAAACTTTGCCTTTACTTTTCCAAGCTTTCAACAACATAAGAAATGAAATAACGCGAAAAATTCCAATTTTTTTGGCTATTGACTGGATTTGGTCAAGTTTTCAAAGAAAAAAGTTTCCAACACAAAAATCTTTTGCTTTGGATGAGGTGGAGGTTTATTTGTTTTTGCAATATTTGTTCAAATGTGACCAATCGGTTTTTGCCTGAATGGGAAAAGCTTTGATGGAGATCGGATTGTTGGAAAACCATTTGAATTGAGTGAAAAGGATTCAGATGAATGAATACAGAAAAAAGTGGCTGAATCAATGGGATCGTGTAGGTTGAACGTTTTGATTTGGTGAAATTCTGGCCCAGAGATTTGAGTCCTACTAAACGGAATGACCCTGTATGCTCCAGGAAAAGTTCCCTCCGGGAAAGGATTGAGATGAATGAATACATAAAAGTGGTTGAATCAATGGGATCCAGGAATCCTAGAAATTCCTTTTCTAGAATGTTTTCAGGCCTGTAGAACTTGCTGGATTGAAGGCTTAAAGGCTTTCTCAGGCTTAAACTAGTATAAAACGAATTTTACTTAGATTTTGCTGGTTTTGAGAAAATTTAATTAGTTATTAGCTCTGGGAAAAGTTCCCGCCGTGTCTCTGATCTTTACGGCGGAACCTTTGATCTTTCCGGTAATCCCGTTTTCCCGCTGAACGTAATTTTCCTCCAGAAAGTTTCCAGTAAAACTTTCCGAAGAAAAGTCTGCTCCACGGTAAAACTATGAACGTTTTACCGGAAAGATCAGAGATTCGGGAGCTTTTCCTGAAGCGTAGCATATTGGCTCTAGTTCGATATCTGCATAGATATTTCGACCGGACTCTAAGACTTGTAAGTAGACTGGGTTCCTCTCGAGCAAGTAATTACCTAAATAAATTCCCAGTAAGTAATTTTTTCCTTGAGTAACGCGTCAAGTAAATCTCAAATAATGGTATTATGCTTTTTTTCAATTTTTCAAATAAGCAATTTTACTTTTCTATGCTTTTGAAAGCTAATAATTTTAGTAACAGTTAATTAAAATTAAATGCAACGAATCAAAGAATCGAAAAAGCCAAGAACCAAAACTTTTGATGAGAAAGAGTAAAAGATTTAACTCGAGCGGGGTTGAACTTGCTGCCTAACTGCTGTTCGCTTTAGAGGAAAGCCACTCGGCCAGCCGGCCAGCAAACAAGTCACTCGGCCAGCCGATAACTGTCTTTATCTCTTTGGAGAGCGTTTTAGATAACTCAAAAGAGCTTTTACTCGAAAGAGCACACTCTACTTGTAACCTAGTTTAGCCACTGGGCCAGCCGTTAAACTACGGTAGTTTTTCCGGGCCGCGCAGAAAGTAAATCTTTAGCATAGGCTTCTTGTGGGTCAGGGAAAGTATGCCAGGAAAGGTCGGAAGACATGACAAATTCGATTAAGGGCTATGACCTAACTTCAGCCTACGGATCTGTTTTTAAAGTTTCTTGTGGGTCAGGCAAAGGTAGGTACAGAAGTTCTGGAATACTTGTTGATCAAGCTATGTAGCATTCTTGTGTGTCAGGTCAAGTCAAGCTAACAATAGCTCAATAAGCTAACAATAGCTCAATAAGCTCAATAAGCTATTGCTCAATAAGCTATTGCTCAATAAGCTATTGCTCAATAAGCTATTGCTCAATAAGCTATTGCTCAATAAGCTATTGCTCAATAAGCTATTGCTCAATAAGCTATTGCTCAATAAGCTATTGCTCAATAAGCTATTGCTCAATAAGCAATAGCTAGTCAGTTCAAAAGACACAAATTCGATCTAGGGACCTGAATCCAAGTCTAAATCCACACCTCCTTGTCTGATAAATAAATAAACGTCTGAAATCTGAAAACTCAATCAAAATCTTCAATATCAGTTGGCTGTATGTTCAGTTTAAATCCTAAAATTAGAATGAAGCTTTAAAAATCTATATGAACATTCTCCGATCGAGAGTTCACAAAACGTGAGACGGTCACGAAGCAGCTCGATTCATTGAAAATCCCTCTTTTTAGATTTCTTTCATGTTTTTTCAACGGATTCTTTTTTAAACAAATAACCAGTCATCGCACGAAAAAGGAAAAAAAAAGACAAGTAAACGAACGCTTTTCTTTGGCAATGAAAAGAAAAATGAATCGAATTTAGAATAAACTTTGTGAAAAATTAGGTATTTAAAAATTTTATATAAAACTGATAAATTTGAGCCCGTTTGAATCAAATTTAAGCACATTTTATTGTTTTTTATTTTTTTTACATTGTGAGCTGTTCTTTAGACTATTTTTGAGCCTTTGATTCATCAAAAATATCAAAATATCAATACTAAAAATGTTATCTCTAGATTTGATAAGAAATCAGCAAGCTTACAAGAGTTTTCGACAGTTGACAAGTTTTAGAAAACGAAAAGTGCTCAAAGAGATGCTCTAGTCAAGCGTTAGTATTTTAGATTTTAGATTAGATAGATGCATACAACTTAGACTTCGGAAAACAAAACTTAACCAAAACCAAAACCACCAAAACCAAAACAAACCAAAACCAAAACCAAAACAAACCAAAAGTCGCCAATATCTCGCGACTTGGAGGAGCTAGCGAAAATCTGTTTGCCGATTTGAAATCAGCATCCAAAAATCTATCCCATAGGCTATTTTTTGTTTCGAAATTTCGAGGTCGTGTTTTGGTCCTTTTTTCGGCCGCGAGATTTTGTGGAGTGAGAAAAAGTGAAAGGCAAATTCACAATTTTAAATTTACATGTTAGCTTATATGCAAATTGAGTTTTGGTTTATTTTGGTGTTTTGGTTTTGGTTTGTTTTGGTGTTTTGGTTTTGGTTTGTTTTGGTGTTTTGGTTTTGGTCTGTTTTGGTTTTGGTTTTGTTTGCCGAACTCTAATACAACTACAATCCTATCTATAAACGTAATTAATCTAAACTCGAGCTCTCCATCTATTTAATCTAAAAGTTTTTTTTTGATCTGTCTTCGCACTTAGGTGTTCCTATTTGAGCAGATCACAACCAGCTTCCACATTTCTCTATCCATTGCCATGGTCATCCCGTGTTTCCTATCTTGGTTGTTCCTGGTTCGAAGTCTTCGACTTGGTTGTGCTGGTGGTGGTTGCACTCTAGCCATCCTTTTTCTGACCGTCTCTGCCACTCTTGTGCTCCACCTCGTTGCTGGTCTCCACCTTAAAGAGATGCTCTAGTCAAGAGTGATACAACATTTACAATCCTATCTATAAACGTAATGAATCTAAACCCGAGCTATCTATCTATTTAATCTAAAATCTAAAATAGTAATGTTAAGATAGAGTTAAGTTTCTTTTATTTCTCTGCTATTGAATTTGTATTAAATCTAAAAGATTGTAGAGGTTTCTGAAAACAAAAATCATTGAATCATTCGGACTTGTTTGCCTAGTTTGCATATTGAAAAGCAAAAATGTGGAAGCATAGGAGCAAATTGAAATATAAAATGAAAGAAAATAGTTGTTTTTCTCTATGTGATTGGGTTTTTTATACTTTATTGACTCGAACGGGAGTTATTTTGATTTGAAAATGGAAACCTGGAAGGAAAAAATTTGTCAGGAAGTGGTGAATATGAATACTGAAAAGAGGAACTTCCAAATATTCAGTTCTGTTCATAAAAAGGAACCTAGGACCTGGGATTCTGAGATTAAAGAAATGTGTAGATAACTGTAAGGTTGAAGATCTTCCGTTGCTACTTCTCTGACTTTTTTGAATGTTAGAACTGTTCAGCAAGCTTACGATGGTTTTCAAGAGTTGACAAGTTTTAAGCCTAAGTCTAAGCCTAAGCCTAAGCCTAAGCCTAAGCGTAAACCTAAGCCTAAGTCTAAGACTAAGACTAAGCCTAAGCCTGAGCCTGAGCCTAAGCCTAAGCCTGAGCCTAAGCCTAAGCCTAAGCCTAAGCCTAAGCCTAAGCCTAAGCCTAAGCCTAAGCCTAAGCCTAAGCCTAAGCCTAAGCCTAAGCCTAAGCTAGTTGTTAGTTTCATTTTGATAAGAATGTATTTATTTCAACTAAGCATTTAGCCTTAATCAGTTCTTGGCGATCGAACTTCTTCATCAAATGGATTTGTAGTTTTGTAAGCAGGCGGTTGTGGTGGCTGTGATTGAATCGGTGTTCGAGGTCTCGGTGAAACAGTCGATTGCACGCCAAGCGCCAAGAAACAACCCAACACACCGAGAAGAACCAATAAGATTAGGGCGAAGATCTGAAAAGTTTTGAGTGAACTATTAATAATAGATCGACTTTCATCTCTTTCTTGTCCTTTAAAAGTAACTTTTGTCTTTATATCTTATATCGAAGGCTTATATCAAAGAACTTTACGATCACTGAAGTTCACGATCACTGATTTCTAACGACTTGGTTACTTCAGATGCTTTCTACGGTAATGTTGCTTCAAATGAGTGCTCATATTGAAATTTACAGAAAAATTAGTTTGCTGAATTGATTCCCCGATGCCGAAAACCCTCGGATACAAATTTACAGCTCAATATCTTCTTTTTAAACCATTTTTAAACCAATCTGAAAATGACTGGCTAAGTGTTCTTTGTGCGGTCGCGTAATCGCTCTCGATATGGCACAGGTTCCCAATAGATAGGCGTTCCCCCTAACCCGGAAAAGGAGTGTTAAGTGGCCGAGTCATTTCCCCGTTTTCCCCTTACTATGCCAATTTGCTAGCAAATCCTACAAATGCTAATCCCGTTGAACCATTTTGTTACAAAGCATCTAAACTGACAATGAGAGGACATTTCGACCCAACTTGAGACTTTCGTCTTTCGATTCTCTCTATTCTACATCATTCTATATCATTGTCTTTTCGTTATTTCATATAAAATTCTTTCAAACCAACCATAACAACCACTATCCTCTTGTACATTTTCGTATAGGAATTTCTGCCCGAAGTGATGTACCAAAGTTCAATGATAAATACACCAGCTGCAATCACGATACAAAAACCGATTAAAGCTATTGCCTAAAAAGGATTTCCTTTATTTTCTTTTTGATAAATCTATATTTTACCATTTTATTTGTGATCCTCGCAAACATTGATGAAGGATTCGCAATTTTTGACATGAAAAGCACCATAATTATCATAAAAGAAATGAAAAGACAACCCATGACAAATGTTTGCCATGCATATTCAGCAAATATAATCTAAAATCTAATGGAATTTATGCTATAGATTGAATTAACCAGTACTTTGTACTTTGCACTCAAAAAAATCGAAACACAGCTCTTTTCTTTTACTAGTGCAATAAGCAGTAAGACTTTGAGAGTCTGACAACGCCAGAAATGGTGCTTTTCTATTTTTGAGTACAAAGTACACTAAAAAACGCACAAAAGTCTCACCTGAATATAGACATCTCCTTCTTCTGTCCATCTCAAGCCACAAGCCAATAATGTGCCCAAATTAGTCAACTAAAAAAAAGATTTTAATAACTAAATGATTTGAGAAGACTCAATTCTTTCTTACAATGCATAAAATGTGTAAAATGCCAGCCGGTGTCTTGACATAACTTCTCGCGTGATGTAAAGGAGCCATCTCAATTTCTGTATAAGAATTAGCCGGAAACGAGGTGGAGAAAAATGTTTTTAAGGGTTTTTCTAGATCTTAAAGGAAGAAAGGCCTTGTTGAGTTGCTTGGGAACGGCTTTTTTTGAGAAAGGAAGAGAAAGAGAAAGAGAAAGAGAAAGAGAAAGAGAAAATTGTCCTTAGAAGCTTTAGGCATAATACTGAACATGGAACAACTTGATCTGTGATGAAATCGAAGAGTAGTTGAGTGAACTATGAGATTTGATTCTTTTCTCATTATAGATAGGTTAATCTTCAAATTTACAAGTAAAATGAAATAGATATTCAGTCATCAACATAACTTCAACTTCTTTATCTTGAGTTATAGATCATCTAAGTTGATCGACTCTTCCAGGTAGGTACACTACTGGACAATGAAATATCATATTTGAAAAACGATCGTCACTTTCGCGCGTCTGTAACTCCCTTGTCTTTACCGTATTTCTTAATATTAATATTACCATTGTGTAGCCCTTGAAAAGAGCTTTCAGAAAATGTATAACACTAATAGTTTAAACTCAAAGGCAAGGGAGTTACAGACGCGCGAAGGTGACGATCGTTTTTCAAATATGATATTTCATTGTCCAGTACTGTATAGGAGATCCAGCTCTTCCCAAGCCTTTTCGAGAGCGTTTTTTCAAACTATCAACAGTTTTGTGTGGTTGATAGCGTCAACTGATAGCATTTGTGATTTATTTTTCTTATAGGCCTTTAAATTGAGCTTGTTTACTTGTTTACTTACTTGAATTACAGTACTGTAATTCAAGTACTTTGACGTTCAACTTTGACAGAAATTTTCTCTATGTTCTTACACTTGAGTATATAAAATAAATTGTAGTTTTCCATAACCAAATTTCATGAGGATCATTTAAAAACCAACCTTAAGTCGACCTGATTACTGGAAGTCGAGTTACAGAGTAAAAGAGAAGAGTCTCCAACTCCGATAGGGTATACTAGTATACCTTACACTCTCGAAGGTCAACACATACAATACTTAAAGATACTTACAACTTATGACAAAATTTCTGCACAATTCTTCGACTTTTCACAATTGAAATCACATTCTTATACCTTAAACCTTTAAATGATTGTCAAGCTTAATAAAATTGAGCACAAAATATTAAAATAGTTGTACAAGTTTACCTTGATACCATTTATTCTTGTTACTTGTTTTCTAAACTGTTTGATCTGACTAAAACATATTAGTCATAAATCATTCGATGCAGAATTTCATGCTAGTCATGATGCTGCTTTTCTTTTTTTCATATGGATCACTCTATCAAAAGTTATACACGTTTAAAGCTTTGGGATTCCAAAAATCAAGCCACGACATTACCCTGTCTTCCGCAAGGCCATCAGTTGCAAGGTAGGGTTGCCGAGTGGTAGTGAGTTGGAATGCAAGGCGAGGCTATTCTGGTTCGAGTCCGGTAGCTGATTGACTGATTTTTTGTGAGTGTTAAAGTTGATAAGATTCGATTAAAGGACCAAGCAAGTCAGTCAAGTTAGCAAGAGATCAAGTTAACAAGCATAGCTTTTGTTAACTCTTTACCAGTCAAAGCAAGTCAATCAAGTTAAGATTGAAGAACAAGGGACCAAGTTAACAAGCTAAGCTTTTGTTAAATCTTTACCAGTCAAAGCAAGTCAATCAAGTCAAGATTGAAGATTAAGAGACAAAGCTAACAAGCAAAGCTTTTTGTTAACTCTTTACCAGTCAAAGCAAGATAATCAAGTTAAGATTGAAGATTAAGAGACAAAGCTAACAAGCTAAGCTTTTGTTAACTCTTTTCTAGTATCAATTCTACTATCGTATTCATTCTCAAAACAACAGTTCATATAAATTTAGGTGAGTGTCGCCTGTATAAGTCAAAGGGGAAAGGGTTCGAGCTGTATTTGCGCACTAGCTCGTTAGACAAGAAGGGACATAAAAGAAAGAAAAGAAGACCCTGAGGGAATGAAAGAGACTGGAAGGACCTTTTGATCGGAAGCTCTCTAGAAGAGACAAACCTTTTCGAAGAGAGACGCTCTCTTGTCCTCAACCAACACACCATTCTTCTCTCCATTTGAAACAGCTCCACTATTCTCTTTTCAAGCTTTCAATCAATTGTTTTGATTGATTTTGATTTATGCAACAACTTGTACTTTTCAAATAATCAGATGTTGAAATTAAGTAGTTTCTACAGCTGACTAGTACTTGATGATCTATTCATCTGGATATCTAGGACTAGATGATCATTTATTCATCATCTAATGCATTGCATCTAAAATCTAATGACATTTAAAGATCTAATATAAGTTTAACAATAAATTTATAGTTCAAATACTAAAACAATACGGATATAGAACTAAAAAAATGATTAGTTTCATTGAAATCTAAGTTTTCGAAAAAAGTTTAACTGGAATTTAACTAAAAACGAATCCATCAATTCAAGAACATTTTATTCTATTAGTTACAAGGCTTTCACTTATTTTTATTTGTTAGTTAAATTCAAAGCTTTAAAGAAACAAAAAGGAAATCAAACTTAAATTCTATTGAACACTTTCATTGGCTATAAAATCTGAAACTTTCTACATTCCTTTTCACTTTTTTTCACTTTCTTTCACTTTTCCCTTTCTTTAACAACTTTTCTTTTTCTTTTCACTTTAACAAGCTCTTAACGATCAAAATGTTTGTATTTAAAAGTATCCCCAAATTATCACAGTTCACCAGTTCCTTTTATGTTATTAGGTTGAAAAGAAAGTTCTCAGAAAAAGTTTGACTAGAATTTAACTAAAAACGAATCCATCAATTCAAGAACATTTTCTTCTATTAGCTACAAGTCGACTCTAAGAAATTACTGGTAAAAAAAAAATGCAGCTTTGCAGCTAAGCATAAGGCACGTTTTTTAAGCAAGATACGTACTTTTCACTTTTTTATATGTTAGTTAAATTCAAAGCTTTAAAGAAACAAAAAGGAAATCAAACTTAAATTCTATTGAACACTTTCAAGTTGGAAAGAAAGTTCTCAGAAAAAGTTTCATTAGAATTTCTTAAAAACAAATCCATCAATTTAAAAAACATTTTGTTCTATTAGTTACAAGACTTTCACTTATTTTTATTTGTTAGTTAAATGCAAAGCTTTAAAGAAACAAAAGGAAATCAAACTTAAATTCTATTGAACACTTTCATTGGCTATAAAATCTGAAACTTTCTACATTCCTTTTCACTTTTTCTTTTAGCGTCAAAACCCTTTTTCGTTTCGTCGTTTTCTTATCAAAATTTTTGGCCAATATTTTACATGTTTATTGATTCAAATTCCACAAAGCTGTCTCATCTATAGATTATGGATGAAGAATTCAAAAGAAAAGCTTTTGAAAAGCAAAAGAAAAGAAAAGATTTAAAAGATTAAGCTTTTGAAGTTTAATTCCATTGATTCATCTCTTTCAAAGCTTTTGAAGCTTAATTCCATTGATTCATCTCTTTCAAAGCTTTTGATTATACTTTTGAAGCTTAATTCCATTGATTCATCACTTTCAAAGCTTTTGAAGCTTAACTCCATTGATTCATCTCTTTCAAAGCTTTTGAAGCTTAACTCCATTGAATTCATCTCTTTCAAAGCTTTTGATTAAACTTTTGAAGCTTAATTCCATTGATTCATCTCTTTCAAATCATTTTTCTAAGCTTTAACCAATCGATCGATATACTTTATTAAAGATTTTCTTATATTCAAACGAATTTAAATCCAAAAACAATCGATTTCCTTTTTGGATTGAGTTTAAAATTGCTATTCATGTTTAGTTTCTCTTGAAACATCTTGTTTGGTGGTGGGGGGAAATTGATCCGAGTAATCGGATCCTATAATATTCATTCTTTTCTCTTTCCCCTTTCCCTCTTCTCTTTCATAATGCTTATTAATTATTAATAAAATGCATAGCTAACAAATTTTTATATTCTTTAAAAGTTTCTTCTTGTTTTTCTTTTACATAATTGAAGATTTAGCCTTTTCTTATCATACTTCTCAATCTTTTTAAAAATAAAACTTTCAGGAATCTTTTTAGCTATTTCAGAAAGTAAATCTTCATATTTATATTATTTTTTTTAATTAAAATAGTATAAATATGAATTCTTTTATTAAAAAATCTAAAAACTTTACTTTTCAATTCATTTAAAATCTAAATTATCACAAAAACATTGACTCATTTGTATTGCTCCAACGCTTTAGCTTTAGTTAGCTTTAGTCCTTTCGCGATTTAAGACAAAGTATTTCACAGAAAGGATTGGAGAATAGGGGAAAAAGGCTTCTGTTTTCTTGTCGAAAACGAGACCAACTTCAAACAAAAAAACGTCCCAAAAAGGCCTGTTGGAAGAGAAAGGAAAGGAAAAGAAAGGAAAGAAAAGGAAAGGAGAGGAAAGGAAACCTGTGTGGGTCACCATTCTTTTCTTCGTTTCTCCAAGATGCGATTTTTCCGGGAGAATCTCGTTTGATTTTTTAGTTTTCTGTTGCGTCAACGGTTAAAAGCATAATTTCGAAACTAACAGCTTGCCTGGAGCTTATTAGCTTTTTTCCATAGAGTTTAGATTTCTTAGATCTTAGCTTTCTTAGAGCTTAGATTTCTTAGAGCTTAGATTTCTTAGATCTTAGATTTCTTAGATCTTAGCTTTCTTAGAGCTTAGCTTTCTTAGGTCTTAGATTTCTTAGATCTTAGCTTTCGTAGCTTTTAGAGCTTAGCTTTCTTAGAGCTTAGATTTCTTAAAGCTTAGATTTCTTAGATCCAAACTTTCCTTTGTTAATGTATAAGTGACTCTAAGACCAAGCCCAACTAAGCCAAGATCCGTAGTCCAAATCAAAGGCTAGACTTGAACTTTAGCGGATCAGGCTTTTTTGAGTCAAGCTTGCAGTAAAGTCATGCAAGGAACTTCTGTTATGACTGGCCCTGCTTAGCCTGAAAGTGTTTTTTGAACAATCCTGGGCCTTACAACTACACATCATTAGCCACTTTAGATGCCACACCTCATTAGAACATGAGTTTGAAATTCAAGTTGAATCCAGTCCAATCAGATCAACACTTTTCACTTTATGCTTCTTTTTCAAGCTTTTCTTCATATCATTTTGTTTTCTCATCAAATCTCCTTTCCCATCGATAGGATCTCTTTTCTGACGGGATTTCCGCAAACTCTTTTCTTTTTTTTTCCAACTGATCACCTCTCAGCTGTCATCCGAATGCCCGATTTTTTTTCTTTCGAGATTTGTGGGAAAGTCCTTAGCAAGCGTTCTAGCTTGGCAGCTTCATTTCAGGTTTTTCGATTCATTTTTATTTTTCCACATTTCTATTAAGCAATAAAACATTTTGTACATTGTTATTAGATACCGTAAATACTGTAATAGTACCCCAGCCCCATAATGACGGTGCGGAGCGTTGCGTAGTCTAGCTTTGAACGAGTTTTTCTCGACACTGGTTTATGCTACAATAAAGGTTTAGGTATCAAAAAATAGCCCTGAATTTCAGGGCTATTTTTTAATACCAAACACGCATTTTTTGAAAGTACGGGCGCTTTGAAATAAATGAAATACTAAAAGACTTTTGCGACTACGCGACTCTACGAGGGGGGTGGGGTCCAATTACAGTATTTACGGTAGATATTTTTAGATTGAGTTTCTTCTATTAATCTTTGCATTTTTTAAAATCTAAAGCTTGTGTAAATCTGATACTAGGACATCTTATTTACAAGAGACAACAAGAAAACATTTTCTACATCGATAACTTCTATTCTATACAATAATTATGTACAAATCTTCTACAATAACTTCTATTCTTCTATTCCATTGATAACTTCTATCCAAGAACTATGAAAACTTTGTAAATAGTTATTGGCTGGAAGAGTGGGGAGATTCGCTGATGCTAAAGCATTTTGAAGTTACTACTACTAAATTCTCATAAATCTAGTCTCAATTTGTCTAATGCTATTGACTAAAATGTTTCAATAATCATTGGAATTGATTGTTAGACGACTGATAGTAACTATTCATTTACTCAAATGTTTATCTAGTACTTGAAGAGTTACATTATACATTTATAACTAATAGAAATCTATTAAAGATATCAGTTTGTCCTTTGCTAGATTTTCTGTATAAGTTTCTTGACTAGTTACTGTATTGGGTAACTTTGTACATGGAATTCATTGTAAATTCCAGTCACCTCCAATAAATTTGTGTATAACTCTTTTCCAATAAGAACTGCCAGAATTTAGAATCGACTCTCGACCGCCCAGAGTTTTGAGAGAGTCCAGTAGTCTCGAAACTTTTCAATTATCTGTAGATGATCTTGATCTTGAAGCTCTAGTGAATCCTTGACGTTATCTGTGCTACGCATATGCCGTATTTTCTCTAATAGTAGTGTACCCTGAGCGTCGCCTAAATTCCTCGAAATCTCGAGAACCGCTTATCAGAACCTATCGATGTGGGGTTGGAAAATGTAGCTAACAATGAGATCTAGTGGGTGGTTAGAGTGTTGAGCTTCTGTGAAAGTTTGGAAACCATAAAATCGTCACCAACTCGGCTCGGCTGGGGTGCACTACTATTAGAGAAAATACGGTATTACATATATTATATCGTGTTGCTTTTTATCGGCCTTCTTCGTGTTATGTGGATGAATTCATGTGTTTTAATCTTAAATCTAACGCACTTTATCTCAGGTCCTGAATAGAGTATCTATATATTTATAAAAACTTTGTACATGGAATACATGACGCTTTTCAATCGAATTCCTCGAACATTGCACTTTTAAATCCAAAGCCTGCCCTGGGGAAACTGAAATTAGCGATATTTCGATTGATTTGAGAGCTCTGGTGTTCTTTTCTCTTCAAATCTTACTGTCTATCCATGTTTTCACATAAAGACGCTAAAATGGAGAGAGAAAAGAACCCTATCCAATCCCAATCAAACGTCGACCTAGATTTCGGTCGAGAATGATTTCCTCTCCTCTTCATTCTCCTGTCACTTTTCTTTTTGATACATCTGACTGATACATTTGAAAATGGTGATAAAAATTTGTACAATGTTTAGACATTCTCTTTGGTAAATCATTAGAAAACTTGAAAGTTTAACTTTTTTTTGTTTTTGTTTGTTTTTGATTGCTCTCTGCTTTCTTGTTTACTTATTTGTTTACTTATTTGTTTTTACTTATTTGTTTTTACTTATTTCCTTTTATTTACTTTCAAGAATGTTTACAGAATTTTACAGATGTCTCGTTAACTTTTGAGGATTCATGGTGCACGTAACAAAGGTAAATTTCTTTGTGAATTGAAGAAAAAAATGTAGATCACTCAAAATCAATTCAATTCAAATCTTTTCTAAACGCAAATCTTTTTAAATCATTTATCAATTTCATCAAAAACTATAGAAGGTACTTCAAAAAGAATCTTAATGTTTTTTAAACTTTAACAATAAAAAAACTTTGTCTTCTTTTGTTTCCCTTTTCGATTCTCGATCCTTCTTTTCCACTACTTTCCTTTTCTTTTCAAGATTGACCATTCGGACATTGTTGACCGTTTCAGAGATTTCTCTCTTTTCTTCTTTTTCTTTTCATCCTTTAGCTCTTTTCTTTTCAAAAGAGAACAAAAAGATTATGAGAATCTAGTGAAGAGATTCAAAAGAGAACGATCCAATTCTCAGCAAATCTTTTCTCGAAGAATTTCTTCAATAAATTCAATCAAAATAAACAGTTGAATGGGATAAGCTGATAAAAATAAGAAGTAGATTTACTAATATTCTTTAAAAGTTCACTTTTAGGGAGATTTCATTTGGGTTGAACCCCCAAAGGGAACCGGCTCGGTGCCAATCGGCGCTCGAGTCATCGACTCCGATCATGGAAAGCTCAAAGTTGTTGACGATTATGGAAAGGTTAAAGAAAAAGAGTAAAAGGAAAATGATCTATATAGGAGGAATGGCTTTCATCGGATCGTCGAGTGAAATTGATGCATCCGACTTCAGTGCAAGGGGTGGAGGATATGACTCAGCTTGGGGATCTCCATGAAGCGGCCATTCTTCGAAATATCTCAATCAGATATAGAGAAAAGTTGATCTATGTAAGTTCTTCAATAGTTTTTCTTATTTTTTATTAAAAACCAAAAGAATTAGTGGGGAGAGGAGTCGAAACCACGACCTCTCTCTCCCGTTCGATTGAGAAACGCGCACATTAACCACTCGGCCATACGGCCATGCGAGCACGGTGGTCTCGCTGCGAGACAAAGGCTCTCACAGATTGCCAGACTCTCACAGTAGATAGCGCAGTGCGAGCGCACTTGGCTCTAGCCCACACGATCCGGGTTCGACTCCCGCCCGCGACTCCAATTTTGGTTTTTAAAAATTTAAAAATATGTTGCATAACTACATGAAATTCTAAATCAAACTAACTATAAGTCATTTGAAACGGCCTAAACAGCAGACAGACACTGCTCTTTTATATATAGTAGTCAACAATTACAATCCAAATTACCAAGAATAAGGAAAAGGTCACTGAATGCTTTTAGACTTATACTGGCTCGATTCTGATTGCTGTGAATCCCTACATGGACATTCCTTTATACACTCCGGAGCAGGTAATCTACTGCTTTATTTAAAAATTATTGTTAGTTTTGTTAGTTTTATTAGTAATTAAATCAATTCTACGGCTTTTACATAGTTTCCGGGGATTTTGAACGGGTCGTCACGCTTTAAAAGCCTATAACTTTCTCCAGAGATTATATTTTGATTAACTTTTTATATCATTGTACAGAGGACATTTCAGGCTTTCAAATGATACCAAATAAAGCCTGATTGGATTTTTCATTCCCATGCAAACCAGGCGACACAACACTCGAGTTGGATAGGCCTCATTTGCTCAGAGTTGGCTTTGATTTTCTTAGACTGGATTATCCAATTAAGCTTTATTTGGTATCATTTGAAAACCTGAAATGTGCTCTATTCAATAATATAAAAAGTTAGCAAAAATATTATCTCTGGACAAAGTTATAGGCTTTCAAAGTGTGACGATTCGTTGAAAATCCCCCGGAAACTACTCAAGACTACTCAAGAGCCATTTCCACTCATAAGTTTCAGATTTATGTATTTCTTTAGGTCCGTCTCTATCGACATCGTAAAATTGGTGAACTTCCACCGCATATTTTCGCCGTTGCTGATAATGCCTATACAAATATGAGAAATTCATCGAAGAATCAAAGTGTTGTGATCAGGTTTGTTTGAAATTTTGATTTTGATTAACTCAGAGATTCAATTGGAAATTCAATTCAAGAAATTCAATTCAATTCAATTCAATTCAATATAATTCAAAATTTCAGTGGAGAATCAGGCGCTGGCAAGACGGAAAGTACTAAACTGGTGCTTCAATTCTTGGCTACAATTTCTGGCCAACATTCATGGATCGAGCAACAGGTATCAACTTTATTTTGTACTTTATTTGTACATGTTTTTAGGTTCTTGAAGCCAATCCAATCCTCGAGGCTTTCGGTAATGCGAAAACGATTCGAAACGATAATTCGTCACGGTTTGGCAAATACATCGATGTGCATTTCAACAGTATTGGAGCTATTGAAGGTAAACTTTAAACGAACTGAATGTCATTTGATTATTTAGGTGCTCGAATTGAGCAATATTTATTGGAGAAGTCAAGAATTGTGGCTCAATCACCGGGAGAGAGAAATTATCATGTTTTTTATTGTCTTCTAGCTGGATTGAGTCTCGAGGAGAAGCAAAGCTTTGAGCTGACTCAGGCTTCCGATTATTTCTATCTGACACAGGTTTGTCGCATCAGAAAGCATGCGTTTGCTAGAGTATAAAGCACTGATAAGAGGTACTTTAAGCCCTATTAAACGCTTTCTTCCTGGCAAATCCATTCTGTTTTTCAAATGCACCAGAAAGCACACGTTATCTAGAGCACAAAGTACTCTTAAGAGGTACTTTAAGCTCTCTTAAACGCTTGCTTTCTGGCACAACGATCCTGTATATCAGAAGGAAAACTATCAAGTTTCAGGGAAAAACATTGGTAGCCGATGGTCGAGACGATGCTGCGGACTTTGCTGACATTCGTTCAGCAATGAAAGTATTAATGTTTAAAGATCCTGAAGTGAACTCAATCTTCCGGATTTTATCTGCTCTTTTGCATACGGGAAATGTTCGATATCGATGTAATTTAAAGAATTTACTTGAGATAAACTTAAGCTTTTCCTTTTAAGCTACAACTGTTCACAATATGGAGGCGGTTGAAGTGGCAAATATGGATGTGCTGAAACGAGTGGCTCGATTGTTGAACTTTGATGAGAAAGTTTTCTTCGATGCTCTAACGACAAGAACGATTGTGACAAGAGAGGTTTGGAGTTTGGATAGAAAGAGCTTTTAAGTTTTTAGCTTTTCTTAGCTTAAAGATAAAAGCTTAAAGCTTAAAGTAAGTGCATTGTTCAAGAAAAAAAACGAATATTTGATTTTTATTGGGTTGGTGAATTGAAAACTGCGGCCTATTGTCATATGTGACAGTTTGAGCACTTTCTTCAAAAGAAACCCATTTTGGTGTCAATGGAAAAGTTGTAGAGAATCAAAAATCAAGCTTATATCCAAATTTTCAGAACGATTCAAAAACTGGTTTTCAAGAAATGTTTCTTTTGTTTTTTTTTGATTTTTAATGTTAGCTTCTAAAAACTATAGTTAGTTATAGGTTTTGACTCAGATTTGCTTGAGCTGATCAACTAAAAGTCAAATGTTCGTTTTGTTCTTGAACAATACACTTGCTTTAAGCTTTAAGCTTTAATCTTTAAGCTAAGAAAAGCTAATAACTTAAAACTTTTCTTAACTTAAGCTTTTAGCTTTTCTTAGCTTAAAGATTAAAGCTTAAAGCTTTTCTTAGCTTAAAGATAAAAGATTAAAGCTTAAAGCAAGTGGATTGCTCAAGAACAAAACGAACATTTGATTTTTAGTTGATCAGTTCAAGCAAATCTGAATCAAAACCTATGACTAACTATAGTTTTTAGAAGCTAACATTAAAAAAAGATTAAAAACAAAGAGTTAACATTGAAAGAACATTAGAGAAGAGAAATTTAACATTAAAATACTTTCCAGGAACGCGTAATCTCAACCTTGTCTCCCCAACAAGCTGTTGATACTCGCGATGCTTTAGTGAAAGGAATCTACGGTCGAATCTTTGTCTACATTGTTCAAAAGATCAACGATGCTATTTACAAGTAATTTGCAATTATTTAACTAATCCTTTCTTCTTTCTTTCTTCTTTTAGACCTCGATCTGAAGCTCATCGTCGAATCTCCATTGGAATTCTTGATATTTTCGGTTTTGAGAACTTTGATACAAATAGTTTTGAGCAATTGTGTATCAATTATGCAAACGAACATTTGCAACAGTTTTTCGTACATCATATCTTCAAAATGGAACAGAAAGAGTACGATTTGGTGAGTGAATTGGAGTAACAAATAGTTTTTAAGTATTGCAAATCAATGATCAAAGTTTTTGAGTTGTTTATTATTGAATTATTAAAGAAAGTTAAAGAAGTTAAAGCTTTTAAAAGCCTTTACGGTACTTCTTTTTCGTTAAGCTATTGCTTAGCTATTAGATATTCACATAAACTCACGAATTCCATTGACAAGCACTCGGTAACGATCCACAAATTGCTGATAATCGTGTCTAACCGGATAACCGGCTTTTCGAATTTTGATTGTTTCCTTGGTGGGGATTGTTCGGGATAAAATGTGTCTCTATCCCTTGGTTCAGGCAGAATATTTATTAAAGCACAGAAGGGTTTACATACAGAAAAGTTGAGGGGGAAATGTTTAGAAATGTCTATGTTTTGGTTAGCTTATGGCTGGGGAAATCGTGGAAAGATTTTGGAGGAGAAGGATGATTCAGAGGGTAGATCGATAGATTGATCGATAGAAATAAACTTTATCGGAAGAAGCTTCGAACAGAGATTGAAATTTTAAAAATAAGATTCTAAAGAAGAGGTAATCATTGTAAATTATAGGAGAAAATCAATTGGCGTCACATTCAATTCGTCGACAATCAGGAAACTCTTGATTTAATTGCTCAACGACCAATGAATATTATGAGTCTCATCGATGAAGAAAGCATTTTTCCAAAGGTTTTAAATTGAATGATACACTACTGGAAAATGAAATATCATATTTGAAAAACGATCGTCACTTTCGCGCGTCTGTAACTCCCTTGTTTTTACCGTATTTCTAAATATTAATATTACCATTGTGTAGCCCTTGAAAAGAGCTTTCAGAAAATGTATAACACTAATAATTTAAACTCAAAGACAAGGGAGTTAGAGACGCGCAAAAGTGACGATCGTTTTTCAAATATGATATTTCATTGTCCAGTACTGTCGATTTAAGATTTAAGATTTTCATTGTAATTCAGGGAACTGATGACACAATGTTGCAAAAATTGCACACAAATCACAACAAGAACGATGGACTCTATTTGAAACCAAAATCCGATCTAGAGAAAGCATTTGGTGTCACCCATTTTGCCGGCGCTGTCTACTATTCAACAAAAGGTTAGACTGAGAAATTGATGTGAAAAGTACAGAAAAGGTGAATTGGCTGAGCGAAATGCTATCCGAACCATAAAATTCAACGCAGAATTTTATGCTGATTCCAAATATGTCTTCTGTTTTTGCTAAATGACAATCTGCCAGGAGTTATAAGCCTCTAAGGTTTGTTAGGACTCTGGAAATGTGGTGAGTCTTAGCGGCCTCCTTGCTGGATGGCCGAGGTGCATCCTTGGCCGAGTGGTAAAGCGTTTGTTTCCAATGCTAGACCTCATATGTTCGATCCCACCCTCAATTTCCTTGTGCTTTTTTGCAAGAAGTGCTACTAGTGTTCTTTGTGCGCAATTGCATTCCATCTGGCACATTGCTTTCTATATATAAACTGGATTTGATTTCAGGTTTCCTCGAGAAAAATCGAGACACCTTTTCGGCTGATCTCCACGGTTTGATCGCCACATCGAAAATGAGTTTCTTGATGCGACTTTTTGACGAAGGAGAATATATGGAGGGTGGAAATAAGTGAGTTCTACTTTTGGGGATCAAATTTTCGTTCGAATTTCAGGAGAAAAGGAGCCACAGTTGGCGGACAGTTCAAGAAATCGTTGGAAACTCTGATGGGTGCTCTTCAACAAACCGAACCTTTCTTCATTCGATGCATCAAACCTAATGAGTTCAAGAAGCCGATGGTTTTTCTGAATATTTGAAGACTAAAACTAAAACTTTAGTACTTGGATCGAATTTTGGTGATTCGTCAACTCCGATACTCGGGAATGATGGAAACAATCAAGATTCGAAAAGCCGGTTATCCGGTTAGGCACGGTTATCAGCAATTTGTGGATCGTTACCGAGTGCTTGTTAATGGAATTCGTGAGTTTATGTGAATATATAATAGCTAAGCAATAGCTTACCGAAAAAGAAGTACCGTATTTTCTCTAATCCTGAGCGTCGCCTAAATTCCCTCGAAATCTCGAGAACCGCTTATCAGAACCTATCGACGTGGGGTCGGAAAATGTAGCTGACGATGAGAGAGGATTAGAGTGTTGAGCTTCTGCAAAAACTTGGAAACCGTAAAATAGTCACCAACTCGGCTCGTCGGGGTCAACTATTAGAGAATATACGGTATTCTAATCATTCAATAGCCCTGAAACTCCTCTTGAAAACTAGATAAACTAAACTACCGTATTTTCTCTAATAGTAGTGCACCCAAAGCGTTGCCTAAATTCCTCGAAATCTCGAAAAGCGCTTATCAGAACCTATCCAGAGTTTTGAGAGAGTCCAGTAGTCTCGAAACTTTTCAATTATCTGTAGATGATCTTGATCTTGAAGCTCTAGTGAATCCTTGACGTTATCTGTGCTACGCATATGCCGTATTTTCTCTAATAGTAGTGCACCCTGAGCGTCGCCTAAATAGTCGCCTAAATTCCTCGAAATCTTGAGAACCGCTTATCAGAACCTATCGATGTGGGATCGGAAAATGTAGCTGACGATGAGATCTTGCAGGGGATTAGAGTGTTGAGCTTCTTCGAAAACTTTGAAACCGTAAAATAGTCACCAACTCGGCTCGTCGGGGTCAACTATCAGAGAAAATACGGTATATAAAAATGGAAACTCGTCTGGTAGAAAAGAGAAGAATGGCAAGCTTATTACATCTCTCAAAAAGCCACAAAACTGTTGATTTCTTTGCTCAATTCTTTTTTAAAACGTTTAAAACGAAAAATCTAATATCTAAGCTAGTTTGATTGCATAATTTCAGCTCCTTCTCATCGTGTTGATTGTTTTTCGGCGGCAAAAAAGATTTGTCTTCGCATTCTTGGCGCAAAAGCTGATTTTCAACTTGGAAAAACGAAAATTTTCTTGAAAGATGCACAAGATCTCTTCCTAGAACAAGTGATTTTTTTCAATTTATAAATAGAAATTATGCCTTAAGAATTGAAAAATGAAAGATAATTGAAAGAATCAAATAGGTTTTACCCAATTCAACCCCAAATCAGGTATTTTGAGTGAATATCAACTGTCTGAATGCTGTGAAAGAAAAAAGAAAGAAGAAATAAGAAATATGAAATGAATATTCAGGAATATTTTCGAATGATCAATGAAAGAGCGACTGTGATTCAAAAAGCGGTGAAGGGATGGGTGGCAAGGAAAAGATTTATCCGGCAGAGACAAGCTGCTGTCCTCATTCAGAAAACGTGGAGAGGTTTCGAGCAAAGGAAAAGATATAAACAGGTAATGAGTTTAATGTTTAGAGAATCGAATCTATAAATTGTTTCAGATTATCGCTGGAATCACTCGCCTTCAAGCTTGGCTTCGAGCAAAACGTTTGGAAGAGCACTATCAGAATCTTCGAGCAACGATCATTCGCTTCCAAGTGAGCTAGATTTTAGAATTTGATTTGATTTTCTATAGAGAGAATAAAGGTTAGACTTTAATCAAGCTATCAATAGACTGTAGGTAGACAGTACTCTTGTAACTAAAGTTGAGTTGACTTCTTTAACCCTTTGAATAGTTTCTAGAGGCTTTTCAAACTCTTTGATAACAGATTTATGAGCTTTTCTTTTCTCTAACTTTTTTGAATAAACAAAGAAAAGGAAAATGGAAGTCTTTAAGTATTTTGTGTTCTCATAAACGCAAAAATCCTCTTAGACTTGAGTCCACGTGATTCTTTGTGATTAGTCTAAACTCTACTCATGAAAATTGAAATCGATTTGTGGTAGCGTGCTCATTTGTTTGTGGCTCAAAGAGTTAACTATAATATATAAAAAGCTATAAGCTATAGGCTATTCCTTTTAATTATCATTTTAAAAAAGTAGCTTTATTTTAAAATTAAATTTTAGTAAGTTTAGAGATTTTTGATTACTCTGTTAGCCTTACAACTTGTTTCACTTCAAGTTTAAGCATAGTTTAAGCATTGCAAGTGTACTAAAATGCCTTTGAATTGTTTAGATTATATAATTTACTTAAAGTAAATCCAATTTTAAGGCACATTGTCGCGGTGCACTTGTGCGAAACGAAGTTCGAGCGATGCGAGCACAAGGAAAACGTAAACCGGCAATGATGGCACCAATTGAGTCTTCAGAATCAGAAATGAATGTTCAAGCGGCTGAGACGGAGATTGTGAGTTTTTAAAATATTAAAAGAAAAAAGGAATAATGAAAGAAAATTGGAAATTTGGAAATTTAGAGTTCACAAGATCCCAGCGAGGTAAAGCACGAAATGTTGTCTTTTTTTATTTTCTTTTCTGTTTAAATAACTTTCATTTTATGAAGTAAAATATGAAAATCGGTTTTTTTAATGGAAAACGATTGATTTTAGGTGACAAATCTGTTCGATTTCTTGCCGACAGATGGAGAAAATGGGGTATTGAGCGAGTCGAATACGATGACAAGATCAACAGTTCGAAATTTTTTGATAACTTTAGCTCAATTCGCTTTATTTGTTTCGAAATTGACTTAATTAAACGAAATTTGACTCAATTTGACACAATTTGATTCAATTTGTCTCAATTTGACTCAACTTGACTCAATTTGACTCAATTTGACTCAATTTGACTCAATTTGACTCAATTTGACTCAATTTGACTCAACTTGACTCAATTTGATTCCACTTGACTCAATTTGACTCAATTTGACTCAATTTGACTCAATTTGACTCAATTTGTCTCAATTGAGACTCAATTTGACTCATTTTGTCTCAATTTGTCTCAATTTGTCTCAATTTTTGTATTTAAGATCTCAACAGCGCCAAGTCCATCAGTTTCAATGATGGAGGATCTCTTTAACGGAGAAGATCTATCGAAATATCAATTTGGAAAGTTTGCCGCCACATATTTCCAGGTAATAAATGAATAATGAAACTTAGAACCTTAAAAACTTAATAATAATAAACAAAAAAAACAACAACCAACCCCCCCCCCACCCCATAAAAAACCAAAAAAAAAAAAAAAAAAAAAAAAAAAAAAAAAAAAAAAAAAAAAAAAAAAAAAAAAAAAAAAAAAACCCAAAAAAACACCCCAAAAAAAAAAAAAAAAAAAAAAAATAAAAAAAAAAACCCCACCCCAAAACCCCCAAAAAAAAAAAAAAAAAAAAAAAAAAAAAAAAAAAAAAAAAAAAAAAAAAATATAAAAAAAATTTTAAAATAAAAATATACCCACCCCCAAATAAATACTCCAAAAAAAAAAAATACACACCCAAAACCAAACCCCAAAAAAAAAAAAAAAAATTTTAAAAACCCCACTTCAAGGGGGGGGGGGGGTTTTCTTTATAAAAGAAACCCTTTTAAAAAAAAACCTGCTTTTTTATAAAATTAATACGTAAGCTAACCTTGAAACATTAGTATTAAATGGTAATATCCTCATTTCTAGGCTCAAGCTACATCAATCCACGTCAAGCGTCCTATCAAATTCCCTCTTCTCAGTCATGATGATCCAAGTACACAACTGGTTAGTTTTAAGGCCAAGGTTACTTTTAAGGCTTTCGATCTGGATGTCACGCTAGAAAATTTTCGATTAAAAAACTGAATTGGTGTTGGTGAGAGTCTGGCCAAGTGGTAGTGGGCGCTGTTCGAACAACCAGGCGTTCCAGGCGAACAACCGCCTAGAAATCAGAAAGATCAATCCAATCAATCAATAAACCCAATGCATTAGCAATATTTCTATCATTTCTAACAAATTTCCAGGCTGCAATGGCTGTTTGGATGACAATGCTACGATTTATGGGCGATCTTCCTGATATAAAGCTTGGCTCGACAAGCAATGATTATAATTATGTAAAATGAAATCAAAATTACAACTAAACACAAGAAATAAGGAATTTAGGATAAAACTCCGGTGATGACAAAACTCTACACGACTTTAGGAAGAAAATTCAGCAGAAGAGATGTCGAAGAAGCGAGTTTAGCGAGTGAATACGATCAGGTGAGTTTTTGGAAACCAATTTTCATCTATTCTTGTTGAAATTTGAGATTAATATGATAATTTTAAAGTTTTTTAAAAAGTTTAGTATGCGACAAACAAGATTAGAAGTCGAAATGTCGGGAAGAAGTTGATTTCGATGACGTTGAAGAAGAAAAGTAAACTGATTGGTGAGTTGAAGAAGCTTAAAGGGCGGGCGACAATCGAGGGCGATTTCAAGTGAAATTTTTTTCGCTGATAACTATTATTTTATTTTCATTTGATGCCTTTTATATCAAAAATGGCAGAAAGAAATCGACTGATTGATTTCCTGGAGTATTCGCTGATTTCCACAGTGGTTTAATCCGCTATCTTGCTGCAGGCTTCTTACTGCAAGCTTCTTACTGCAGGCTTCTTACTGCAAGCTTCTTACTGCAGGCTTCTTACTGCAGGCTTCTTCGCAGCCTTCGCGGCTTCTTCGCGGCTTTCTGCAGGCTTCTCTGCAGGCTCTACTGCGGCTCTTACTGCGGCTTCTTACTGCAGGCTTCTTACTGCGCTTCTTCTGCGGCTTCTTCGCTTCTGCGGCTCTTCTCAGGCTTCTTCGCGGCTCTTCTGCAGGCTTCTTACTGCAGGCTTCTTACTGCAGGCTTCTTACTGCAGGCTTCTTACTGCAGGCTTCTTACTGCAGGCTTCTTACTGCAGGCTTCTTACTGCAGGCTTCTTACTGCAGGCTTCTTGCTTGCTGCTCGAGCAAGTGTGAGGTCGAATCGCTAAAATCAAACTAAAAAAAACAATAACCAAAACGAGACAAATCAACAAATAATCTTAGAAATCTTTTTCCTTTTGTTGAAATCTTTCTTTCTCCTTTCTTTCGATAAGAACAGTATTTTCAAAGCATAAGAAGCTCATTTAAAGCAGAAAAGAAGAAAGCCAAATCAGGATCCAATTGACTTGAGCGGCTTCTGGCAGAAACTAGGTCGGCCAACCTCGCAATCATAATGGCTGAAACAAATCGACTGATTAATTTCCTGGCGTATTCGATGATTTCCACGGGTGTCTGATCCACTATCTTGCTGCAGGCTTGCAGGAGCAAGTGTGAGGTCGAATCGCTAAAATCAAACTAAAAAAACAATAACCAAAATAAGATCATAAACAAATAATCTTAGAAACCTTTCTCCTTTTGTTGAAATCTTTCTTTCGATAAGAACAGTATTTTCAAAGCATAAGAAGCTCATTCAAAGCATAAAAGAATAAAGCCAAATCAGGACCCAATTGACTTGCGCGGCTGCTGTGATTGCGAGGTTGGCGAGGTTGACCGACCTAGTTTCTGTACTTTCTACAAACTTCTGTGTTGACCATCGACTCCTGACAAGAACATCGAGTTACGGCTGCGAGGCACGTTCCATTTCTTGTTCTCGAGTCCAATTGATTGCTCTCAACTTTCCTTTACTTCGTTCTCCTGGAACTCTGCCGCAAATATGACAATGTTGCAGCTAAATTTCCAATTGTGATAACTCAACAATGACGTACGTCGGTTTATCATCCTCAATAACTTCATCATCGCTCGAACTCATCTCGAATGAAAAGTCAAAAAAGATTCTAGTTTTCTGCGAGCAAAGTGGCTTGCCAGTTGATACGTTCCAACTTGTTTGCCGCGGCAGGAGATGCTTAGTAATAAAAGTTTCTCGAATATGTCAGTCTCGAAATCAACAGGCGATTTATTTCTGCCATTTTCCAGATATAGAGTATCAAATGAAAATAAAATGATGATAATCATCGCAAAAACTTTTCCACTCGAAATCGACCTCGGTTCTTGCCCTACCTTTAATCTCTTATCTCCTAAAAAGATTCCAAAAGGGAAGACCTTATACCAGAGTCGTTTGCCAGATTGCGAGCGATTACGCAACCGTACAATGAACACTTTGCTTTATAGATCGTTCAAAAAAGCTGTAAATTTGTGTCAGGGGGTTTTCGGAAACGGAGAATCGACTGGAGCTATTCATTTTATTCATTCAACCAATTAGAACCCAGATTATAGCAAATTACTTGAATAATTGATTCCTTTAAAACTATAGGTCTGGATTCGAATGCATCCGAAAAATCGAACGACTCAACGACTTCAAGCAATCATTTCAACGCTCTTCTCGACAATAAACCGATGAGCAGTCTCGATAAACTGCATTACATCATTGGTTTAGGGATTTTAAGAGAGGAAATAAGGTAATTTCATTCACAAATTCATCAAAAGCCAGCTTTTCCTTTCAGAGACGAGATTTACTGTCAACTTTGCAAGCAACTCTCAAACAATCCATCAAAATTAAGTCAAGCACGTGGCTGGATTTTGATGAGTCTTTGTGTCGGATGCTTTGCGCCAAGTGAACGGTTTTTTTAAAAGATGAAATAAGAGTCTAAAGATCACTCTAGATTCCTGAAATACTTATTCTGTTTCATTCGGGAGCAAGGACCAGGAAATTCCGGATATGCTGCTTATATTGAGCAAAGATTGAGAAGAACACAAAAGAATGGAACAAGACATCAACCGCCGAGCTATGTCGAGTTACAGGTTGTTGAAAATAATCTGTCTCTCATTTTTACCGTCTTTTCCTCAGCAACCAAAAAAAAATGTGAAAATCGAAGAGTTGGAACCGTATTGGATCAAAGAAGAACCGTATTAGAACCGTATTGGAACCGGTTCTAATACGGTTCCAATACGGCTCCAATACGGTTGTTTTTTTATCCAGTACAGTTCCAATACGGTTCTTTTTTGATCTAATACAGTGCCAATACGGTTCCAATATGGGTCCTATTTTGATCCAATATATTGGGTTGGGGAGAATGAGTCGGCGCCGAAATTTAAAGAATCTTTTTGCACCCATAAAACCTTCTTTAAATGCACGTTTTGTTTCATCAAAATGGTCCACTATTTCTTTACAAAATGGCTTTTGAGAGATTCCACAAAGCTTTTCTTTTTTGGGATTTTATGGATTCCCAAACACAGCTAATCAAAATGACAAAAAGTCCGACTCATTGCTTGAACAGTTTCTTCCACATAAACCTCCTTTGGTGTTTATATAAAAAAGATAGAGCACACTCAATTACATAAGTTACCAAATTTTCAGGAAGATCCCTCCAACCGTTTACTCTAGATGACAGTTTATCGATTTTGTGAAAAAATGATCCTTTGTTGAGTTGAGGCGCTGTTTCAGTTCTCTTTTAAATATTATTTTGTAGAGAATTAGTTACCCTTCTACGGATATCAAACGCATATCATTTGACAAAGTCTGCTATAAGTTTTAGAAATTTCTTCGATTTTCGGCGCCGACTCATTCTCCCCAACCCAATAGTTCCAATACAGTTCCAATACGGTTCCAATTTGATCCAATACGGTTCCAATATGGTTGCTATTTTGATCCAATACGGTTCCAATACGGTTTTTTGATCCAATACGGTTCCAATACGGTTCCAATATGCTTCTTTTTTGATCCAATACGGTTCCAACTCTTCGATTTTCACTATTTAAAGTATCATTTAATGCAGAAGAAAATTGCGCATCGAATGATACGAAAATTAACTCAAAATATCATATTAATGAAAAGTTATGAGGGAAAAGGTGAAGTCCTGTCCTGAATGGGTAAGGTTTCGATTTTTAGCTAATAACTTTATATAGATATTATAGTTTTTAGTTAATTTTTGTATAATTTGATGCAGAATTTTCTTCTGCATTGAATAATAGTTAAAATAATAAAAATCAAAGGGTTGGGGCTGAGAAAAACACGGCAAAAGGATAGATAAATGTTTTTGTTATAAATCTAGTTGAAAAAAGCAACTAAATAATTAAAATAATGGGCTTTAAAAATATTATACCTTAGTGTAAAGCCAAGAAGTTCTTTACTTGCTTTAAGCAAACAAAGCACTGGTTAATTTACTTACCGTAAATACTCACAACCCGATAATGACGGTGCGGAGCATCGCGTAGTCTAGCTTTGAACCAGTTTTTCTCGACACTGGTTTATGCTACAATGCGCGCTTAGGTATCAAAAAATAGCTGAAATTCAGGGCTATTTTTTGATATCTAAGCGCGCATTGTAGCATAAACCAGTGTCAAGAAAAACTCGTTCAAAACTCGTTCATTTTTTGAAAGTACGGGTGCTTTGCAAAGAATGAAATACTAAAAAACTTTTGCGACTACGCGACTGTACGTGGGCGGTGGGGTACTATCACAGTATTCACGGTATTTATTCCAGGCAAACAAATCGAAAAAAGACATCGTTTTGGCGATCACATTCATGGATGGAAGTGTGAAGAGTGTTCATGCCGATTCAGCTACAACTGCTGCTGAGTTGTGCGAGGTTCTTGCAGAGAAAGTTCATTTGAAAGATCGTTTCGGCTTCAGTCTATACATTGCTTTATTCGATAAGGTACTTTTGAACATAACCATCAACTGTTCAACATCGTAGATTGAACCAAAATAAACCCAAATTTTCTAGGTTTCCTCTCTTGGCTCTGGCTGTGATCATGTTCTTGACGCTGTTTCACAATGTGAACAATATGCGAAAGAGCAAGGGAATCAAGAAAGAAACGCTCCTTGGAGACTCTTCTTCAGAAAAGAGATCTTCTCCCCATGGTATAATCCGAAAGAAGATCCAGTTGCTACAAATTTAATCTATCAACAAGTGGTTCGAGGAGTGAAATTTGGAGAATATCGATGTGAAAAAGTGAATAGAAATGGATTTTGAAAGCAAACTCTGATTTAGGATGAAGATTACGCTGTTCTAGCTGCTCAGAATTACATTGTTGATGAAGGGGCATTGGATGTGGAGAAGTTAAGGAAAGCACTGACTGGTTATTTACCAGACTTTGTGCTCAATGGAAAGGACAAGAATGAGCAGTTTTGGCTACAAATGGTGATGAACTCGCATCGAAAGGTTTGAAGGAGTTGTTCGTTTAGATTCTCGAGGTTTTTTCTGAAAATCTTGCTTGAATCTGGCTTGAGTCTGGCCCTGATCTTGCTTGATTTGGCTTGGCATACAGATCTACAGACTACAGATCTACAGATTACAGATCTACAGATTACAGACCTACAGATTACAGAACTGCAGACTACAGATCTCCAGACTACAGACCTACAGATTACAGATCTACAAATTACAGCTCTACAGATTACAGATCTACAAATTACCCAAATAAACATATAATTTCAGAAATTTGGAGTCTCTCCTCAATCCTCTATTCAATCGGTAAAAGAGGATGTGGTCGGCTTTGCGAAATTCAAATGGCCTTTACTGTTCTCTCGTTTTTATGAAGCAAAACAATTAGCCGGTCCTCCACTTGAGAATAAAGAAGTGATCATCGCAGTCAATTACACTGGAATCTATGTGGTTGATGATAAAGAACAGGTTTTTGTTAGAGAATAACTCAATCACTTTAAAATTCTAGGTCTTACAAGAGTTCTCTTTCCCTGAAGTGGCACACTCGCTTTTCAACAAGTAATTGAATACAAGCGAAAAGTTGAAATCATTTTAGGGGGAAACGATCTGGCACTGACACATTTACAATTCGAACTGTTACTGGAGATGATTTTATCTTTCAATCTCCAAATTCCGAAGATGTCGCTGAATTAGTGGAATATTTCTTAATGGGATTGAAAGAAAGAAGCAAGTTCTTGATCGCCACTCAAACGCAAAAAGGAAGTGGTGAGTGAATGAGAAAGGTTTTGTGATAGAGATTTTGTGATAGAGATTGAAGATCGATCATTTGTTTAGTTCCCAACAACTCGCTCGAGTTCGATCAAGGTGATTTATTGATTTTGACGAGTGGAGCCAATGGAGCGACTCTGAAGGAACAACAGGTAATTCCTATTTAATCTTTCTAACTATAGATCTATATTTTGTCGACTTGCTTATCAGGCAAAGCTGTTGAAAAAGGGTCTATATTAGGTTGAGTACTATGCCCCTTGCTACTATGTGTTGTATATGTACTATGTACTACTAGTTACTATGAAAAAAGATAGGGCTTTTCAATAAAACAAACCGTTTCTATTTTGGTCGATTCATCATTTATAAAACGGTCAATGAAGATAGCCGATCTTCGAATGAAGATAGCTGATCTTCGAATGAAGATAGCTGATATTTGAATGAAGATAGCTGATCCATGAAGATAGCTGATCTTCATTGACCAGGATCATTGATCTTCATTGACCAACATGAAGATAGCTTCATTGACCTCAAGGAAGCAATGAAGATAGCTGATCTTCATTGACCAAGACCATTGATCTTCATTGACCAACATGAAGATAGCTACCAACGCATAGTACTTACGGTCTGACTAGTTAGGGTCTGAGTCATCGTTTGGGTCTGACTTTTTGAGTCGAATCCTTTCGCACTAATTGATTGATAAGTAAATGATATGATATTTATGATAAAATCCACCTAGATTCTATTTTTTATAGGTAATTCTGGCGGAAAACGCTCGCACCGGTCTCCAAGGTTATATTCGAGCTGATCAATGCTATGTTTTACCAACAATGAATAAACCAGCAAATACCGTTATGGTGAGACTTTAAATATTATAAGAAGCTTTATTTTTTAAACTTTTTTACTATAGAGTACTTTAGGAACTTTTCCCTAAAACAATGGATTTCTCGTTGATGGAATCGAACTCAGAGCGTCAAGTCTCGATCATTTCAGGCAGCGATTTGCCTCATACTCTTGAGAAATTTGCTCAAGAGAATTTCAAGTAAGAAAAGAAAGGGAAAGAGGAGCTGACTGTGCTTGAGAGCTGACTGTACTTGATTTGCTTGACTGAAATAAGGACAAGTCATGAGAGAAGATTTTCCTTGAATTGAAGAAGATTTTCTTTGAATTGAAGAAGCTTTTCCTTGAATTGGAGAAGATTTTCCTTGAATTGAAGAAGCTTTTCCTTGAATTGAAGAAGCTTTTCTTTGAATTGAAGAAGCTTTTCCTTGAATTGAAGAAGCTTTTCCTTGAATTGAAGAAGCTTTTCCTTGAATTGAAGAAGCTTTTCCTTGAATTGAAGAAGCTTTTCTTGAATTGAAGAAGCTTTTTCTTGAATTGAAGAAGCTTTTTCTTGAATTGGAGAAGATTTTCCTTGAATTGAAGAAGCTTTTCCTTGAATCCAAGATTTTCTCCTTCAATTCAAGAATTTCAAGTAAGAAAAGAAATGAAAAGAAACAATATAAGAATAAATTTTAGATTAACAACACCAAATAAACGATCAACGTTGACATTGAGACGAAATGTGAATTCAGGAGAGATTTGGCGATTTTCAAGAGATCCTATCAGAGAGCCATTATTAAGAAAACTTGATGGAAAGTTTGTATTCTAAAAATTTACAATAAACTAATCAAAGAGCTGATTTTTCTAAGCTTTCTAATTCAGAAAAGAGCCATCAATCGAAGCGATGAACTCCTATATAGCGATTATGAAATACATGGGTGATTATCAAACTCATCGAAGTCGACTGGGCACTGACATCACCGATCAGATCTTTAGAGCTCCACTTAAATATGTAAAAAAGATTAAAAGTCAAAAGAAATGTGAACTAAATGTTTAGGAAGTTCTTCGTGATGAATGCTATTGTCAAATCATGAAACAACTCACTCTTAATCCTTCTCTTTTGAGCGAAGAAAGAGGATGGGAATTGTTGTGGCTTCTTACAGGTTAACTTGAATGAAAATTACTTTCAAATTCTTATTTAGGCCTTTTCCCTCCATCACAGCATCTTCACAAAGAAGTTCTGCACTTTTTAAAGTCTCGAATGAATCCAATCTCGAACGAATGCTATCATCGCGTTCATAAAATGCTCAAGTGAGATTCGGATCTTTACGGTTAATGGCGGGGATAGTGATTATCGGTGCCGGTCAAGTTTTTGACCAACTTGTAGTCCGATTTTAGATAGGTTTTTCTTAATAACTTTTGATAAAACAAATAGTTTCTGAAAGTTAAGCAAATAGGTATCAAATAGGTACCAAATGGTTACGAGTGGAGGAATGAACCTAGTAGGTACCAAATAGGTACCAAATCGGCACCAAAGAGGCCCAAATAGGCACCAAATGGGTACGGGATGGGTACGAGATGGGCAATGAGCCTAATAGGTATCAAATAGGTGCCAAATGGTTACGAGTGGAGGAATGAACCTAGTAGATACCAAATAGGTACCAAATCAGCACCAAATAAGCCCAAATGGGTACCAAATGGGTACGAGTGGAGGAATGAACCTAGTAGGTACCAAATAGGTACCAAATCGGCACCAAATAGGCCCAAATGGGTACCAAATGGGTACGAGATGGGCAATGAGCGTAGTAGGTACCAAATAGGTACCAAATGGTTACGAGTGAAGCAATGAACCTAGTAGGTACCAAATAGGTACCAAATCTCATTCAATTTTTCTGTTCTGACAAGTTTAAAGTGCTTAAAAATGAGCTCCAAGTTGGCCAAAAAATTAGCCCCCGCTGTTAACCGTAAAGATTCAAAAAAGCAACTTTAGCTAAGCTTTAGATAAACTTTAACTAAACTTTAACTAAATTTTAGAGCTGGCGCAAGAAAATATCCACCCTATTCGGTTGAAGTTGAGGCCATTCAAAACAAGACCGTTCAGATTCTGCACAAGGTAATTTCTTCAGCATCAAAGCTTTATGAAGACATAAGGCTCGATCCTAGCAGCAATGAGATACTTGCTGGTATAGCTTATTGGTAGAGTGTTGGGCTGGTAATGAGAGGGTTCGAATCCTTGATGATGTTTTGTATTCTAGCCTTAATCCATAAACTTTTAGACACATTTTAAATAAAGATACTGTTTTAGGTTTAGTACTAGAGGAATAGATCGATTTATAAATCAATCAATCAAAGTAATAGCATTTATTGTATCTATTTTCTAGGTTTATTTCCCCGATCACACAAACGAAGGCATCGAACTTGACTCTTCAACAAAGGCCAAAGATTTCTGTCAACGAATAGGGAAACATTTGAAGTTAAAGGACATTGATGGATTCTCTCTATTCTTAAGAACTGATGAGAAAAGTAATAATTCTTCTTTTAAAAACTAAATTATACAAATTTTCAGTTTTATCCGTTCCTGAAGATCAATTCTTTTTCGATTTCATTCGACAATTGTCTGATTGGGCACAAGAGAATTATGCTACAAAGGTTCGACTTACAGTAAACTCTATTGTCTTAAATTTTCCTATATAACTGATTGATCTAAACTTACAGTAAACTCTATTGTCTAAAATTTTGCTTTAGGATCGACCCTATGTCCCACTTAACTATCAAGTTTATTTCATGCGAAAGTTATGGTTGAATGTGAAGATTGGTGATGATGAGGAAGCTGATTTGATCTTTCATTATCATCAGGTTGTGCAAGAGATTTATAATTGTTAAATCGATTAGCTTCAGGAGCTTCCAAAGTACTTAAGTGGTTATCACAAAATCTCGAAGCAAGAAGCGATTGAGATTGGAGCGTTGATTCTTCGAGCAAGAACAAGGTTGAAAATTTCTATTCAATAAATATTAAATAATTGAATATTTAGTTAATAAATGTATTAATATTAGCTTTTTGCTTTTGAATCGATCAACCGATTAAACCAATCAAATTTCTAGGCAAGATCAACCAGCCCCAATTCCACAGCTTCATTTAATAATGTCTGAGATTGTACCTCAAGATTTAATCAAGGCTTACAATGGAAATGATTGGAAAAAGGTAAAGAAAGTTAGATCAAAGTTAAATCAAAGTTTTCTAAAGTTTTAGAATAACAATTTTCAAGTATAAGTTTTTCTAAAACGGTTTTAAACGTTTAAAACTTTTATCATTCGATTTTAGCACATCAAATCTTTCTACACTGGATCAATTGAGTCTATGTCATGCGATTCTGCCAAAATAGCTTTCCTAGAGAAGATCAGAGATTGGCCAACATTTGGATCGACTTTCTTTCTGGTAAAACAAACAGCCGATCAAACTCTTCCCACTCAACTTCTTGTCGCAATCAATAGAAATGGAGTCTCTCTATATCATCCTGAAACAAAGGTCAGTGATCTATAAAGATCAAGAAAATCTTAAGGATCAAATTTCAGGATCAAATTGCTAACTACCCATTTACGCAGATTGGCAATTGGACAATCGGCAATACGTACATTAACATTACCGTTGGAAATCTGATCAGAGGATCGTCGCCAAGGCTCACGTTTGAGACTGAATATGTGGGTTTTGGGAGCTGACTGTGCTTGGTTGGCTTGACGGAAATAAGTACTAGTAATGATAGGAGATTTTCCTTGAATTGAGGAAGATTTTCTTCAGAAAAATGACAAAAGATTCGGAAAAATGATAGAAAACTGAAGAAAAATGGCAGAAGACTGAAGAAAAATGGTAGAGAACTGAAGAAAATGACAGAAAACTAAAGAAAAATGATTGAAAACTGAAGAAAATGACAGAAAACTGAAGAAAACTGACAGAAAACTAAAGAAAAATAGCAGAATACTGAAGAAAAATGGTAGAGAACTGAAGAAAAATGGCAGAAGACTGAAGAAAATGACAGAAAACTGAAGAAAACTGACAGAAAACTGAAGAAAAATGGCAGAATACTGAAGAAAATGACAGAAAACTAAAGAAACATGACAGAAAAATGGCAGAAGACTGAAGAAAATGAAAGAAAACTAAAGAAAAATGATAGAAGACTCCCGTTAAACTCTAAAAAACCTATTTTACATTAAATTTCAATATTGATCACTCTCTAATCACTTTCTAATTATCTCTAATTATCTCTAATCATATCTAATCACTTTTCAGGGCTACAAAATGGACGATCTGCTCAAATCATATATCTCGGTGCTCATCTCCGCACAAACCAAAAACCCAAAACTGACCTCGAATGGAAATGCTATTATGTAGAATTTCTTTAGGTAAACTTTCTTATAACTGATATCTGAGCTATTTTGGATTTAAATTAAGCTTGTAAAGAGATATCAAATAAGTTTAAACTTCTCCTCTTAACGCATATTTAAATCGCAATTCTATTTTTGAAATACGGTGTTTTACAAATTTGTTATTCGTAACAAAATAGGCCTTTCACTTTATCATTCAGTTATCACTTTTTTTTGACTATTTTTGATCATTTTTTTGTTTTTTTTATTATGCAAAGATATTTCAAATTTATGCACAAAAAGGATTCTTTTATGTTCTCGTATAATCTTTTACAACAAAACAACAAAACAAAAAATAGCAGCTCATTCAGTTATCACTTTTTTTTGACCATTTCTTTTGTTTGGCTTAGGCTCAGGCTCAGGCTCAGGCTCAGGCTTAGGCTCAAGCTCAGGCTTAGGCTTAGGCTCAGGCTCAGGCTCAGGCTTAGGCTCAGGCTCAGGCTCAGGCTTAGGCTCAGGCTCAGGCTTAGGCTTAGGCTCAGGCTTAGGCTTAGGCTCAGGCTCAGGCTCAGGCTTAGGCTTAGGCTTAGGCTCAGGCTTAGGCTCAGGCTTAGGCTTAGGCTCAGGCTCAGGCTTAGGCTTAGGCTCAGGCTCAGGCTCAGGCTTAGGCTTAGGCTCAGGCTCAGGCTTAGGCTTAGGCTCAGGCTCTATTAATAAGAAAAATATCCATGGCCAACAGTAGCAGTGTGTTTTGTTATAACTTAGTCACTAATCGCTGAATAACTTTATAATTTTAGCGTTAAGCTTGTAAGATTTTGAGAATAATTCGTTTAAAATTGTAATCGAAAGAGGCTTTTCACTTTTTTAAATTTAATTTTAAGATTTTCTATGTAAAGATATCCCAAATATATGTGCAATTATTTATTTTTTTTAAAAAATATCTTTTTTATAAAAAAAAACAGATGAAATCATAAGTAGAGAATCCCGTTTTTAAAGAACGCATAACTTATTTTAAGGTGGATTTTGAAAATAATAGGCTTTTGAATGTCTTTATCAAGCTATTTGCTGATTGTTTTCAAAATCGACCGTACCAGATTCAAAAAAATCGACTACCGTAACTGCAAATCACACACGAAAGATGAAAATTTCACTCGGATTGAAAAAAGAACAAAAGGTTTAAAAAAAACGAACCAACTAGGCAATCTATATAAGAGGAACGTTTTGAGCTTAAGTAAGACTTTAAAGAGCTCGATGGTAAAGGCTTAGGCTTAGGCTTAGGCTTAGGCTCAGGCTTAGGCTTAAACTTAGACTTAAGCTTGGACTTAGTGCGAAGGCTAGCGGCTAGCGCATCGCACTAAGTCTATTTGGGTTTGGGCTGAACCCCCATTTTCTGAATTTAGACTTAAGCTTAGACTTAAGCTTAGGTGACCAAAAGATCGAGAGTTTAATTCTCCGGAAATCTTCAAAAACCTCTTTATTAGTTTCATGAGACTTGGATAAATGTTTGGTTCCAGAAAAAGGAAAGATTCGATCCTCATAACTGGAACAAGCGTAAAGCTGAAATCAGTTTCAAATTCGATGTTTGTTAAACTTGATCTTATCATGATGAAGACGACAACGAAGTGACTAGGTCAGAAAAAATAGTGGCTTGGATAAAAATGAAAAATAGTTGGAACTAGGGGAGATGAAGTGCCGCCGGGAGTCGAACCCACGACCTTTCGCTTACGGTTCAACTTTGCTAGCCATTACCCCACAACGCACTCGATCCCGACTGCTTCAGTGGGAGTGAAGTAACGTCATTACTGCATAAGGCTTGCTTTTTATTATTATTTAGCACTAATAGCTCAATGAAAAAGATATTCCCGCCAATAAAACGATTAAGTTTTGATTCTGGAAGAAGCTTTTATAGAAAACTAGTACAACTTATCACTTTGGCGTAGTGCCAGGGAAACAGTTTTCTTTTCTAACTGGATTTAACCAAGATTCAAGTCTTTTTTAAATGAAAATAGCTCAAAACGTTCTAAAGAAACAAAGAAATTAAATCCCTATGTACATTTTAATGTAAAAAAAAAAAGAATTGTAAAAGAAAAATGAACTTTTTCAAATAAATAATAGGCACTTTTTGAGCTCGTCATGCAAGAAATTACCCACAGAATTCGAACTTTAAAAAAGAAGAAATTTAAAAGGTTTAAAAGGTTTAAATGGTTTAAAAGGTTTAAAAGGTTTAAATGGTTTAAAAGATTTAAATGGTTTAAATGGTTTAAATGGTTTTGAAAAGGTTTAAAAGATTCTTTTCAAAATTGGAATGTTTAATGGAAAAAGAAAATTCTATTCACAATCACATTTACTATTCAGATTTTCTATAAATGACTAGAAAATTGAGTGTAAAAAAATGATGTCAATTCTTTGGGCCATTTACAAGTGCTTTGCTCAAATAGATTTAACGAAAGACTACGGTAGATTGATTGTCTATTGGGAAATGGGATGCTTATGTGCAACTCATTTTGTGATGAATCTCTGACGAATTTTGAATGTAGTCCATCAGGTCAGCATAAGAGACAACACCGAGAAGATGACCGTCGACATTGACAACGCAAAGTGATTGCCGTTCACCACTCACCAAGTAAGCGATTACCTGAAGAATTTTGGCTTACTTACCGTAAATACTGTAATAACCCCAGCCCCCTAATGACGGTGCGGAGTGTTGCGTAGTCTGGGTTTGAACGAGTTTTTCTCGACACTAGTTTATGCTACAATGCGCGCTTAGGTATCAAAAAATAGCTGAAATTCAGGGCTATTTTTTGATACCAAAAATAATGACGGGCCGGAGTGTTGTGTAGTCTAGCTTTGACAACGTTTTTCTCGACACTGGTTTATGATACAATGCGCGCTTAGGTATCAAAAAATAGCTGAAATTCAAGGCTATTTTTGATACCAAAGACGCATTTTTTGAAAGTACGGGTGCTTTGCAAAAAATGAAATACTAAAAAACTTTTTCGACTACCCGACTGTACGAGTGGGGTACTATTACAGTATTCACGGTAGGTGAAGATTGCTTGTTGAATGCTTGTTGAATGCTTGTAAAATGCTTGTAAAATGCTTGTAGAATGACTTTATTTACCTTACTTCTTTGATAACTTTATTTGAAGAGTTAGTAATTTACAAAAGAACCTCATTTAGCAAAGAGAATCTAAACTAGAGTTTATTTGGTTCAAAATATAAAGCACAATGTCTAGTAAATTGACAATTTTGCTAGATTTTTGTAGCTTCTATCGTCTATTTTCTATTCTACACTAATTTTGGTGTACTTTAGAGGTAAACTGCAAGTTTGAATACTGTAAGTTTACCAGAAATCTTATAAACTTCACTAAAAAGCTTCACTTCACCAGTCTCCAGTTATCTTTTGCAATACAATCTTTAGTAAACAATTTCCTTTTGTAGATTAGTTATCTATCTAGAAAGGTAGATAATTTTAAAATCTTTTACCTCTAACAGCATTGAGGTTGGCGTGATGAAAGGCGACTTTCTTGGGCCAATGATTTGCTAAAATTGTCGATTAACTGAAAAACTTTTTGATTTTCGATGATTAAGACAATAAATTTGAATTAAAAATAGATTTAAATAAAGAAAATGGTCAAGCCAGTTCTTTTTCAAAAGCTCACCATGACAGGCATCTTCAGAATGTCCAAGTAGTTGTCGGGATGGGTCTGGAGCTCGTTCATTAGGTCGGATTTGCTGAAATAGAACTTGTAATAAAGAGATCAAAGAATTGGTAAGAAAAAGCTGATTTCCCTGAGGATTGAACCCTAGCCCTTTTTCGAGTAATTGCTCTAACCATTAAGCTATTCAGTCCCTTAACTTCTCAAGAGAAAGGAAAGGAAGAAGAAAGGAAGAAAGATGATTGTAAAGTAATTTTAAATAAAGCTAGCTGTGTAATCGATTTTACAATCAATTTCAATTCTTTACCTCAAGACACCGATCACTTTTTGATCCTTTCCAAGCACTGGTACACAGGAGATTCGCTTCTCGAGGAAGATCTCAACAGCTTCAGCGATGAGCGACTCCTCAGTCACCTAAAGATTTTGCATATCAAATTAAAATTTATGATAATAGTCTTTCTAATTTTCAACTCGCCAAAATTAAATAAAGGTATTATCAATTAATTATCTTTAATTCAATGTTGATAGGCCTCCTTTTTGACAAAAATCCTTCGTTTTTCTGTTTAGAGACTATATTTGGTGTAAAAATTATATATAAAAACAATATTTAAATGTAAAAAAAATAGGCAAAGGTCTCCCACATCAATCAAAAAAATAAAAAACTCTTTCAAACGATAGTCCTTTGCCTAAAGCGTGCTAAAAGCGCGTTTAAAAGTGAAATTCTTTTCTTATCCGAACTCCACATAAAATTTTTTTTAAAAACTACGTTTCCAATTTTACTGCCAAGGATAAAATACTTCAATCTAGACCCAAATCTACCATTCAATCTAAAAAGAAGTTTCAAAAGGTCCCGATTTCAGGGGATCAGGGGGTGGTCTTCTATTAGAGATTGATCTTCTATTAGAGATTGATCTTCTATTAGAGATTGATCTTCTATTAGAGATTGATCTTCTATCAGAGACTGATCTTCTATTAGAGATTGATCTTCTATTAGGGATTGGTCTTCTATTAGAGATTGGTCTTCTATTAGAGATTGGTCTTCTATTAGAGATTGGTCTTCTATTAGGGATTGGTCTTCTATCAGGGATTGGTCTTCTACTAGGGATTGGTCTTCTATTAGAGATTGATCTTCTATTAGAATTTTTACGGTACTTCTGCTAACAGTCTTGCTAATTTCAATACCAAATATCTTCACAATCCCATGACTCTCTATTTCGTAGATTTCCTGTTCTCTGGTCTACCACAATTTTTGATCTTTATTGAAAATTCCTCTTCAAAAACAGACTTAATATTTCAAATATTCCCTTTTCTCTGGAAAATCTACGAAAATCGGCTCGTTTGGAGTTTTTTGGAAAAGCAAAAGTGCAAAACAGCATGTGACGGGAATGGATTGGAAAAGAGAAACAGAAAAATGAAGAGATTTTAAAATGGAAAGAGATTTTGGAGATGAACAGGAGAGAGCCCGGTCATTCGAACCTCTTTTCCCCCTTGGTTTTGTGGTAAACACACTGGAGAAGATCGAATTTTTAGCAACGGTTCAAGGGCAATTAAAAAGTTTTGCAAAAAAACAAGAGAATTTTTTTTGATTAACTTGCAAAAGGTTACAAAAAAAGCTAGTAACTGTAAAATTTGAGGGTTTTTAGCGTTTTATAATGTAACATTGTCAATATTGCTAAAATTTGATATTTGATAGAGCACGTGTGGCTGACTGGTTAAGTGTCTTTTATCTTAATCGGAAGGTCGAGGGTTCGAACCCCACATGCGACATGGTCACCCCCTTCGGATTTCCTTTCCCTTCGGGTTGAGAGGTTTTCTGGAGGGCAGTCTGGTGGTTGTGGCCCCAGTTCTTTAAAGTGACAAGCCACTCCTTCATCGTCATCTTCCCTTCACCACCAAAAAAGCTATTTAGTTCCCCATTGAGCTTAGGGTTAGGGAGCCGTCTGTCATGACGTGGGTTAAGTTAAGATATAGCCTAGTATTGTGTGTGTCGTTGTATTGTGATTGATATATTTCGTGTATGCGATAAATTCACCACTGGTAGCCCCAGTCGGTATTTTTTAAAAAAAAACGAACGGTGTGCAAATTGGTCCATGTGCCGATCTTCGACTCGCTCAATGTGCGCTGTTTGATGTTTGAGAATTTTGGATCCGACTAAATCAATTTATTAGAAATTTAGTTAACAAAATGAATTTCAGTCTTTAATGTTTTTACAAACCAATTTCAGGATTGTTTCATTGAAAACAGTCCTTAATGTGAGCATGTAGAGGACGTCACCGATCTTTGGCTCACCAGGTTCCTCTTGCTGAAATGGAAATAAGTTGAGAAACTTATCAAGAGATTATCAAGAGATTATCAAGAGGTTATCAAGATATTTATATGTTATATCCGATTTAGACTCAGTTTTAACAATTGCTTCGTTGGTAAATCATGTTTTTCTCATTTTTGACAGTTTTTGATGCAATTTGACAGCAGTAGATCAAAAATTAAAAGTACCGTATTTTCTCTAATAGTAGTGCACCCCAGCGAGCCGAGTTGATGACTATTTTACGGCTTTCAAAGTTTTCACAGAAGCTCAACACTCAAAACCCCCACTAGATCTCATCGTCAGCTACATTTTCCGACCGCACATCGATAGGTTCTGATAGGCGGCTCTCGAGATCTATACCCAAATACCCTATTCTCTCTAATAGTAGTGCACCCAGCTGAGCCGAGTTGATGACTATTTACGGCTTCCAAAGTTTTCACAGAAGCTCAACACTCTATTCCCCCACTAGATCTCATCGTCAGCTACATTTTCCGACCGCACATCAATAGGTTCTGATAAGCGGTTCTCGAGATTTCGAGCAACTTAGGCAACGCTCTGGGTGCACTACTATCAGAGAAAATACGGTATATTAGATTAAAAGCAAAGCCAGAAGCGATAGCTGCATCAAAGCCCATAACTTTTACCCCGAATTTAGTCACTTTTTAAGTCAAAGTATGGTAAGTTTTAGTTTTCATTGATGTCCAAAAATTGCATCAAAAACATGAAAAAAACATGATTTACCAAAGCAAGCAATGGTTAAAATTGAGCTAAATTGGATAAGAATCGAAATCAGATATAACATATACATATCTGATCAGGCTGCAACTTGGGAATGTAAGCTAAGCCAGGTCAAGCTAGGCCAGGGCCAGAGTCAGGACCGAGCCAGGTTCAACCCTGGTGGCCTATTGACCTGCTGTAAAGCCAGGATCTAAACTAGAACCTAGTTTCTGACTTAATCTAGCTTTCAAATAACTCTGGGTCTGGTAAAATAACACTTTTTACCTGCATAATCGGTATTCGGTGAACGCTGTTGAGGCAGATCATCTTTGCCGCATCCCAGATGCTAAAATTAAACTTTTGTGGAATTAGAAATTCTAGTTTTCTATTTATTCTTTTTCTACTTTTGCAGAAATCAGTAATTTATTTGTGAAAGGTAATCTTTTTCGAACAAACAGACAAACCTTGTGCCGACGTTGGCGGTTATCAGCTGCTTTCCGTTGTTATTTTGGATGAATTGAGAGACTGTTTGCTCGGCAACCTGTAAATAGGATTGGAGTGGAGTCGGGGAATTTGCTTAAAAGCAAAGATATTGATTGAATGATAGAATATTATTGTAAATCTGTCTAGATTTACCGGCTGAATGCCTTGATGAGCCAAGACGATCGCTCGAAGACAGTCAGTGAAAGTTAACATTGAAAAGCCTCCTGAAAATTGATTTTACTGGTTTAAATTTGCATAAAAATGCCTCTAGTTGAAGATTTTTATTCAAATTTGATTCAAATTTGATTCAAATTTGATTCAAACTTTATTTACCTTTTATGTCAACATTGTAAATGATAGCTGCTTGGTGTCCGGAAGAGAGCAAATTGGTGAGACCTTTGTGAATCTAGAATTTCGATTCTATATGAGACTTGATATATTTATATAATCACTGAATATCTCTTTAAAATGTTACCAATAAATCCCCATCCATTACTGAAACAGCTGAGTGTATCGGTGCCAAATCGTAGCAAGTTAAACTCTGCATATAGTGACGGTATGGGTCAGTGAAGCGATCTGAATTCGCGACAAAAATTAATTGTATCTGTATTTGATTGATATATTTGATTTATACAGATTGGCTGAGCAGTAAAATTGATGTAAGTTATAGTTAGAATCATTAAATAGCTACCTTATAAGGAATGAACCTTTTGAAGCTACTGTAATGCTATTTTGTACTAAAGTTTATCAATAAGCTTATCAATAAGCTTATTAATCAGCTTATCTATAAGCTAAGTTTATCAATAAGATTATCAATAAGCTGATCAATCAGCTAAGTTTATCAACAAGATTATCAATAAGCTTACCAATAAGCTTATCTATAAGCTAAGTTTATCAATAAGCTTATTAATCAGCTTATTTATAAGCTAAGTTTATTAATAAGCTTATCAATAAGCCGATCAATAAGCAAAGTTTAACAATCAGCTTATCAATCAGCTAAGTTTATCAACAAGATTATCAACCAGTTTATCAATCAGCTAAGTTGTTCAATAAGCTTATCAATCAGTTTACCAATAAGCTGATCAATCAGCTGATCAGTCAGCTGATCAATCAGCTAAGTTTATCAATTATCAATAAATTATCTCATAGTTTATCAATAGTTTATCAATAGTTTATCAATAGTTCAATCGATCTTTATCAATTTATCGGTTATCTCAAATCTAGTATTGTATCCTTATTTAGATTAAGTCAAGCAAATTGTATGCCAAGAGGCAGAGCTTTAGCTTTGATCTTTCAAGGTAATTAAAAACGTTTAATAATAAGATATGATTACAAATATTTTACATATTTATATACTTTTCAAAATTTACATTCATTTGAGTGATTGGTATGTTTTGAATATATCGTAAATCTTCGACTAATAGGGGTCATTTTATAGTGACCATTCGTTGATTTTGATGGTGGCAATGACAAATGCGGGGCCATAAAAAAGAAAAGTGTTCAAGTAAAAGTAAAGTAAGTTTCGAATAACAGTAAATAAAAGTTTGAAATGAATTCGATCTATATTTTGCGGGAGTCGACAGGGAAAAGAATAATCAGCTTAACCGAGGTTAGAGAGGGGTCAACTTTTGCTGTTCTTTTTTCTCGCTTTTCTCAAATTTTTCAAAAATTTCACCGATTTTTATAGTGTTCAGTCTTTTCGTCGCAAAATCAAACACAAATCTCTTTCGTTTTCTTTTTCAAATAAAAGAGAGTCGTCTTTTTTTGGGGGTTTCCTCTCGTAAAAGAAGAGAAAAGTAAACGAATAAACTTTCAAAATTTCTGATTTTATTGCTATAAACGTTTGCTCGAGCGTTTGTCTCTTAAAGATCAACAAAAGAGCGAATGATGTCAGTTTTTTTGGTTCTATGATTTGCGTGAAGACTTTTTCTGTGACTATTGATTACTAGAAACTTACTAGAGAAATCATTAACTAGTTAATTTAATGTTTGTAGTTTGTAGTTCGATTTATTAATCGTTTTTTTTTTGTAAATACGTATTGTCTAGCTTTTTACATATAAATCTAATCATTAACTAGTTCATTTAATGTTTGTAAAGAAGTTTTTATCACGTTAAAAACCTAAAACTAAATATTTAGTGGATTACCAGCTAAATACCGTTAAAAACCAAATCACTCTAAGACTCTATGTGCTTTTGTCCATCGTTTTTAAGAAGTCATTTTGTTTAATGAATGGCTATTAATAGTTAGAGAAAGGGTTACATGTGGAAATTGTAATTTTTAAAATTAATTAAATTTTAGTTAGTGTCTAGAGGAGCGAACAATGGAGAATCGTTGAGGAAAGGATCCGATTCACAGGTTTATTTTATTTGTATCTAGTGGTTGAATTTAGTAAGAGTTTTTTCTAAATACGTATTGTATTGTAAATACGTATTGTCTAGCTTTTTACAGATAAATCTAATCATTAACTAGTTCATTTAATCTTTGTAAACAGTTTTTATCACTCTAAAAATCTAAAATTAAATATTTAGTGGATTACCAGCTAAATGCAATGTTTCTTTATTTCTTTTCAAACTTTCCTTTGAGATAAAAACTAGTTAAACAAGATGAGATTTTGTCTTAACGTGATTTTCTGATTTCCAGACACTTTCTAGACGTCAAAAACTTTTGAAAATTTGGCGTTAAACAGATGCTTTAAAAGGCTCCTTTCTAGCCGGGAGAAATGAACGGTGGTGACCTAATGGATAGCTCATTAGGCTTCGGCTCAACGGATCCAGGTTCGATCCCTGGTGCAGCTTTTTGTTTTGTTTTTCTTTGATTCCTGGGAAGTCAGGTTTTGATTTCAGATTCGGATGGTTTAAAAGGGTAAAAAGGTTAAAACAGATGCTTTAAAAGGCTCCTTTCTAGCCGAGAAATTCAAAAGTTCGACTTTGCTTGAAATTTTGTAAACTTTTAAGTACTGATTTTAAGACTACGAAATTCTATAAATGATCTGAATGTTTAAAGTTCATAAATCCCAAATGTTTATATTGGGGGGGGGGGGGGGGGTTTATTACCCCCTTTACTTATTTATTTTTTTAAATTTTATTTTTTTTTTATTTTTTTTTTTTTTTTTTGGGGGGGGGTTTTTTTCTTTTTTTTTTTATTTTTTTAAAAAAAAGGTTTATAAATAATTAATATTTTTTTTTAATAAAAAAAAATGGGGGGAGAAAGAAAAGAGGGGGGGGGGGGGGGTGTTGTTTGTTAAAAAAAAAAAAAAAAAAGAAGAGGAAAAAAAAAATAAAAAAGGAAAAGAGAAAGGGGGGGGGGGGGGGGGGGAGAGAAGAAGAGAGGAAAATGAGGAAAAAAAAAAAAAATTTTTTTTTAAAAAGAAAAAAAAAAAAAAAAAAAAAAAAAGGGGGGAGGGAGGAAAAAAAAAGGGGGGAGGGGGGGGGAAGAAAAAAAAAAAAAGAAAAAAAAAAGGGGAGAGGAAAAGAAAGGGGGGGGGGGAGGGGAAGAAAAGAAAAAGAGGATGTTGAAGAGGAGGGAATTCTTTGGGGGGGGGGGGGATGATTTGTTTTTATAAAAAATTTTTTTTTGGGGGTCAAAAAGAAGATTCAATCTGCACCAACCTAATATTTTAAAATTATAGAAAAGTTTTGAAATTCCTTTTCAAGAGTTCTTTTTACTTTAAATTAGTTTAGAGGTTTGTTTAATGGCTATAAATAAAAGCATTTCATAAAGAGAAGTTAGATAATAATTGATTTGTATAGAAAGATTTATCTATTACATAAATTTCAAAACTTTCAAGCAAAGCCGAACTTTTGAATTTGAAATTTTAAGGCTCTAAAGAGCATTGCAATTTAAAGTTAAAGTTCTTAAACAGCATTAAACAACAACAGTATTTAAAATACTTAAACAGTATTGTAAATACAGTACAGTAGAGTAGCCTAAATTTTCAGCTTTTGATTTACTTTTTTTTGACTCATTCAATCATTCAATCATTCAATTCTTCAAAGATAAGCTTATTCTTTAAAAATTCACGTTTAAAGTTAGGTTTTGGTTGAAATTCATCCTTGTACACTTGAATTAAACCCACCAAAAGCAGCAACAATCTCAAAGCGAACATCTGGTTCTTGGGTGGGTCGCAAAATGGCGTAATCCTAAACAAAAGTTGTTCAAAAGTTGTTGAATCAATTAAATTAAATGAAATCCATTTGTTTATTGTAAACTTACAGCTGAAAAGAAGACTTTCTCTGGAACGCTCATTCTTCTTTGGAAAAGTGGTCGGGGTGAGATTTCTTCTTCTCCATCATCCGGTGAATCGCCACTCTGCATGAAATTCTATGTAATTTTGAACATTGAACAAATAAGGATTCTATGGACAACTAATTTCTTCGTTTTTTTTTCTTATTTCGGTGTGAATTTGATTAATTAAATTAGCTCTTTGTGTGGAAAAAGTGAAAGAAAAAGAGTAGTTTCAATTGAATTCAATTTCTTTTCAATTCTTTTATTTTTGAGTGTTTTTAGTTTCAATTATCCATCTATTTTGAACTTTTTTAATATGTAAATCAAGCAAAAATCTTTCAAAATCTCAAAGGAAGGATTGAAAAGAAGCAAAGAAACATTGGATTTAACTGCTCCATAACATAAACTTCAAAATCCACTAAATATTGGGTTGGTGAATTGAAAACTGCCGGCTATTGTCATATGTCACAGTTTGAGCACTTTCTTCAAAAGAAACCCATTTTGGTGTCAATGGAAAAGTTGTAGAGAATCAAAAATCAAGCTTATATCCAAAGTTTCAGAACGATTCAAAAACTGGTTTTCAAGAAATGTTAAACTTACGAATTTTCACAAAACTTGCATTTTAAGCGAAGCTACTAAGTGTATCTTTTTGGAAATTTGGCTATAAGCCTAATTTTTGATTCTCTACAACTTTTCTATTGACACCAAAATGGGTTTCTTTTGAAGAAAGTGCTTAAATGCTCAAACTGGGACATCTCCAGTCCTCCATTTTTGAGTCTCACACTTGTCTCACACACAAACCAAAATCTAAGTCAAAGATCGTTCTCTTCCACGACAACGCGCGCCCTCATGTTGCAAAACTGACTAGCTCTAAAATAAACAGCCTTGTTTGGGAACTTTTGGCGCATTCCCCATACAGCCCGGACCTCGCCCCCCTTTTGATTACTATTTATTCCGGATCATGAGTCATGAGCTTGCGGGAGAACACTTCGATTCGGAAGAAGCAGTCAAAAATTGGCTTTGAAAGTTTTTCGATTCAAAACCAAAATCCTACAACGAAAGAGGAATCCTCAAATTGCCTGTAAAATGGGCAGAAATCGTCAATGATAATGGAAATTATTTGGAATGAATTGATGGTTTTATGTTGAATAAATTTTAGTTCAAAGTCCGGCAGTTTTCAATTCACCAACCCAATATTTAGTTTTAGATTTTTAGAGTGATAAAAACTGTTTACAAAGATTAAATGAACTAGTTAATGATTAGATTTCTATGTAAAAAGCTAGACAATACGTATTTAGAAAAAACTCTTACTAAATTCAACTACTAGATACAAATAAAATAAACCTGTGAATCGGATCCTTTCCTCAACGATTCTCCATTGTTCGCTCCTCTAGACACTAACTAAAATTTAATTATTTTTAAAAATTACAATTTCCACATGTAACCCTTTCTCTAACTATTAATAGCCATTCATTAAACAAAATGACTTTTTTAAAACGATGGACAAAAGCACATAGAGTCTTAGAGTGATTTGCACCAAATTTTTTTCCACAACTTTTCATAACTTTCTGCTTTTTCTGGTGACCCAATCTTTATTTTTTAGAATGTCATTTTGTTTGCTTTTTTAAGATCTACAAGATGAAATCAAAATCATAAAGATTGAGCGACTTAAAATAAAGTTATGGGAAAAAATTTGGCGCATAGTAGCCCCGAACATGCAAGCGATTTGGCTGACAGCTCAAGCTGACGGCTAACAGCTTCTCCACCTGAGCCTTTCCAGGGAAGAGGGGACGCTGCTGGGAAATGGTTGTCTAAACAAAAAGAGAAAGTTTTTGAAGATTATTGAAAAAAGAATCGATTTGTTAGGATCGATTTGATCGATTTGATCAATTTGAAAGCTTTTTTCCTTGTAAAAAGTTCATTTCCTTTGTTTGTTTGCTTGTTTTCAAAGCTGTAGCTTTCAAAGCTGTACCTTTCAAAGCTGTAGCTTTCAAAGCTGTAGCTTTCAAAGCTTCAAAAAAAGGTGTAGTTTTCAAAGCAAAAGTTGTGCAAACGATCAAAATCACTACATTGAAGCGTAAATCAATTAACTCTAACAGTTTTTGTCAAAGATTTTCTAGTAATCAAAGCTATAACGCTTACAGTAATCATTCTTTGCAGACTTTGAGCTAAGCCGTGCTCTTTCTAGCTTATCTTTAGCTTATTTCTGCCGAATTTTATGCCAGATAAGCTCCGTTTCCATTCAAAGTAAATCAAAAAGCAACTCAAGTGCATGATTGTGCAAATGCAATAGAAAAGTTATAAAGAAAAGTGAAAGAAAATGTTTAACACAAACCCTGCCAACAATGGAGAATCTTCTCTTCTTCACGAATTCTCGAAATCCTAGAGAATTCCTTCGAGATGAATCAGCTGATTGAATAGCTGAATCATAGCCACTTTCTGGTTGTTGATAGTAGATGTTGATCGGTTTTGCCGACGCGTCCAGCATTGCTCTTAAGCTGGCTGAAAATTGGAGATATTATTTAGAAGTTCTTTTAAAAAGATCTTACTTAAAAGTTTTTGAAAATTCAGTTAAAGTCTTCTAGAAAGTATCTTATAAAAAAAGCTCTTTTTCTAAAACTGAATATCATTTGAATAGTGGATTGAAATCTTTAGATAATGATTTGAATATATTGAAATCTTTAGATATTGAGATCTTTAGATATTTTTTGATTTTGATTTTTATATATATTTTTAAATATTATTTTTATTTTTTTAAAAAAAAAAAAAAAAAAAAAAAAGGGTAAATTAAATAATTTAAAAAATAATATGATTTGAATATGAGATTGAGATCTTTAATTTCAGCATTCTTGAATATTTTAGTTACAAAGAAATTCACTGAAATTGCTAGTAACTAACAAAAAAAAATTGAATCACAATTTAGAAGTTCTTTAAAAGAAAAACTTACTTAAAAGTTGTTTAAAATTCAGCTAAAGTTTTCAATACATTATCTTATAAAAAAGCTCTTTGTCTAAAGCTGAATATCATTTAAATAGTGGATTGAGATCTTTAGATAATGATTTGAATATGATATTGAGATCTTTGATTTAAGAGATTTAAGATTTGAGATTTTGGTTTGAGATTTTGATTTAAGATTTTTATTTAAGTAATTCAGTCTTTTATCTGATAAACTGATAATATATTGGGTTGGGGAGAATGAGTCGGCGCCGAAAATCAAAAAAATGTCTAAAACTTCTATTCGACTTCGTCAAATAATATGCGTTTGATATCAGTAGAATGGTTAACTAATTCTCTACAAAATGACATTTAAAAGAAAATTCAAATAGCGCCTCCGCTCAAGAAAAAGCCATTTTTTCACAAAAACTACAAACTGTGATCTAGAAAAAACCATTGGTGGGATCTTCCTGCAAATTTGGCAACTTAAGTAATTGAATGTGCTCTATCTTTTTTATCTAAACACCAAAGAAGGTTTATGTGAAAGAAACTGTTCAAATGATGAGTCGGACTCTTTGCCATTTTAACCAGCTGCGTTTGGAAGTTCATAAACTCCACGAAAGAAAAGCTTTGTGGAATCTCTCAAAAGTCATTTTGTAGAGAAATAGTGGATCCTTTTGATGAAACCAAACGTATGTTTAAAGAAGGCTTTATGTGTGCAAAAAGTCCCTTTAAAGTTTGGCGCCGACTCATTCTCCCCAACCCAATAGAACAAATCGAAATTCATAGCCAGATTTCAATATCAAAAGCAAAAGCCTTTGCTTACTTTTTCTGAGCAATTTCTGAAAGATTGAATTTGGATACCTTTCAGCATTCTTGAATATTTTAGTTTCAAAGAAATTCACTGAAATTTCTAGTAACTAACAAAAAAAACTGAATCGCTTTCGTTTAAAGCTTTATTTGTACGAATATGTAAAACACTTTGATCGAAATGATCAGACAAAAGTAAGAGAATGATTTGGAAATATTTGTGTCAAGTCTTGGACTTGATTTCAAACATCGATCACTTCAAAAACAATAGTGAAAGAGGTGTACTTTAAGTTGTTGTACGAAATTTCAAAATCTAAAGCCTTTGCTTACTTTATCGAATTTCTGAAAGAAATTTCTGTATCTTATGCTTACTTTAACCAATTTCTGAATTTGGGTACCTTTCAGCATTCGTAAATAGTTTAATTTCAAAGAAATTCACTGGTATTGATGGTCACTGGCTAGAAAGAGTTTGTTGAGAATTTTTAAGTACACAGAACAAAGTTGAAGTCAAAAAACTGTATCAGAACTGGTTTTGCGTGTTGAAAATGAAGGTATTATTGATTTCAATTGAAAATTAACACTCGATAATCTCCAAAAATTCATCTCATTTAAAAGATCCTCAAATGAAAACCGGTTTAATGAAGTTTTGCTTTCATTTTTAAAACAAAAAACAAGAATACCTTGATTTTTAAAACAAAAATCAAGAATATCTTCATTTTCAAAAGGTAAAACCATTTCTGATACAGTTTTTTGACTTCAACTTTGTTCTGTGTACTTAAAAATTCTAAACAAAACTCTTTCTAATGTACTCAGTTATAATTATTCTTGTAATGACGAGCATTTGAGTACACTAGAAAGGAGCTTTCAAGCTTAAAGAGTACGCACAAAGAACAATAGTCAAACCTAATCAAAAGCCTAGTTTCAAGTTACTCACAAAAACAAACAAGTGTCTCTATAAAAGTCGTAGTGAAAATATGAATCGATGGATTATTGGAAAGAGAATTTTCGGAAATGAAAAGAATGAAAAGAGAACTGATTTTCGACATACAATTTGGGATGGTATTATTTTGGAAAAAAAGAGAATACTTTCGTAAACACAAAGGGCAATTTCATCTGCTTTCCATTGGAGATTTGAAAAAAATAGAAAAGGATGTTCAAAACTGATTAGTGAATTGAGTGAAGTGGAATTTTTTTTTGAGAAAAAGGTTACTTGTTTTTCACACTCACAAAAAACCTAGGCTATTTTTGAAAGAGCGAGCTTCTAGTGTTCTATGAAAGAAAAAGGAAATTGAGCAAAAATCGGGAATGATCTGAAGAGTGACTTGTTGTTTGAAAATTCTTTGGCTCTTTGATATAAGATTTGTGGAAAAAATGCTAGTGAACAGTTTAATAAGTTTTGAATGAACTGGATACGCTTGATAAACTGGGTACAGAGCTGACGAAGAGTCGATTTTCCAGGCCAAGCCAAAGCCAAGCCAAAGCCCAGCCAAGCAAAAGCCAAAGCCAAAGCCAAAGCCAAAGCCAAAGCTAGGTCAAAGCCAAGCCAAAGTCCAGCCAAGCAAAAGCCAAAGCCAAAGCCAAGCCAAAGCCGAGCAAAAGCCAAAGCCAAACCAAAGCCAAATCTCCAGATTTTGCACTTTTTCATGTGGTCCCCACATCAATTTTTTTCAAATGACCCCAAAATCCAAGCCAAGTCAAGCCAAAAGCCAAGCAAAAAGGCTTTTTGGCTTTTTTTAATCCAGCCCTGGACCATATTTTCCTTGAGCTTAAAAGTTTAAAATCAAAATCTCAGCTCTGATCTACACCCATTGACAGCAGGATTTGCAGCAGAAATCGAATTTGTAGAAAGCTAACTAGTAAGAAAATATAGTACACTGTTCTTAGAGTTAAATGTAAATATAAACTTCAGTCTTCACGTATAGTATTACAAATTTTACTTACCGTCCACTGAGCAGTGCTCAGGATTGCTTGATCTTCGCGGTTTTCCTGTTGGGGGCAACGTGGTGGCCCGATTATGTCGAAATTTCGATTTCGAATTCAACGTTTTTGCTTGTTTTTTTGCTCTTTGTTAGAGTCGACGAGTTTCACTGAAAATTGAAAAGTAAAATGTTACTGAAGTACTGAAGAAGAAATTGAAAATCTGAAATGTTTCGAAGGAAAGGAAAACAAAGAATTGAATGAAAAAGCAAAGCAAAACATAAACTTGCATTAAAACAATGAAAATTTTGAAATAAAGTAGGTGTGGCGAATAGCCACTAAAAAGTTACCTAACTCTGGCAGCCTAAAAATTGGAAAAATATTGAGGAAATCGGTGCCCCTTCATTCTATTTCGCGGCCCAAATCATTTATTGTTTTGTAGCTTGTTAGCTGAGTATCTTGTGTTAAAGCCTATATAAGGTTCTTCACTTGGTTCGGTTATCTTTCATTTTCTTTCTGCTTTCCTCTCATTGTGTGAAAGTTGTGTCCTAATTAGGACGAAATTCTTTCTGTTTTCTATCGTCGTTTTAATTCAATTGTCGATCTTGTGTGAAACATGCTCAAGTGAGAGCCCAAAGATTCCGAGTCAATCGGCTATTGAATAAAGTGTTTTTAGTTCAAGTGAGATCAGATATCTCGAAACAAGAAATAACGTGTCTTGAGTGAAGAGTACCAAGCACGCAAAGAATATTTCTTTACAGAAGATTTTAAAGTAAAAACCGTAAAAACTTTGAAGGAAAGAACGTTTTAAAGTTCAACTTTTGAACTCTGAAGTAGTTTTTAAGAAAAATGAAGTGTTGAAGGTAAAAGTCGAAAGAGTTTTAGTGACTTAAATGAAATCTAAGTGACAAAGGAATAAAATGAACAAAAGATTGGGATTTTCGAAGGGAATTACAACGTGAAAAGGAAGAAAGAAGAGAAAAAACGGGGCAAAGAAATTCGCTTGCGTTTTTTTTGCGGTTTTCAGAAAGAAAATGACAAACAAGGGGTTGTTTCGAAAATTTGAAATCAATTTCCCATGAATGCGTGCATTTTTGAAGAGAATTTCGTTTAGAATCGAATCCAGTAAACTAAAAAAAAGTTGAACACGCCGGTTTATGGGATTCGAATTCGATTTTTAGAAAAAAAACGAAGCCAGGATTCGAACCCTCCACCCCTCGCTTACTAGACGAACACTCTACCATTAAGCCAAACCGACAGGTGTTTGAGCTGCCGCGGGAGAAGGGTGTTATGTCTTACTAACAAGATTTGAGGACAACAATTTCAGGACAAAAACTAAGAAAAAGCCTTTAAGACAGCTGGGATTTACTTTGTGCTGATTTGGATCAAGAAACGCACCCATTCTGGCAGATTGAACTGGTTTAATTTGTTGTTGTAACGTATTGTTTCTGGCACACTTGACATATAAAAGATGTGCTGGGTGCTCAAGAAAGCTGGTGTTCCATTTTTGAAAAATTATACTTTAAAAACAAATGGAAATTGATGCATTATTTATTTAATATGAGAAGAAATACTCATTAGAATACTTGGGAATTTATTCGTAATGTTTTCTTGTGTCGAAAATAGAATGATTAATGATTTAGAGGGTTTTTTTTCTGAGGATTCCTTGAGTCTTTTGATTCCGGAAATTCTTTGACAATTTTAGTTCATTTTATCAAAATTCTATGAGAAAAAGTATATAGAAAGGAATCAAGGAAAGCCGGGAAAGCCAAGGAAAGCAAGGAAATCAAGGAAAGCCAAGGAAAGCCAAGGAAAGCCAAGGAAAGCAAGGAAATCAAGGAAAGCCAAGGAAAGCCAAGGAAAGCCAAGGAAAGCCAAGGAAATCCAAGGAAATCAAGGAAAGCCAAGGAAAGCCAAGGAAAGCGAATCGCCTCCACGTGATGTCCAAAAACGATCGATGGTCGATTCGAAATCATCCATTGAAATCCTTGATTGACTTTCACTAATTCAATCACATCTTCTGCATCCAATTGCTCCAAAATCTCCAACTTCAGATCGAAGCGATCTTCAGACGTTCGATTGGAAAGGTTGTCAGATTTCGCACCTCGAATGGCATCTTGATTAGAGTGTGTTCCTTGCAGACAACGCGTCTGTCAACAAGGAGCACACTCTAATCTTGATTGGCGCCTTTCTACCTTTTTACCTTTCTACATCTTGATTACAAATACCATTTCTAAATATTTATAAAAATAAAATTATTTGATATTTCTGAATGAGTAAGTATTATTTTGGATTTTAAAGAGAGATAAATCTAGTTGAAATATCAAGAACATCTAAAATCTCTCATTTTTTTTGATTCTTGTGATAAAATTAAAAAAGCTAGTTCACCAGAAAGGTTTAGAAAATAAAAACTGAGCACAAAGTACAAAGCGCAACTCTTTGGTCTTGAAATGTTACACCAACGCCGCCTTATCATCGATTAAGTGGAATGCTTTAAAATTGTTAAAGGCATTCATCCCGACCCCCTTTTTTCTGGTCTCTTTGAATTCGGCTCTCTACGGGACCTCTACGGGGCCTCTACAGGGCCTCTACAGGGCCTCTACAGGGCCTCTACGGGGCCTCTACAGGGCCTCTACGGGGCCAGAAGAAGGCCCAATACGCCAACCTTCCGTTTCCTCTAAAATCCCCCACAGTTTCTTTTTTAATCGAGTTATTAAATTCTGGAACATTTTACCCCCTCATGTTCGTGATATTTCCACCTTGGCTAGATTTAAAGCCGCACATTTCGGCAATTGATTCGACTGCCCTGTGATTCTTTCTTGAGGTATCTATTTATCTTTTGGGTGTGTTTTGAGCGGTTTCCCGGGTAATTATTGTGATTTTGTTTTGTCGCTTATCAACTGAATAAAGCATATATATATATATATATATAAAGTACAAAAAGAGAAGTTATTTACTAATAAAAATGAAAGATCTTGTCTAGGAATAGGAAAAAAACATGGGAAATTTGAATTTCATGATCCTCATAAAGCCATAGTTTCAATCAATTAGAATTTAAAGGAAATAAAATGGAAAGTAAAATTTAGACATTCTGGAAAGTTATTTTCTTAGTTAATTATTTTCTTGGAAGTAAAATTGTTCAAAAAAAAACTAGAAACTGAACAAAAATTGATGAGAAAAACTCTAGAATATTTTCTTTTTTGATTAATTGCGGGTATTCACGAAGAAAAGCCATCTATTTTCAGAATTCTATTTATAGAATAGCTTTGTGGATGTTTTGTGGATCTTGTCGAGAGTCTGCTTTTCAACGAAAGACCTAGATGTCCTCTTGATCGAAAAAACTATTAGAATACTTGAAAATTTATTGGAATTGGAATCAAGAATAAATTTCCAAGTATTCTAATAGTTTTTTTTTGATCAAGAGGACATCTAGGTTTCTCGTTGAAAAGCAGACTAACAAGCTAATGAAAGAGAGCTTTCATTAGCTTGTTATCATGTTGAATTTGTTCCCATCTCAAGAGTTCAATTTATTCCCATCTCAATTTGTTCCCATCTCAATTTGTTCCCATCTTTGTGAAAAGTTTAATTGTAGTTGTTATTCATTGTTAATATTTTCGGCTATTTTTCAGCTATTTATTTTTCTTATCTATTTTCCTTTTTTTTTGATTAAAAGGACATCTAGGTCTCTCGTTAAAAAGCAGACTCTCGACAAGATTACCAAAACATCCATGAAGCTATTCTATAAATAGAATTCTGAAAATAGATGGCTTTTCTTCGTGAATACCCGCAATTAATCAAAAAAGAAAATATTCTAGAGTTTTTCTCATCAATTTTTGTTTAGTTTCTAGTTTTTTTTCATTCAGAAATTCAGAAATCAATAATTTTATTTCTATAAATAATTTCGATATACTTTTTTCTCATAGAATTTTGATGAGATGAACTAAAATTGTCAAAGAATTTCCGGAATTCTATTTATAGAATAGCTTCGTGGATGTTTTGGTAATCTTGTCGAGAGTCTGCCTTTCAACGAGAGACCTAGATGTCCTCTTGATCGAAAAAAAAGGAAAATAGATAAGAAAAATAAATAGCTGAAAAATAATTTTAAATACAAAATAACTAGATGATAGTTGAACTTTATAGTTTTTTCGTTATTCTACTTCTTTATTTAAAGTGTTTTTAAAAAGAGGAACTGAAAAGGAAAAAGAGGAATTACTGTCTAACTATAGAAATACTATAATTTAAGCCACTAGCCGTAATCTTAATGGCCATCTAACCCTAGTTTGCTTCAATAAAAGCTAGATTAGTATATATGTTATGTCCGAATCTGGACATCAAAATCCGGCCATTGATTATCTTGTCGTCGGATCCGGACATCCGAATCAGATCCGGACGTAACATATATAATAAAAATAGCTGAATAGAGTATATAGTTTTTACCAGAGTTAGTACAACTACGGTAACCTTTTTTTACGAATTGCGGTAGTTTTCATGGTTTATCTGTTTGAAGAATTGATAATAAACAGTTCCCAAAAAAAGTTCGCAAATTGACTACACAAAACTAAGCCCGTTTCCAGCGCATTAACAACACATACAAAATTTGATCTCGTTCAATTATTGTTTACATTGCAATTGAAATCCATGAGATTGAGGCGGTGAATTTATTTATTTATTTTTTTTTTGAAACTGAACGATTTTTGCTTGCTCAAATGTCGGAAAAAGATCAAAAATCTTGCTTTTTCTGAGCAAACTATCGAAAATCAGTAAAACTATCATAAAACAGAAAGCGATGAGATTTTTGAATAAGAAAGATCAATTTAAAAGTGTTTTCGAGGGTTTTAATTCCATTTGGAGGTGTTCAGTTGACCGATAACATATGAAAACATGAACAAATGCATTTTTGGTTGGCTTTAAACCATGCCAGGACAGGAACAGAAGGGCAAAGCTCATTTTGGCTTTGTCTTTGAACCATTCTCAAGCTAGATGCTACAAATTTGTCATCTATCACTTTCTACACATTACTTCTTTCCAGAGATCTCTGTTTATGAGTCCTGTTTCCTGACAATCCAACGAAACTTTGCAAAAATAGATTAGAGGTTGAAAGAGTGGAAAACATTGGAGAAAGAAAAAAAAATAAGATAAAAGAGAGGATTGTGAATTTCAATGATGAGAAAATTGAGCAGACCTGCAAATGGGGGAGGAGAGGGGAAGAGGAGAAGAGAAGAGGCTTGGTCTCATTGGTTCACCCCTCCATTCTTTCTCCTCTCTTCCCCAAATCTCCTCTATTTTCCGTAAACACAAAGGGCAACCTGCGCATGCCGAGTAAAAAAAAGGGTATTAAAAAAAACCATTTTTAGAACAATCTCTTCAAATCACCATTTAATTGACTTGATAATTGTGTTTATGAACAGGTTCTCTAACGGTTTTTGGCGTTTTGGCGTTTTGAAGTTGGAAAAAGGTTGGAAAAAGTTGGAAAAAGTTGGAAAAACAACTGGAAACCCTTGGGGAAAACACTTTTTTTTTTTGACTGGAGACCGGCTGTTTTTGTTTGACTTTTTCTGTGTTGACGTGGAGTCATTTAAAGAGGAATTTTTTGGAGGAGGGAGATTCGAAATTAGAAGAACTAAAAATAGAATAGGTGAGGTGTATTTGAGTGAATTTTGTGACACTTGTTGATGTTTAACGAAAAAGGAAATAGACTAGTCAAGTGGTGAAAGTGAAGAGGAAACAATGGATAAGGCTAGAAGCTAGAAGAAAAAAGAGATTTGAACAAGTTTGGAAAATGAAAGAGTATTCTTTTTGAAAAGTAAATGGTTCTGATTAAGCGCTTTTCTTTGAGACAGGTAGACTATATTTCTATATAGACAGGTAGACTATATAGACTATACAGGTAGACTATATAGACTAGACAGGTAGACTGTATAGACTAGACAGGTAGACTAGATAGACTAGACGGGTAGACTATATCTCACACTTGTTTCTCTAGGTGCTGGGTATTGTTCTACAATAATGGAGATGTTCTAATGAAAGTCATTACCAAAGAGTCATAATACAGTAAAGAAATGAAGAAATCAAAGAAGAAAGAAAAAAGAAAAAGCAAGATTTCGGAGGAGGGGATTCTTGGTTTCTTTGCTTGCTTGCTTTGCAGACAGATGCTCTAACCACTGAGCTATTTGGTAGCAGTTCGTCAGAGAAGAAAGACGCTAGAAAAGGGTAGAGAGAAAGAAAGAGAAGAAAATAAAACTTAACAGAATTGAATCAGATCTATGGATCAAATCTATAGATCAAACTGGACCAAGCCTTCCATTTTCGGGACCATTGATGAAAGCTTTTGAGAGAAAAGATGACATTTTAAATCTCCAACAGAATCAACACTGAAAAGAGAAGACTCTAGAAAGTCAAAAT